AATTTCTATTATGTTTGACTCAATTATATAAAGTATTACTTATAAGGGTTGTTTTGTAAAATAGTACTTCTTCACTGGTATTTGGGAGGCTTATATATATCACATGCTGATAAAAGAATATGGGCGCATTTTTTGTTCAGAACCCGATGTTTATTTTATGCGCCGTGACTTTTACTTTTACGCCCAGATGGCTTTGAAGAAAAAAAAAATTTCTTTTAAAACGGGGGAGTGAATGGGATTTTTTAATTTTCTTCTTTACTCGCGGTTTGTATCTTCTCCATTTTAATTGATACAGTAAAATCAGATATTATCATTCTATCTTGTACAAAGATGCAAGTCAATAATAAGCTGTGGTCCCGGTAATTATGCTTAATTATCGATGCGGTATAGAGCTTGTCAGTCTATGCCTCGCGTATTTCGTAGGGATCTGAGGGTTTTCTGCCATGCGTGTTCGATGTTAGATTGTAGTCATCTCAAGTCTTCTGCGCATGACGTGGCATTTGTAAGCGGCCTTAATTTCTCAACCTCGGTTGGGAAGAGGTCCTGTTGCATAATCTGATTGTAATGTCGATGGCGGATGCTGCTTTTTTTCTCTTATACAAAACGTGGGAAACTCTGAGGGTTTTCTGACTTAAACGCTTGGTGGGACGTAGTGGCGAACACACCTTACACTTTTGTGTGCTAGCCAGTGGCTCTATCTGCCTAGCGGCTTATTAAGGTGATAATAATCTCCAACCGGGTCTCTCTCGTTTTTGCGAGAGAATCTTGAGCTGACCATACCTCAAGATAAGCAATATTTTTATTTATAGCAGGTATGTAATAAATAAATAAAAACATTCATTGACAATATACTAATCTTAACTTTTTTTTGAATATTTAGATAAAGTAAAGCCAAGGTACCACCTTGAACCAGCTCAGCAAAGCTCTAGGCTTGAGTGTTCACCGACTTTAATTGTTTTTTTTTTTTTAATTTTTTTTATCAATATATAAAAGACCTTAATAAAATCAAAGTTACATATACTTTATTTAAACAAATGAAGTGAAATAGTATATAATATTATTATACGCGTTTTGGAAATCTATCTATTAAAGTCAACTCTAGTTTTGAATTACTCTGTCAAAAGATTAAAGACTCACAATCTAAAGCGTTTTGACACCCGCAAAAAATAAAAGCATGAGCATTGTTTTCTTGCTCATTTTAATAATCTAATCCAACATGCAAGACACATCATCAGAAAACACACATGTTCCTTTTGAGAAATAGGATTCCTACTAAGACGAATGCATTGTGTACATGCATTAAGCAGATGTCAAAGTAATTCAGATTTCATCGGCTGTTGGCATGAGCCTGTCTAATGTCAAGTACATCATTAAGAGAATAGTTAAAATAAAATCTTCAGACCCAAGAAAGCGGCTTGTAGGACCTAGAAAGATTAGTGAGAAGACAGAAATATAATTTGTGCAAGTGGTTCGAAAGTACCCGATTTGCCGCATACTCTAGGCGAAGAGCCTCTTTAAAGTAAATAAAAATATTCATCTGTAGAGAGACAATTATCAGATATCTTGTCTGTTTAGGCTTTGGCTCACATATTCCAGATCATAAACCAACCTTGCCAAAGAGTCAATGAAGGGGTGTAATTCAGCTCAATTCATCACAATTCATAATCAAATGTAACGATAAAGGGGCCAAAGCTATCAGAAGAGTTTACAATGAAGTATTCGAGATTTTTTATGGTTAATATCTGAATATATGGAAAAGTGGATACTGTGAGAGTGCTATTTATTAAAGAGACAAAATAATATTGATTATGTCCGTTATCATTAAAATTCCTGTTGTGTAATGGTTGGTTTACACTGTATGAGTGTGTAGTGTACATGTGCCAGGTGTGTAACAGTTCCGGAGATTGTTAGCTTACCAGGTTCATTAGCAAGAAGGAACCAATGTTTAGTTGTGGAGTCTGTTCTTCACTCAATTGTGGTGTGTATACCACAGCTCTAAAAACGACTTTTAAACAGAGAATCCGCTATACATATAAATTGACTAAGCAAAGCTCTTTTGTATGCATAATAAAGCTGGTAGGGCATGTTACGATCCACAATTTAAAAGTTGTTTGGTACTAATTACTCAAATATTGATCAAAATGTCAATTTATTTCGCTCGAAAAATGACTTTTAAACAGAAAATCCACTATACATATAAATCCACTAAGCAAATTTTTTTTGTATGTATAGGTAACTTGGTGGTGCATATTATGATCCACAATGTAAAAGTTATTTGGTATTAATTGCTCAAATATTGATCGAAATGTCAATTTACTTCGCTCGGAATGACTTTTGTGGTATACACATCACAATTGAGTGAAGAACAGCCTCCACGACCAAACACTGGCTCCTTCTTGCTAATGAACCGGGCAAGTTAACAATCTCCAGAACTGTTACACACCAGGCACACGTACACTACACACTCATACAGTGTAAACCAACCATTACACAACAGGGATTTGAATTACAGGGACTTGAATAGTAGCAAATATAAAAACAATATTATTTTGTCTCTTTAATAAATAACACTCTCACAGTATCTACTTTTCCCATTATTGAGATACTAACCCATAAACAATCCCGAATACCTCACCTTCAATTAATGAATGGTGAAAATCAATTCACTAATTAATAGAATCATTATTATTATTTTTCCTTTTGATCATTAAATAATAATTATTCCTTTCATTAATGATTAGTGACTTGTTTATTTATTTTTTCATGAAATTATTATACCTGCAGTCAAAGCTCGATTTAGTAATATTTTTTTCAGCACTTTTATTCGCAGTCACATAAAGCAAATCTGCAATATTGCTAAAAAACATGCGGAGTAAGAAAAAATACATTTGATTTAGTAATAGTAATACAATTTGGCTTCTCCCAAAAGTATTACTAAATCGAGCTTTGACTGTATTATTATTATTATTATTATTATTATTCATATGAATATTAATGCTGCTAATCCTACATTACATTTCAATACAAAAAAATTACCATTCACTTATTGTTCATTCTCTTTTGCATGTCAGTGACACCAACCAAGTAAGAGGCGCTTTATTTTATTTGAATTTACGCGACACCAAGATGCACAGGCCACATCATACTCTCTTTTCATTACATCCCAAATTACATTTGGTACTATTCAATGAACATTAACCTGCAGAGATTACCATCAAGAGACAAATAGGTTTGACACAGCTTAAATAACAGATTAACAAGATAATAAAAAATACACGCTCATAAAGACCCATTACCATCTTGGCACATGAGCAGGCTAATTACAAAGATTATTTGAAAGGCATGCTTAATGTGGTATACACGTCGCAATTGATTGAAATACAGACTATACAATCAAACTCTGGTTCCTTCTTAATAATTAACTTGGCAAATTAATAATCTCCAGAACTACTATACACTGGGTACAGGTACAGGTATGCTACACACTTATCCAGTGTAAGCTAACCATTACGCAACAGAAAATTTAAATAAAAGTGTATTTGAATTGTAATAAACATAACATCTATACATATTTTCTCTTCTTAATGAACAGCACTCTCACAATATTTAGTTTTTTCATGTTGAAGATAATAACCTATAATAACTCCTCAAATGTCTCGGGTAAGGCTGCCATATAATATTACAGCCTTTCATCGACTATACTTCAAATTATAGATATACACGACCAGTTCAAGCGTCATGTTATGATAATAGACAGGCTTGTACATCAACATTAATATCAGTACTTACAGGCATATCAAAGAATATATTTATACATGTGTGTGTACGTTCATTGCTCCAGTATTTAGTAGAGTCTAATCGAACCGAGCATTTTGGGCTTGAGTGCAGCTTTAAGAATATAAAGCGTATTTAGTAAATTTCTAATTCGTTTCACTTGAGGCTCCTATAGATAATATCTGTTAATGTTATATGGTTGGTCACAGTATAAAATATTATAACGTTTTCTTTTATTCATATATTAATATGTGGTTTCAATCACAAATACACTTTAAAAATATATTCATTAGTTAATTGGGTTAGATTATAATGGATTAACCGTTAATAAAGATGCTTAAATACAACAGTATAGAAGAATTGATTTAAACAATTTCCCATGAAACCATTTTTGCTACACTCAAGTCTAAGTTGTCTCACTTTGTTAAAAGTCTTAATAAATGCACACAGTTCTCTCTTTATTTTGCTAGATTTAGTTTACTCTATATCTATACTTCCACCACTAAATGTAAATATAGGACAAAATATTTACACAAATGAAAACCATTATATTTTAGAGTACATATAGCGTTTAAAGTATCGTCCTAGGCTTCCCTAGTTTAGGATTTTCTAAAAAAATCTTGTTATCTAGACTTTGATATTGGAATAAAGCCCTTAATCTTTTTTCTTTATTTAGTCAATATATTTTTTTGATTGAGACATGGGAGATAGCAAGCATACTTAATTACATGTTACAAGAAAATAAAAATTCTGCTTGATTACAAAATTAAGAAGAAGAAGAAGAAGAAAAGACAAGCTCACTTTATTAATTAGATGTATCTTTAAACTAAAAGTATTTTAGCCTTTAATAATAATAAGAACACATATATACAAGCACAGTCACACACACGGTAATAGTAATAAACGCAAACCATCTAATATACTTTTGCTTTCTGTCACAAAAGTTTATTTTTCTTTTCTTTTTGACAAGCTTTTAAAGAATTATATATTGGTAGCTGAACTACGTTCTTTAAAAGTTTTTATTACAGTTTAGTAAGCTACCTTTGGTAGTCTAAAGTCTATGACTGTACAACGCTATTCTTTCCTAGGTAAGCCTATAAGTGTCTAATGAATGATTGTGTATATTCACAATTAGTAATTTACCAAAAAAAATTGTAAAGCTAGGGGACTCAAAAAAGTGTCTGCCAGCAATTTCCTATACGATACATGTCAGGATGTCTATGCCGTGCAATGTCCAGAAAAGAATAAGAGATTTCCGGGGAAAATGCCCTGGTCAACAATACATATCAGACATAGAAGAGTAACGTATGTTCTTTTAAAAGAGATAGAAATAGAACACTTATATAGAAGTAAAGACATAATTATAAGGTTATTAAAATATTTTTACTTTGCGAGCTTTGCTTATCCCAGACGCACTGATAATAAGTCTCTTATCTTATCATAGCGACTGAATATATATCTAATAGCCTTAATTTACACTCATAAAATACCTAATAATGTAGAATAAATTACAAGATAGCAAAGTTTGAAAGAAAGAAGATATAGACATCAGAAAGACGAAATAATCGGAAAACAAGCTTTGGAGGATTGGCGTTTGAGAAATCAGCTAATAAGTATGTCTAGTAATAATGTCTGCGAGATATATATTAAGATCGAACAAAACAAAACAGAGAAAAATAACCAGTAAGGAGGTGTTGAGGGACAACAAGGCCGGAAAATGATTCTAACAAAAATAAGAAAGTCAGGCTTGTAGTACAATTGACGGTGTTCATCGAAAGAATACTTTATATTATTGAGACTGAAGAATATGTATAGTAGAAACAATAATCAATATACACATACACATAGGTCATGATACTTAAAAGAAGTATATTTGTGTAAAATAGAAAGAGAAGAAGAGGGTGTGACTTCACAAACCAAACCAAACCAAGAAAAAAAATAGGAGAAAAATAAGGTGGTCCTGAGTTAACAAGGAATAGTTACCAAACAGCTTTTCGCGTAACACTATAACGCGCACCCCACAGAGAAAACAATTTTTTATTATTCTTGACTTATCTTGAATTTCTACAATATTACTATTAAAGATAATTCAGATATTTAGATTTTATAGTATAGTAAGCTACTAGATCTAGGATTTTATTTTTGTCAGTAAAATAAACCAATAGAATGTGGAATCTCTTTATCTCTCTTTAAAACTATAAACTAATATGTATCCTTTAACAAAAAACAAGTTGTTTCTTATTATTCTTATTTTTGTATTTCTTTTGTTGTTGACTTATACATAGCACCAATGCAGCCAATTATCTAGCTTTAGTATTTTACTGCGGCAGACAATGCTTTATTTCGTTTATTGTAATGTACTTTTTTTTTTAAAAAAAAAACTCGCTATAAATATATATATATATATATTCATTACCTTGGATACCATTGATTGATATGCTTTATATATGTATAGATAAATATACTTTCTACATACTGCTTAAAATATTTGTACATTAATATTTACATATTGTAGCAAGATTTATTTCAGAGTTTATTCAAGCTGTTTATTTTTATTTAAAGAAAAAAGAAAATGTCTTCAAATTGTCTATACATATCTAGACTTGCATAATATGTCAGTTGGCTTTCTATATTCAACACTCTACATGTGTTTGTACACAATCTTGACCGCAGTAAAAAATAGATAGAATTAAATTAAACCAAAGATCGAATAATCACCCCAATTAGCAATTTTCTGCATTATTCGACTCTTTGTTTATACAAAGTCAAAGAGATCTAAACAATTAGTGTTTTCAATATTATATTCTACAATATTGACTATTATATTATATAGACTACTTTTAAAAAAAATGAATATGATACTTGAGCAAGTAAATACTCATGTCAATAATAATCTTACTGCTACTACTATTACTACTGATATTAAACTTGTTTACTATACTTTTGTTGTTTTTATTTTTATTCTTTGGTTCAGATGGCCGACATAGCTAATGAGCTCGCGTTATTATTTTGCTGCGGCAGGCACCACATTGATTTGTCTATTTACCGAATTTCACAAGCCGTAAACGTTTAGTTAGTCAAATGCAGTAAATAATATTGTGCCCGAACATAAAATATATAGCAAATACGACTATTCCTTTCAATACGGTCTTAATTGATCCGTCCCTTGTATACTTTAAATCAGGTACCCAACAAGGAAATACTTTAAAAATCAGAAGAAAAACCTTATAATTTATACATCAGATCAGCAAAGACGTACAAAGAAAAAAATGTAGCTGTATAAATACTACTTGATCATATTTTTCCATTTGCTTTCCCAGATATAATTTCTTCTTTCTTTCTTTATCTCACTATATACATACCTTTATACTTATCTACCTACTTATTTATATTCTTATAGCTATTAATTTCTGGGTATTGGGATGTCAGACAATATACATACCAACCCAAGCCCAACAGACACCGAGAAATACGAAGCTCATCGTCGTTCATATGTCAATTCGGTTGATACCATAACTGAAGGTGCTGTTGGAGTGCGCGGAAGTTATGGCGAAACTGAAGTGAATACAGTTAACATCGAAGGTACACAAATATATTCTGATACCGTAGTACCAGATCAAGAATTATGTACTAATATATATATATATATATACTATAACTTTATAGATGCCATTGATCAATATGAAGATCTCAAGCGAGAACTAACCACGCTTAGTTACAAGGCAAGCAATTCCGGGAAGCTCGAAGAAGGCACTGCCAAATCAGATGCCTTTGACCTCGACGAATTCTTACACAGTGTCTCTTCATCTGCTGACAAAGCTGGCCATACAAAAAAGCACCTTGGTGTCATTTGGAAGAATCTTATTGTAAAGGTAAAAATAGAAGAAGAAAAAAAGAAAATAATAATAATTCATTTATATTCTTAATTAAATCTAACAATCTATTTCTTGGATTTTTTTTTCTTTTAGGGTGTTGCTGCTGAAGCCAATACTATCCCCACTGTCACCAGTTTTCCACTCGGATTTCTCCGCTCGTTGGCATCTTTGGTAACTAAACCAAAGGTTCCAGAAAGAGATATCCTTCGTAACCTCACAGGTTTCTGCAAAGATGGTGAGATGTTGCTTATTCTCGGTCGTCCCGGTGCTGGATGCACTACCCTTCTCAAGGTCATTTCCAACTTGCGCAAATCATACACCACCATTGAGGGCCAGGTGTCTTACGGAGGTATCGATCCAGTAACATTTTCCAACCACTACCGTGGCCAGGTCTGCTACAATGAAGAAGAAGATCAGCACTATCCCACACTTACTGCAAGGCAAACTCTTCAATTCGCACTGCGTACAAAGACCCCGGGATCAAGACTGCCCGACGAAACTAGACATGACTTTGTGGACCGGGTTCTCTACATGCTCGGTAACATGCTTGGTCTAACCAAACAGATGGAAACAATGGTCGGAAATGCCTTTGTACGAGGTCTTTCCGGTGGGGAGCGCAAACGTCTCTCAATTGCCGAACAAATGACAACCGCCAGTACAATCAATTGCTGGGATTGCTCTACCCGTGGTCTCGACGCTGCCTCTGCCCTTGATTTTGTCCGATCTCTTCGCATCATGACAGACGTTCTTCACAAGACAACTGTCGCAACATTCTACCAGGCTTCCAACAGCGTCTTCAACCTCTTTGACAAACTAATTGTTCTAGATGATGGTTACTGCCTTTACTTTGGCCCTGTAGAACACGCCAAGCCTTACTTTGAAAAAATGGGATTCTTTTGTCCTCCTCGAAAATCTACCCCCGACTTTTTAACTGGTATCTGTAATCCACTCGAAAGAGAATTTCAGCCTGGATACGAAAAATCTGTCCCACAGTTTGCACACGAGTTCCAAACCCATTACCTAGCGTCTGAAATATACCGATCCATGATGACTGAGTTGAAAGATTACGAGAACAAATTCACAAACGACAGCCAAGCACAAGTATTCAAACAAGCCATGAATGAGGAACACCAAAAACGTGCTTCAAACAAGGGTCCCTTTATTGCATCTTTCTACCAACAAGTCCATGCTCTCTTGATCCGTCAGTACCACCTAATCATCAAAGATCAGGAAGCTCTCTTTTCTCGATACGGCACTATCCTTATCCAATCTCTCATCACGGCCTCTTGTTTCTTCAAGCTTCCACTGAGTGGCACTGGCTCGTTCTCTCGAGGTGGTGCTCTGTTCTTTGCTGTTGTGTTTAATTCTTTTATTGCACAGAGTGAACTTGTTCGATTCTTGATGGGCCGTCCTGTTCTTGATAAACATAAGCAATATGCTCTCTATCGGCCTTCTGCATTTTACATTGCGCAAATGATTATGGATATTCCTTATGCAATTCTTCAAGGTAAGAAACAATATATTGATATATATTTATATATAGCATTAATCTAATTTGTTTTATTATAGTCACTCTATATTCTCTATGCTCTTACTTTATGATTGGTCTCAACTTAACTGCAGGAAAGTTTTTTACTTTCTTCATATTGCTGTTCTTTATCAATATGTCTATGAACGGTTTCTTCCGTATTTTTGGTGCAATTACCAGAAGTTTCTTTGTGGCCACCCAATTGGCTGGCTTTGTACTTATTGCAGTATTTACCTATGTTGGTTATAGTAAGTAACTGTTGCTATTTGTTATATACACATATATGTAAAGAATTCTTCATTTGCCTATTTATTTACTTACTTATTGGTCAATAGCTATTCCATATCTAAAGATGCATCCATGGTTGTACTGGCTTTACTGGGCTAATCCTTTGGCTTATGGATACAAGGCCCTATTGATTAATGAGATGAACGGCCAGGAGTACACTTGTGAAGGTCCCGGAAACGCTGTTCCCTATGGACCTGGCTATGACAACTGGGACTACAAGGTCTGCACTATGGCTGGCGGTGTACCTGGCCAGAACTTTGTCAAGGGTGAGGCGTATTTACTCCAGGCACTCACATATAGATCCTGGGAAGCCTGGGCGCCAGATTTTATTGTTGTCATTGTATACTTTATATTGTTTACCGTCCTCTGCGCCCTTGCTATGGAGTACATCGACTCTAGCGGTGGTGGAAACACTACCAAGCTTTACATTCCCGGAAAGGCTCCCAAACCTCGGACTGATGAAGAAGAAAATGAACGCCGCAAGCGCCTTGCTAAGATCGCTGACGAAATGGACGGAATATCTACCGGCACTACCTTTTCGTGGCAGAATGTCAACTATACCGTTCCGATCCCAGGTGGCAACTTGCAGCTTCTCGATGGTATCAATGGTATTGTCAAGCCCGGTCATCTTACTGCTCTCATGGGGTCCTCTGGTGCAGGCAAGACTACCCTTTTGGATGTCTTGGCTCGTCGTAAGACCACCGGTGTGGTCGAAGGCAACATTGTTCTTAATGGCGAAGCACTTATGGACGACTTTGAACGTATTACTGGTTACTGTGAGCAGATGGACATCCATCAGCCTGCCGTTACTGTTCGTGAAGCCCTCCGTTTCTCTGCCTATCTTCGCCAAGACGAGTCTGTCTCAAAGGCTGAAAAGGATGAATATGTCGAAAAGATTATTCAATTGCTCGAGATGGAAGACATCGCCGATGCTCAGATTGGCATGGTCGAATTTGGATCTGGTATCTCTGTCGAGGAGCGAAAACGTCTTACCATCGGTATGGAATTGGTCGGCAAGCCCCAGCTTTTGTTTTTGGATGAGCCCACCTCTGGTCTTGATGCTCAAAGCTCTTACAACATCATTCGTTTTATCCGCAAACTTGCTGATGCCGGTTGGCCCGTTCTCTGTACTATCCATCAGCCTTCTGCCATTCTTTTCGGTCACTTTGATCATCTCTTGCTACTCGTTCGTGGTGGAAAGACTGCCTACTATGGCGAGATTGGTTGTGATGCTCACACTATGATTGACTATTTCCAGTCTAATGGTGGCCCCATCTGTCCTCCTGCAGCCAACCCTGCCGAGTACATTCTTGAGGTTGTTGGTGCCGGAACTGCCGGAAAGGCTACTCGCGACTGGTCCGAAGTCTGGGCAGGATCCAAAGAGGCCAAGGCTCTTGAGAACGAACTTGCGGATATCGCCCGCTCTGCCAATAAGAACCCTACCCGAGAGGCCCGTACCTATGCTGCTTCTCACTGGACCCAGTTCAAGCTTGTTCACAACAGAATGGCTCTAGCATACTGGCGCTCACCCGATTACAACTTTGGTCGTTTCTTGAACATTGTCTTGACTGCTCTCATTAACGGTTTTACTTACTGGAAGCTTGGATCGTCTTCATCGGATATGCAGAATAAGCTCTTTGCTCTCTTCAGTACCTTTATTATGGCCATGACTTTAGTCATTCTCTCTCAGCCCAAGTTTATGACAGAACGCCTTTTCTTCCGCCGTGAGTATGCATCTCGCTATTACAGCTGGCTTCCGTGGGGTGTGTCGACTGTCTTGGTTGAGATTCCTTATGTTTTTGTGTTTGCTGCCTCCTTCTTGTTCTGCTTCTACTGGACCACTGGCATGTCCAACACTGCCGAAGCTGGGGGCTACTTTTACATTATGGTTGTATTCCTTGTTCTCTGGGCTGTCACTCTTGGTTTTGTTATTGCTGCCGCCTCTGAGCTTCCTACCATGGCTGCCGTTATTAATCCTCTGGTCATGTCTTTGCTCATTCTTTTCTGCGGTCTCATGCAGCCCGAGTCTGCTATGCCGACTTTCTGGAGAAGATGGATGTACTGGATCGATCCGTTCCACTACTATGTTGAAGGTCTTGCGGTAAACGAACTTGAACATCTGACGGTTGTATGCACAGACGACAATCTCCTCAAGTTCACTCCTCCCCCTGGTCAGACCTGCGGCCAATACATGGCTAATTACTTCTCGTATGGAGGGCCCGGTTATATCGTTAACCCTGATGCTGTCCAGCCTGAACAATGTGGCTACTGCACTTATAATTCAGGTGCAGAATACTACTCGACTGTTTATGGCTGGGATGCTGCTAACAAATGGCGCAACTTTGGCCTCATTATCTGTTTCTTTGTCTTTAATACCCTTGTGTTCCTTGGATTGGTTTACTGGAAAAGAAAAGGAAAGCGGTAGACTGATGGGGATCTTTAAAAAAACTAACTAACTATCTGTCTGCCTAAATAACTGAATTTATACATACAAACTAATACATATATAAGTACTATATGATTAATATTTCCTTTATTTTTACTTCTTTAAAAAAATAAACAAGGGCCATATGCAGTATGCTTCTATACGTGTAAGCATCTTAATATAATAATAGTAAAGCCTTTTTAATACCTATTATAGTTGTATATATTTCTGTCTTGAGTGTATGTATGCCTGTTTATATATATATAAATATGCTTATTCATCAGTAATCTTACGGGGACGACGTCTCCTGGTGCGGTACGACGTTTGTATCTAACCGGACTAATTCATTGTAGCTACCTGTCGGGAGGGCCGATGCCTTTCTCTAATTCTTCAGGGAAAAATAGCGTGTCCTAAAAAAAGGTACACTTTATCAAAAGATAGTTATGCAGAAGATTATAAGGAGTTGTTGTCATTAAAGTGTGACGCAATATTGTTTGATATTTTACTATTTATTAGCCTTCTTACGCGTATTATGTCTTTCTCTTTCTTTTACATATTGTATCTATATTACCCAAAAGTGGCCCAAGGTCTGTCATTGAAAAAAAAAGCCAAAACTAGTGTGAAAGCACCAACTGAAGTTATCAAATAGTCGTGCCAGAAGTAAAGGATGAAGAACCCACCTTTTTCAAGACAAAAGTCAAAAAAGGTAAAATAAAATAAGAAAATAAAAATCTTCCACTTTTGTTTACCCTTTTCTTCAAAGATATAGAGTCACTCCATGGTGTTCTAGGCAAAGATCTTTGCAGAATGGGCACAACTTGTGGTCCAATATAATAAAAATGTCGTTTCCCACTAGGAAAATCGTGTCCCTAGAATTAGCGATGTTTCTTTTTTTTTCTAAGCTTGGAGCCAGAAACAAACCAAAAATCAAGCATAAATATCGAAATATACTCACCTTCAGCCAATATACATAAGGATACATCTTCTAAAAAATTGCTTCCCTTGGTATGATGATCTTAGAAAAGCTTTGACAAAGACATTTGACCTGTGTAGCTTCCACCTAAACCAACTTAAAGCTGTAAACGCAACATTAAATGGAGAAGATGTGTTCGTGCTTATGTCGGTAAGTAGCAATCGGGTTCCCGAATAAGTAATCAGATTTACATCTAAGGTATCATTCTTAAGAAATCAATTGCGTTTGAACAACTCTTTCAATTAAAGAATCTATTTTCGAAATTACTTATCTTCTATTTCTGCATCTGCCTTTCTCTTAGACAGGTTTCTAACAGTTTGTTCGTCTTCCAAAAAAAAAATCTCAGTTTTTGTCGGCGAACTCAACATTGCTTTTGACGACCCAAATGCATTGGTAAATACTGAGCGCAAACTAATGACCATTGGAAAAGGGCAACGATCTTTAGCCACCTTAGCTAGTGAATATTGTTGAATTTCTGCAGATGTCTCATGAAACGAGTCTACTCAGTGTACTATCTTTTACAAAGCACTAAACAAGGGAACCAAATAACAACCAGAATGAGCGAGCTTGTTGAAAAGAGTGCCGTAATTGGCAACCATTTTCAAGAACGTCACCTAGAATGATCAAGAGGTTCCTTACCAATATTCCGCCTCGCTGTTTCATCTCATAAGCACCGATCGATTTCCGATACCAGCAAGTCCCTGCACAATCCAGTTTCCCGGTACTGAATGAAAACTAATGCACTCCGAGTAGCTCAAAGAAATTCCCCCTTGTCCCAAGCGAAAAGGGTCGTCATCATCATCAACAGGACTTATTCTTGTACTGTGACCAACCTAACCACATGTTCAGCTAATTTCCTGCTAAAACCGTTTCGTCAATATCGACCTTTGAGTAAATTGTATTTTTACTTTGTAAATTGCAGGATTAATTAAAGCATGAATTTGAATAAACACTGCTAAAATATAAGATACTTTTAGTAGCAGTAATACCGATTCTTTTCTACTCCAGCGCAGAGCCAAAAAAAATAAGGTCATAATACTATACATTCAACAAAAATGCTATTAGCTATTTTCTCATGATGTGTGGTACTTTTGGATATATACATATATACAAAAAGTCGAATGAATTATATGCACTTTTGTTTTTTACAAAAAAATATAATAGACAAATAGGCTATTTTGACTACCCCCCAGATTAGGTACAGGAAAAAAGAAAGAAAGAAAAAGAAAAGAAAAGAAACAGTGCGAAAACTGTTCTGTGATACAAGTGCAGGACAGAACCGAATATAGTCAGACAGGGCAGAACAATGCAGGACACTACAGTGCAGGAAACTACACTGCACTGCACTACATCACAGTATAGTACAGAAAATTACGATTAAATAAAATAATAATAATAATAATAAGCATACAATTGGTTTAGTTACAAAACCAAACTGTTCACAATCATATTTTATTGCGCACGGCCCACGTCTAATACTACAGGCTGTGCATACTTGTGATGCCTTCCAAAAAGAAAGAAGACTTTTGGAGGACAATAATGGCAATAATAAGCATAATTTTATTATCATTATCATTACCATTACTACTGCTACTGCTACTGCTATTGCTACTATTACTATTATGTATATATTGTATTACACGGCATCTCCAATTCATATATATTAATATATTTTCTTTTTTCTTTTATTATTATTTCTTTTCATAATTAATTAAAGACTGTGCATCGAGTAAAAAGGGGTGAAAGGGATGGGGGAGCGAAAAGGGATTTGGGTAGGAAAGAAGAAGGAGATGATGTGAAAGATGATATTTTTTTCTGACATTGAAGAAAGAAAGAAAAGAAAGAAAGAATGAAAGAAAAGAATGAATGAAAGAAAAGAAAGAAAGGAGAGAAAGATAGTGAAGAAGAAGACTATGTATATAGATATAGACAATCTTTAAGGGTGAGGAGGGTGCTGGGGTGGAGGCGAATGAATGCCAAAAAGCCCACCTGAAATGCGTCTGGAAGGATCTCTTCTAGAAAGGCTACTAGACAATGAGTTGATTGAACCTATAAAAGAAATAAGGAAAAGCGGACGTAATCAATGAGCAAATAATTTATGGTTGCGTAGGTGTATGTATATTCTTCTTTACCTGATCTAGATCGATTGATAGCGTGATCAGGGATAGCTTGCGGTGATACGGAGCTATGCGACGAAACTGAATGGTCATTAGCGTGTAAGATGGATCCGATAGTCGAGGAAGATGCGCTATTGTCGAGCTGGAGGGGAGGGATTGGGCTATTAAAATAACCAGACGTCTTTTCAGATGTCAATGAACGCTGAGAAGAGGTGGAGGTCGATCGATTAGCCTGTGATATTATCATAATTTTTTATCATCATTCATTATAAATAAATAAAATGATGGTTAGCAGCTGATCATTTTGTCTTGGAACTCCAAATTTACCCTAACATGTCTTCCAGGGGAAGGAGGTACTGAGCGAAAGACGGGAGGGATTCTAAAGACGTGACCATGTACACAAATGATTGTTTAAGTTCAACAATCCATACACACACATAGAATAAATACAGCTACTAATATCATTTTATATTATATATTTTTTTACCCTTCATCTGCTGGGATGTCATCGATAGGTAGGTTGTTCTCTTTACGAAGTTGAATTAATTCACTCTTGTACTTGTTGCACTGTTGATATTTTGCCATATCTATATATATATATATAAGACTATTAAGAGCCAAATGTCTATATCGTGCTTTTTTTCTTTATACAACAAGACTTGACTTACATTCTCTCTCCATTTCAACCGCTTTACTCTTAAGAACACCGACCTCCGCCTTTAGGACTTCAATAAGGCCTGTCGGAGGTGCTTCTCCGAGAGCACCGGGTGAGTGAGGGATCCATTTCTTAGCACTAAAATTAATAGATAACAAATCAATAATAGGCTTCTATATATAAATATAAAAACTTACTTGAGGGATGGTGAAGTACCTGCACCAGTGATAGCCGGACTCATTGGTAAAGATCCTGGATTGGCCAGATCTGCGAGTCCATAAGAGGAATTGCGTGAAGGTGACTGAGACAAGGTTTGTTGCATTCGGAGTGAATCGAGCTGTTTCTGAAGTTTATTGACAATGTACTCCTGCTCCTGTTCTAGTGCATTTTCGAGGTCAATTTTCTCTTTCTGGAGCTAGATTTAATAAGCAGAAAAAATATATATATAAATAAGGGATAAATGAATCTAATTAGAAACCAAGATAATAATAATAATAATAATACATGTGTGTGAAATAACAACATAGACTTTGTCATGACATGCTTTCTACTTGAATTAACGTGACTTACCTGAGAAAGTTTCTTTTGGAGCATGTTTGTCAAATATTCTTCTTCTTGTTCAACCTGAACCAATAATTCTCCTTTTTCTTTCTTTAACCCAGAGATACGTTTCAGTAGCTTATTTGAAATATATTCTTCTTCTTGTTCTGCCAATGCAGTCTATACACACACACCGTTAATACACACACACACACATATATATATATATATACTTTCTTTCTAGTGTAGTATAGTTTACCATATCTACAGTCATTTGTCGTAAGAGCTGGTTGTCGTGTCTGAGGATATTGACGTGTCCTTGCTCCATTTCAAGTTCAAACTCAAGTTTTTTGATGCGCGCCTCCTGTGCCACGCATGTCTTGTGCAACTTTGTGGTTTCTTCCCGCAGAACATCCAAATCTTGAATATCCATCAAAATATCAATCTTTGAGATTGTATCGCTAGATAAATAGTAAAGGAATAATAATATTAATATTAACAGCCATGTCAAGACGTTAAATAAAGGCGGTGTGTTTTTCTTATATACTATGTGTAATTATATATATATATATAGTGTGTGTAGTCTATATTATATTTACTAGCTTCCACATCCATAATCATCTCTATTTATTTCTCTATCTCTCTATCCACCAATCAATCAATCAGTTCATTAATCAATCAGTCAATCAATCTTACGTCTGTGAGCCTGATTGAAGTCTGTCCAAGGTAGCCTGAAAAGCTTTTGCGCGTAAGGCTAAGTCGGCTTCCAAAGATGCCTTGTCTTTACGAGCCTATTATTATCATTATCATTATTATTACTATTAGTTACTGTTACTGTTGTTATGTTTATTGTTGATTATTGATTATTGACTAGATATATATATATATATATATATATATATATGTGTGTGTGTGTGTGTGTGTATGTTACCTTGTCAAGCTGTTCTCTGAGGGAGTCTGTGAATTTCTGCTCTCCTTGTTGCAACTCCTTTAGAGACTGTTCATCCTATAGACAAGTAATATATAGATATATAAATAAACCGTAGATATAACACCAATAGGAATAAATCAAAGGTCTTACTGGGAGTGAGGTGTGGTGAGTAGCTGAGTCGGTCGAAAGGGAGGTCTGTGGGATGGTGGAGGTCTGGTCTTCCAGTGTCAATTCTGCATGCGTCATGCTCATGATGAAACAATGAGTGTTTGGTGTTTATTATTATTAAAGAAAAAGAAACAAAAAAAAACAAAAAAAGGAAAAGTTTGGTGTGTTTTGATTTTTTTATATATTATATTTTTTTTTATATATTTTGTTCTTTCTTTCTCTCTCTGCTTTTGCTATTATATCGGATTTTCAAATACAAATCAAGCCAGCAAAGGTATGTTGCAGTACTGAAATGAGAAGTAGTAGTAAAGCCGTAGAAGTAGTAGTAATAGAAGAAGAAGAAGAAGAAGTGGCTGTAGTTAAAGGGAGAAAATAATAAATAAATAATAGGTAAAATTGTAAAAGGAAGAGAGAAAGAGAGAGAGAGGAAGAGTATTAAGTGGGGCGATGAATATGGGGATCTCAAATAAGCTTTTTATTTTTATTTTTTATTTTAAATACTTTAATATTTATATATATATATATCCATTTACATATAAGCGTGTGTAATTATATTTTGATTGGATCACAGAAATGAAAAAAAAAGTCCCTCCACCCCCCCCCCCCCACCTCCTCCTCCATTGATCATTAAGCTCGTGGACAGAGCCTGTGAGACAAGTTCTTACAGGACAGACAAAGCTGCAGGACTTTTACGTGACATCACATTCACGTTTATCTCTAAACATGTTTCTCGGACTGCTAATAAGATTACATGTAGAACAAACAAAATGAATTTCTTTTTGAAAGTTTCAAAGATGCATATATACACTACTCTACTCTACGCTACTCTACGCTACTCTACGCTACAATACACTACATATATACACATGCGCACGTACAGCGATAAATTTCCTATTTTGAAAAATAAAGTATCTTACCAGAAAGAAGAAAACAAACCGTTATTATGTACAATAGTTAATATGCAAAACAAGAGGCGACATTAAAGAATAAGATATTGATTATAAAATATTGTCATTCGTGCCTTGCTAATCAATCATACTCAAGTTAATCTTCTATTCAAATTTGGGATCCAGTTGGACCAAAGGATTGACAATAATAATAATGAAAAGGTCATCTCCATGAGCATATAAATATATTTTTCAAAGAAACTATGGACGCAAAACATGAATATAATACATTCAATTTAACCGTTGTATATTTATTGTAGTATTTCATTGTACTTTATTCTAGATTAGTTGTTTGATGTATTGAATTGTATTGGCCAGATCTATCGTCAGAGTAGATTTTGACTGGAATGACAATCACCTTTTTTTCTTAAAAAAAATCCCCACAATACGTGCAACCAATAAATAGAAGAAGATAATGCGTTTGTCGTGGTGGTTCGAGCAGAAGTCCATATGGGTAAGATAGTTCATACCTAAAAGGTAATTTATAAATGCGGTTCTGTGTTTGTTTCGGAAAAAACGGAATGTAAGCGATGCAAAGGACAAGAAGGATCGATTTACACTTTAACATCATATATCCAATAAGTCTTTTCTTCCCTTCTTTTTCTTTCTCTCTTTTGTTATTTTTGTTGCTCGTCTGTTTGTTCGTCTGTTTGTGTGTGTGTGTGTGTGTATGTTTGTTTTGGGGATTCTTTTGGGAGTGGCGAGTCTAAATCCCCACTGAGCCTGGCTTCTAAAGTGCAAAGGTTTTATTTTTTGTGCTATCGTTGCTGGTATTGTCAGGATTCAAGATCTTTTAATGCCAAACATTTGATCTGCTGTAGTTGATTCGGTTAATCATATGTATTTACTCCACAGATCTTGAGGTCTCTCAAGGATAAATTCGATTGAGCCGGGGTCGGGATTATTTTTCGCATTGGTGTTGATGGATGTAATGTTATTAAAGGAAGTAGCAGCTTTAAAGACTACGGTTCTAGTTGTTTATTTAATTTAACAAGGTAAGTGGTATTATTATTATTTTTATTTTTTCTGGTAAGATCAAATAAAACAATGCATGAAATTCAAACCTCTTTCTCATTAAGACGTTTTCGTATGTTTTGGTTTCATTAGGATGATATTTTTTGAAATGACTTCTAAAGCCATTCAATGACTCGAAGGACTTTTCCTTTTTACAAAGTTGACAGACAAGTGTCCTTTTGCTTGAAGGTTTAACGGTGAGGTAAGTGTTTCGTTTTGTAGTAAATGTCGAGTTCATTTTTTTTTTGAATGAAAAGCTATAAATATATATTTGCAGTTATTTCTTCAAGAGAAGAAATAGTACAATGTAAAATAAAATAAAATGAAATAAAAGTAAGCTAAATATTGTGTCGTTTGTTAGCCTTGAATATTTGACATAAGTTGCACTAATATATATACTGTGTATACACAAAAAAAAACTCTCAGAGTCACACAGATACACAGATACACAGACAGACTAGAAGAGTCCCTTCTTCTACATATATAAACATAATTGAAATCCAGAACTAGATTGTGATAAAAGTGAAAATACTACTTTTTTTTTTTATTATTGAAAAGTTATATAGAATAATGTAGTCTAGCTTATAATATGACTACTATTGATTGATTTTCCCTTGACAATAAATGCATTTTCTTAAAATATTCATTTTTTTTTAATTTCCCTTATAATCATTAGAATAAGAATATCAAAAATCAGCTGGTACTTTTATTTTATTTTATTTTATTTTATTTTATTTTGTAATTCTGTGATTCTGTAATTTTGTGATTCTGTAATTCTGGAATTCTGGAATTCTGTAACTCTATAAATTTGTAGAATTTAGGAATACTACTTGAGGGGATTTTTTTTTTCTCTGATGAAACTATATATATATATAGAAGGACCTTGTAATAATAATACTAATAAGAAGCACATGTATAAGGGCTGAGTTTGTAGCATTTACTCGTGTTGATATGCAAATGTCTTGGTCAATCTTGAAACCACTTTCTATATACATAAATATAAAAATCTATTATCTATTCAAATCATTAAAAATATACTTATTATTATTTTTTGTTTCAAATAGAAAAGGACAAATAAGCATAATACTTCATTAAGTTCAACAACATCAACAACAACAACAAAAAGACTACGCACATTTTGAATGAAGCTCATAAATATTTATAACTATTATTTAAGCCTGATTTTATTAGGGTTATTTTGACATTTACAGATCAACACCAGCAGCATCATCATACATTATTATACATTACTGTACATTTTTATCTGGTAGTAAGTACAACCAATATTAATATACACTTCAATTATTATACTTATAGTTCTCACAGCCACACACACATATATTTATATATTTATATATATATATATATCTTTACAAAATACTACAATCTAGATTACTTATTATTAAATATAAGAGTTTCAATTCAAGTTCAATTAACAGCATAACTTTGGTATTTGACTTTGTATTATTCTATTTCTCAATTACTTGCCTCATGGTACTTTATACTAAAGGGAGAAAGATAAAGAGGAAGAAAGAAGAAGAAGAAGCTGAAAAAAAGGGGAAAAAAAGATACGTCATTAAGTAGCCTTCTTCCCTCTTTGCTTTCTTTCTTTCACAAGTATATAAGGTCAACCTTGGCTCCTCTTCCCCTATTTTTTTTTTGGTTCTTGCTTTTTCAATTCTTTTTTTTGTTGCATTCTTATTTTCCTTCTTTTTCGAGGCAAAAAAAAAGAAAAGAAGCCGAAAACCACTTAATCATGGACTGCTCTATATGTTTAAAGACTGTCTATTTCGTGGAAAAGGTAGAGGCCAACGGACGGCCTTACCACAAGTCCTGTTTCAAGGTTAGAAATCAAATGAAAGGAAAAACTAAAATACAATCTAGTGTTGTATATTATCATCAAATGACTGACTAAAATAATTCATTCTTGTTATTAATTAATTAAACAATTAATATATAACAACACCAGTGCACAGAGAGTGGATGTCGATTGACGCTTGCTAATTTCCACTATTGCGAAGGCCGACTATTTTGCCCAAAACATGTCCCTAAACTACAAGCTATTGTTCGACGTACGTAAAACAAATACATATTCTATAGCCATCTCTTTGCAATCAATATCTGTTTGACTTGGCTCCCTTTTTTGGTATTCTTCAAATATACATATAAAAATAAGAAGAAGAAAAGAAAGGGATGCAGGAGGTACCCACAAGAGAGAAAGAAAGAGGGGGAGGGGGGAGGCTAATAGGGGATGTAGGGAAATAATTATACTAATGTATATACGTATGTTTGGTACTCATTCCCATTGATTTTTTTGTTTTTTATTTTTAGTTGGAATAATTCAAGAGGCTGCCTAATCATATATATATATCTACACTCGCTTACACAAACCAAATATATACATATATACCCATTATAAGAAACGGAAGCAGAAGAAGCAGAAGAAGAATATCCGAGACTCTTTTTTTTTTTATACATACAAGAGTCAAAATTATATATTCTATTCTATTTTATTTTATATAGTGTTGTTCAAGAGAAGGAGAAGTTCAATAATAATTATAAGGATGTTTATAGTAATAAAAGAAAAGCAAACCAAAGTATTTATTATATATATAATTTGAATTAAGTGCTTGGTGTAATCCCTGTAAATAAAAACGCCAGGCAAGGGAAACAAGGGTTAAAAATATAGTGTCTGTATATAAAACAACCTTGAAACTGAGTCGAATTCTGGAGTCTCGGGGAACATGTAAGGAGTTGAAGAATAAGAATAATACTGACATTAATACAAATATCTGATCATAATTATAATACTTGTAGCTATAAGTATTACTTGCTTTAATTACAAATGTTGCTTTTTTTATTATTAATATTATTTAAAATATGTAATATATGTATATGTATATGTGTATGTGTATGTATATGAGTTTTTGTATATGTGCGTTTGTGTATGTATATAGTAAGCATCACTAAAAAGTCTCTGGGTTAGATGGAAGCAAAGAATCATTGTCAAGAGGTGTGTAGATGAGATAACCAACAAAGCCAGAGTACATAATACCCATTCCCATCAGTACAGGCGGATAAGAGTATTCTTTCAGGAATCTAATGCACAGGTAAATATTGAGACCAAACAGAATCCAGGAGATTGTCCAGCATATGGTGTGCATCCAGCGGCTGTTTTTAAACGTGCTTGTCATTATTCTACTCGAGCTAGTAAGCTTGAGGATTGGAATAATAGCCATAGGAAGGCACAAACTATAGTAAAAAGAGATACATTAAATTATTTTGTGTTATATATTACATGTATTATTGTATATCTATGCTTATACCGAGTATCAAACATAAACACTCAAATAAATAGCCTCTATATCTATACCTATTTTATTTTATTTTTTTATTTATTTCTTTTTTACTTACCTTTGCAATACATTCAGAATCTCGCCTAGGGTGTCAAATCTATTGACGGCTAATACAGCCACCATCATACTGGGAACCAATGATATAGTACGAGTGAGAGCAACACGATGCCATTGCTTTTTAAATATAGCTCCAAAGAAACCTTCCACAACCTATAATAAATATTCTTTAATATACACATATCATTTTCCAATCCACATGTAAAAAAAAATCTTAAACTTACATATTGTCCGGCAAGAGTACCTGTCATGGTCGAACTCTGTCCGGCGGCAAGTAGCCCAGCTGCCCACAAATATCGGGCATATTCGCCCAGCGTGTTCCGTAGCACTTCAGAAGCATCGTACAGACCCGGAAGACTGTCTAGGGTGTTTCCGGGTTCATAAAAGACTTGTGCAAATACCACGACAATAGCCAGGTTTATAAAGTAGGATGTCAGGAGTGCCAAACCAGATTCAACAGCAAAATAAAAGTTTGCCTCCTTGAGTTTTCGTTCGCTCGGCTTCTCTCCTAGATTACGAGACATGACCAATGCACTGTGAGCATTTATATATATATATATATTCAAAAAAAACTTTAATGTCAGCATAATGATATATAATGATATGTATCCATGGTTACATTTTCTCTCTCTTTACCTGTGAAGAAACATATTGTGAGGCATAATAACGGCTCCAACCATACCAACTGCTTGGACAGCTGCATGCTCGGGAATTTCGGGTATAAATATGCCATGAAGAATATTAGGAATACTTGGATGAGACGAAATCATCTCAGCCCAGAAACAGGCGATCATGACTCCGATCAAGCTCATGAAGAAGACCTCGATTTTGCGGACGCCATATTGTTGCAGCCACATGAATAAGAATGTGTCAAAGGCTGTGATCAACACCCCTACCGGAAGGGTAAATCCAAAAATGATCTTTAGGGCAATGGCAGTACCCACGATTTCTTGGATGTCAGAACCAATGATTGCAAGCTGAGTAAAAGCCCACAAGAGATATCCTACAGGCCGGCTGTAGCTGTCCCTGATCAACTGAGCCAAATGTTTTCCGGTCACCACGCCCAACCTAGCCGACAGGATTTGAATAACTAGCCCTATTTAATATAAGCATATAAGTATGTGTGTTTTGTATATGTAAAGCCGAGTATTTGAGCGTGGCTTATTAGTTTGGACTATTAAATAACCAAATACACACATACACACATATATATATATATACCCCACACACACACAGACACACACACATAATTCATTAAACTTTACCAGCCCCATGAGCCCACAAGAGTAACCAAAGAAGCTTGTATCCTGCGACTGCACCTGATTGAAGATCGGACTCAAGATTACCAGGATCCAAATAGGCAATTGCCCTATAAAAAATATACATACAAAAAAGAAAAGAAAAGAAAAAGGTACACAATCGAATTAAATTACGACAGAAAAAAAAACTTAACAACTCTATTCCTAAAGAACAAAAGACATACATAAAACTTACATTAACCAACCGGGACCACTGTAAAGCATAAGTTTTTTCCATGAAAAGTATGGCTCATGTTCATTTTCATGTTCATGTTCTTGATCCTGATTGGTGTCGACCTGACCTTTGACATCCACTTCGACATTCCATTCGTAATCTTGCAATGGCTGGTTATTTGACAAGCTCTGGTAAGAAGGAACATTTTGTCTCAATAAACCGTCTCGTTGGCTCGGACCGTTCGAATTGGATCCAGCCATTGAAGGAAAGAAGAAGAGGTTGTTAGAAAGAAAGAAAGAAAGAAAGAAGAAGAAAATAAAAAAGAAAGAAGTACCTTTTTTTTTAATATAGTCTATTTTATTTTTATTTTAGAAACGTTTTGTAAGGTATGCATGTGCGTTGCATTGAATCGAACCCTTTCTATTTATGGATATCTAACGATCTACGTCACATTCAAACACCTCTCTATTTGTTTCTTCACTCCCTCCCCCACCCCCTTTTTTAGCCGACTTTTTGTCCTCGCCACAAAGAAGAAGAAGACCACCTAAAGAAGTATATATATATAAATATAAATATAAGATCTGGAGATAGTTATGTATCTTTGATATCAGCAGTAATAATAGTCAGATAGGGATCCAATTGTAGATATCACTTTTTTTTGTGATAATGTATCAAAAGTCTAGAAGATATATATTATAAGGGTCTTTTTCTCTATTTTCTTTCTTTACACTTCTTTGTGATTGATTGGGCGTGGGATTTATGATAATCAAAAGGTTATGAGTATTATTATCGGTAGTATTATTTTGAAGGATAAATAAAATGCAATAAATACAATAAAGGGTAAAATAAATAAATAAATAAATAAATAAATAGAAAGAAGTATGATAGCTTTATGGATTTTTTTTATATATATTATTTACAGAATAACTTGCTTCACCAATCTACGTCTCTCCCGGTTCCATTCATCAATCTTCTCACCCGAGGCAAGTCTCTTTGCTGTCTGGACTGCTACTAAATCAAGCGAGTGCTTGTCACACCATTCAAGCAAAAGCTCCAACTGTCTTCGGACAGACCACAAGTAACGCTGAACAGGTGAATAAAATGCCTTGGTATTTTCATCATTCTCTTCCAATCTACAAACAATACAACACAAAAAGGGGCGTTCAAAGTAAGTAACTTTCTGTATATAATATAATATTCACTTCACTTACTTGTCTGGGGCCTGGATTGGAGGAAGGGATTTGCAAAGTTCACGAGCCTCTTTAATGGCGTCATAGGCAATCTGGGGAAAGTAAACATTGCCTTCACCGATTTCCTTCTCCTTGTTAGATTGGCGGAGATCAAGGATGGCTTCTAATAAAGCTGTATCAGCGGTTGTCAGGCAGACTCTGACTCTGTCGAGGTTATTGTATGATTCGATAGCCTAAATAGAGATTTACATCATGAATACATTACATTCATAATACACCCATATACACACACACTTCTTTACAAAACACATAATCTAATATATGCATGTATGTTTGTCCTATTTACCTCTTCAATCTCTTTTTCCAAATCATCAATCTCCTTTCTCAATGAAGCCTCGGTTCCAAAGTCTTGGCCTTTCAATAACTATCAAATCGCATTAATAAAAAAGATGTTCATATACACAAAACTCATTATTTATATACTCGTATCAACCTGCTTACCTCATCTAACAGCTCTGTAAGGTCTTCACGATGATTCTTCAAGCTTCTGTAGTCAACTTCGTTCTTTTCATTCTGTTATTTTGATTTGTTTGTTAATAAACTTGATCATATAATAAACCTCTTTATATGTATATTACTTACTTGTCTCTCAACATCACGAATACGTTCATCAACCTCCTCTACCAGAGATGTTGCTTCTCTGACCAACTCTTCGTCCTTTTTCATGTGTTTCCTTACTCGTTCAAGTTCAGCCTTTACCTCACACTATTAAACCAATTTCCAGGTCAGAGATCCATGATATATATATATATTTAATTAATTTTTTAGTTTAATGGTTTCGAAACATAATAAATACTTACGGTTATGCTCAAAAAGAACCATTGAATACTCCAAGAATTGATGTTGATTTCTTCCTTCTTCCAGTAAGTCCTATATCAACCACAATAAACAATATTAGCAAAATTAGTCTTCCTTATTATTGTATATATATAAAACTTACAACTTGGTAGTTTTTTCTTCGAGATTCTTCTGAAGAGGCTTTTTCTCCATCTCTAAATGGCGAATGGTTTCGATTGTCTTGAGACATGGTTCTTCGACATGCACAAGTCCAGCTACGGCATGAGTCAAGTCTTCCAGAGCAGACAGTTGGGCAGGTTTAATGGTGGTCATTTAAAATGTATGTGTATATATATATACAAAACTTAATAATAATAATAATAAAGAAGAAGTGAATAAAAGTAATAAACGGGAGGTTTTTGTTTTATACTACTTTAAGCAAAAAAAAAAAAAAAAAAAAGGTAAAATGGGTTTCTATTCCCTTTCTTCTCTCTCTTCTCTTTGGTTGATTTTAATTTTCTCACCCCGCAATTACTTGTGTTATAAGAAAAAGAATCCATGTATATAAAATAATAGAATTAATCCCGCTTCCCCCAAGTACTTTGGGAACAACGGTAAGAAGTTGGAAGAAAAAAAAAATTAAAAAAATTGCAGTGGTGGTGGTGCAATGTGTGATGTTGTGATATGCATGGGATAGTGTGTATGTGGACATTTTTTTTTACAAAACAATTGTTTATACGTTTAGCAAGGCTATAAAAATCGTGAGGATTTAATGTGTATTATTTGAGGTAAATAGTATAAGGGAAGTAGTATAATATATATATATATATATGATAGAAGGAAAGAGGGAAAAAAAACAAGAAGAAATGAAATAGAATAGAATATAATGGGAAGGAATAGGATAAAATGAAGAGGGGGAAATCGGTCTTCTTGTTTTTTTTTGTATGTTTGGTTTGGAGAAGAGAATAGTAATAGTAATAGTAATAGTAATAGTAATAGTAATAATAAAAGTAGTACAAGAAAATTAGAAGAAGTACAAGAAGTAGTAGTAGTGGCGGTGGTGGTAATGATGGTAATGGTAGTGGTAGTGGTAGTGGTAGTTGTGGTGGTGGTAGCTAGAAATGAAAAAGAAATCTAATGTTTAATATCATCTAGTGGAATAGGTTCGTTTGGTAGGTTTTCCAAGTGCGCTTCTCTCTCTCGTCCAGTCTTCAATACAAGCTCTATTTCACGAATAATGTCGTTGTCATACGGATAGTACTGATGAAGGATATGTTTGGCTGCCACTCGGGGTACAAAGCAGGCCACAATCGCAAGCATCAGGACGAGCCAATAGAATCCACTACCAAATAATCGCAGGTGTCCAGCAAAGATAAAGGTATTGAACTGGGAATAGATGGCTACAAACAAATAATACACCAGAATCGAGAGAGCAATGATTCCAACCTGGATCCAAGTGTAACTGTAGAGCGAAAAGGCAATAAAAATGTTTGCCACGCACACACCAATACTCGACATAATGGTACCCATTTCGTAGAGTCCATTGGTCGAATATCCATTGACATCAAATGCACCGGCAACAAATAGAATGTACGGGAAGAAAAAGGAGACCGCTGATTGGTAGATCGCATCAACAACCGTGAGCCAGAAACGCCAGGTCTTGAATTTGTCGTTACGGAGACCCATATGGTAAAGTTCGGGGTAGTGCAGAGAAAGTCGGGCAGACAAGTCTTGATCCCAAATACCGAGAAAAATGATCGGAAGAGAGGTGAAGATGAGATTGTAAAGTGTAACAAGAGAATAATCAAAGGTCATTGAGCCATTGAATCTATTTGAAGAAAAGAAGAATTTAGTAAATAAGGTCATGTTTAGTATACTACAACTATATTTCATCAAGCCATGTCAAAAACTTACTGGCAAAAAATCTGATACCAGAACAACATAAAGGTCCACACAATATTCTTAAAAAAGAATCCCATAATCGTCTCAGCTGTACGCAGGTAGGACCAGCGACCGTGAACGAGCAATAACTTGCGGAGGAATCTGAACTGTGCAATTGCATAATCAGAGGCCATCACAGCCTGTCTTCCTTCGACGCCACTGATACCAACACCAACATTGGCCGACTGAATCATTGCCACATCGTTTGCACCATCACCAATAGCCAGAGTCATGACCTTGAGTCCCTTCTTGACAAGCATAACAACCTGTGCCTTTTGCTTGGGACTCACTCGACAACAAATGACACTTGCGCACTGCATGCCAAGGTCCAGGAGATCATCCTTACACTCATTTAAAAGAGCATACCGAAGAGTCGTACCGTCAATAACCAGTGCCCGCTTCTTTCCTGAGCTGTGTTCGGATGTCTCCAGTGCTTGTTCAAGTTGAGCCTTGGTCTCTTCTCTTGTCTGGGCCTTTATAACAACCAGCTCCATATCGACAGTCAAGAGATTGCAGGAGAAACCGATGTTGATCGCTGTCTCGGTTTTATCACCAGTCAGGACCCACAGTTTGATACCTGACTTGGCCAATTCGGCAATAGTTTCTGGCACACCTTCCTGAAGACGATCTTCAATAGCAGTACCTCCCATCAACAGCATCTCGCGCTCAATTCCTTCACACACTTCGTCAATCTTCTCTTCGCGACCGTGGATACTTGCGCTGGCTTCCTCGTATCGTTTGTTCCATGCAGCATATTCATCATTGGCAATAAATCTATATGCCAAGCCCAGGGTTCGAAGACCTTCATTAGCAAATTCCTCCAGGGCATCTGAAGTGGTCTCGCGTAACCGGGCCTGAGACTCAGCCAGGGCGGTCTGGTTTCCAAACTCTGTGCACAAGCGTTCGAAAATGATAGAATCGGCACCTTTGCAGAGTAATACGATCTTGTCGCTGCCTTCGGGTCGGACAATGACGCTCATTCTTTTACGTGTAGAGTTAAATTCGAGGATGTTTAGCAGCGTAAATCTCTGCTCCTTGCCTTTCACCAAAACGGTCAAGGTGCGAGTCTTGGCAGTGTGGTTCAAGAACACGAAGCCAAGATCACGAGCAGTTCCGACAAGTGCAGCCTCATCGGGAGACTGGGCCTTATATTCGATTTCGTCTTCGTTGTCCGGGTTGTTTCGTTCGGGGATCGCAGTGTGGCAAATTGCAAGTGCCAGACCGAAATGCTCCATCATTTGCGAATGTTCGTCACCCTTACCGAGATCTTCAAAGAATGCAGGGTCGACAAATGTGGGATTTCCGACGTGAGGGTTGTCGAATTGCTTGGCCTGTATTTCGAGCATGCGTTTCTTTTCTTCTTCCATGATTTCGTTGCTCAGCTCCTTTTCGCTTTCGTTTGTGTAAGACGATTCGTAGTCGTGGATTTGAGTAGAGTTTTCGGTATGACGAGTGTTCTGAGTACGCAGACGAGCACCTTGGCTAGCTTCAGTGGTGCCAAGCCCGTAAGATACTCCGTTGATTGTACACTTGCGAAACTCCATCACGTTTTGGGTTAGTGTTCCGGTTTTGTCAGAAAATACGTATTCAATTTGGCCAAGATCGTCAGAAATATTCCATGTTTTCGGAATACAGGGAGCATCTGTTGGTTCATAATACATGTCGATATCCGAGTAAATGAAATAAGCCTAATCATAGTAATAATAGTAATAAGTAAATGGCTTATAAACACATTATACATTGATATCAATATACTTACAGCAAACGTCTTGACAATTTCAACTGAAATATAGAGTGAAATTGGTACAATATTCTGGTACAAAATCAATGTAACCCTATAGTAAAGAAGAAAATTTATATATTATTATTAGTATCATTACTCTTTTAAATTCTATATATAAATATTTATACTTGTATTTGTAGCTATATCTGTAGTAAATTATATCTATAATTATAATGATATCTATATTTATATTTATAGATGTGTATATATATATTAAGAATATATATGTAATTTACCAAAATGTTAAGAATCCAGAATATGAGCCACTGCTTCCTTCAATGTCGTAGTCAAAGTAGCGTGATGAACCTTTGCCATTGAATTGAACACTATCGATTACGGAACTCACTATACACATTATTGCTAAGATTACAAAATTGGCAATAACCTTAAAAAAATTGTATTAGATAATGTTCTTATAATAGATAAAATACCAAGGAATTATGTTTGTGGGGCTTGTTTACTTCACTTTACTTTATATTATTATTTTATATGTTTAAAACTTACATGTGGATTTGTACCCTTGGCCATTTTGCTTCGCTTGGAAGGAGTTTGGCCAGAATTGAGCATGATTTTGGTTTCACTGCCGGTATAGACTACCATACAGATTACCCATTCGGTATTGCGCAATACACAGCCACGAAGAAGCATGTTGTTGTATGTAACTGGATCGGATTTCTGGTGTTGTACTCCTGAACGCAATGTCGCTGTCTCGTCAACTTCTTCGATTTCCCAACGAAGAACAGCGCTGTATTGGTATAGGTTCACATGTGGAGGCTCGCTCTCGATATAGAATCTTGCTCTTTCGCAGTCATGAACAGTCTTGAGGTCACTTGTGCCGGGCAAACCTTGGCGAGCCTTGAGATTTGTCTCACCATCAAGATTCTGTGTCTCGACATAGCACAGGTTGTCGGCGTCTGAGGTGGACAGGACGATGACATCTGCTGGTACATCTTCATTGTTACGGATTTTGATGTAGTCTCCTACTTGAACGTCCTGCCAGCGAGTTTCCTCCCATGATGCCTTGCAGTCGATTCCAGGAGGGTCTGTTGGATGACTATCGGCACAGCGTAGACCTGGTGCGACAGTAGAAGGACGACGGGGAGGGGAAGTGTCGTTTGTGGCGGTACGATAGAGGACGGAGTGTGGGATAGATCCTGGTCTGTATGGCATTTTGTTATTGTTGAGGTTGTTTTTAGAGTTGAGATTACTGCTGCTGTTTGGGTTGAGCATCCTACTGATTGAACGCAGGGTGTCAGACCGAGGTCGGAGATGGTGATGGGCACGCTTTGGCTCAGTTAATGGTAATGGTAGGACTTGATCAGAGTTACGAGGGGATCCGGTGTCTGTAAGAGGCTGTTTTTCTTCTTTGGGTCTGCGTTGCTTGGCATCTTTTGATTTTGAGTGTCGATAGAGACGGGCGTACTTATTTTCTGCGCCTGAGATAACACAAATGAATCCCCACGCGACTTTGAGGATGTGGAAACGACCCTTGGCTACTTCTGGTAAATTGACATTACGCCAATTCTTCAAGCCAAGAACCTTTGCCTTATTGACTCGTTGATCACTTTTACTACGTTTCATGTCTTCTATACCGTCTTTGATTGCTGTGATAACGATAATGACAATCAAAGGTAGGGCGGATACGGCGGGTTCTGTGACGCCAAAGATTGGGATGCATTGGAGGACGACGAGGAAAAGGAAATAGAGATTGGCGACGTTACGGAATTGTTCAAACAAGTTTTTAGGTACGAATGAAAGGATGGTGTATTTTGCTGTTCTAATTCGATTGTTCGCATAGTGTCGGTCGATAATACGTCCTTTGTGGTCATATTCAGACTGGGGTAACTTTGTATTTACGTAGATATTGCGACGCTGTTGCATGTACGACGATGTCGACTCTGTTCTTCGGAGCTCTTTTTGTTCCTCTTCATTCTTCAGCTGCTCTCTCGTCTTCTTGTGAAATAATGCCTTTACTCGAAGAGATTTATTCATAATGATTATCTAAATAGAGTAATAAATTCTAAACAAGAAAAAAAAAGTTGTCCAATGCTATCAGCATGCATGCATATATGTATATATTATATTATTGATTTAACATTTATATCATAAATGCTATAAAGATATATACAAATATAAAAGAAAATAGGCGTACCTTTTTTCATATATATATAATATATAATTGTTTAATATGTATAGGAATTAATTAAAGTAAAGATGTATATGGATATGTAGCAAGATGTATCTAACAATACATTAGCCTATATATATATATATATAAAAGGGAAGAAGAGGAAGAAGAGGAAGAAGAGGAAGAGAAAGGCTTAGTTCCTGGGAAAGTGAATATAAAATATGAACGAAATAAAATAAATAAATAAAAATAAAATAAAATATAAGCGGGAAACATAATCTTTTCGTACTCAAGGGGAAGGGGGTGGACGACAGAAGGGAGAGGGACCGATAAAGGCCCGCAAGTTTAAAAGCAGGGTATCCTATTAGATATCGTTGTCCCACGTGGAGAAGGACTCCAACGACTCTAGCGACGATCCGGTACTTTATTGAACCAGCACTCGGCTAAACACAACCCGTTCATTCCCACCTTTGGGATTTGAAGATGGTCATTTCACGCCACCCAGGCTATTTAGAATTGACTAAGCAGGTGCTATTGGGTCAGGGCCACTATATCTTGATAGCTGCTCTTAACCCACACAGAATTTGACTTTTATATCTATATAAATATGTGTGGGTCTTGTTTCTTTCTTCGCTTCTTTACCTTCTTTACCTTCTTTACCTTCTTTGCTTCTTTGCTTCTTTGCTTCTTTTGTTCCCTATTCCTTCCTTACCCTTTTTTTTTCTTTATCAACACAGGTCAAACATATTATGACAAAGATTCCAAGGTTCTATATTTATTTTTTTATTTTGTACACAGCATATCACTGTATACGAAAAACAAAAAAAAACACAAAAAACAAATGGCAGACATTACAACTCAGACATTACAACTATGAGCAATACGTTACGCGCCTTGCAACTTTCTCTAAGCCAATAGGATCCTAACATTTGGTTTTTAGTGTCTCATTTATTAACAAATGGGAGCTGTAGAGCTCCAGATATTTAAAACATCTTTCAACCAATTGGCTCTATTGCGTAATTAACCAGACCTTGTTAGACACTGTAGAAAGGTTTCAGTGCTTTGAAAGCAGAATGATATGGAAGCCATTGGATGTCTTGAATAGGTTTCATAAAAAGAAAACCGGAAGATCTCTGTGGACCTTTTAATCAAAATTTTGTACATATTTGTTTCAGAATTTATCATAATTTTGTCAATATTATAATCTTAAAAAAAAGAATCAAAACAATCCAACCGATTAGTTGGAAAATTCCTATTAAGGCGACATATTCTTAATGGTGGTTGTGATTGACACAGTGACTATAGTAACATAGTGGTAAGTAGCAGCAGTTATGTGTGTGTATGTAGGCTTTATTTTCATTACATATAGTTATCGATTGATTGATTGACTAACTGACTGACTGACTGGCCAACTTCTTTGGTCTTTCTCATCTTTATTTCTAACTTCAATTTATTGGTCTGTGCAAATACAATAATACAAAAGAGAATTACTTCTAGACGTATTGTCTGTTCAAATAAGACTTTATGATGTACCTAAATGTAATGCACGACTAGCACTTGCCAGCCACATGGCTCACGGTCACATATCCCTTTTCTCGGATTAGTAACTGCATGCCTAATGCTACTCTTGCAGCCAACTCCTTACGCAAAGTACCGCAGCAATTGTGCATCATCAAAATCATTGGCAACAAACGAAGCAGTGTCCAGATTGAGAATGACAATAAACATAAGTATATAATTAACTTGCCATCAAAATAGCAAGCTGTCAATTTTTTTGAGAGCAAATTTTTAATTTGCAATTTATTAGTTTGCAATACGCCGATCCAACTATTTTTGCTGATTGCCAACTTTTATTCCCAAGATCCGCCCTTACTACCACTAATACTATTAGTGCTTTAAATAAATCATATGTATGTACAAAGCTGATAATGCAGTCAGCAGCTTAGTGTATAGGAGAAAATTGTTAAGCCTTGCATAATTTATATTCAAACTTATGCTCTATATCTACATGCTTTACCATACAACTCATATGCACAAAATATGCATACATTTGGAAGGTACAAAAAAAAGCAATTAACCATGTTATCTTGACTGGTTTATAGCAAGTTTATAAATAAAGGCATATTTCCCAGCAACAACAAAAAAAAACTTTTGATACAGACTATTAAAGTGTTTAAAAGCATTACATCATTACCACAATTATCAACATTGACACTGGTACTGGTACTGGTGCTAGCACTAACACTAACACTGGACTATTGTTTTGTAAAAATGCAAATACACTATCTACGCCTAAAAGTTATCGATAAAGGCTTGAAAGGTTAAATTGATATACGGATTCCCAAGGTAAGATTAATTTATGTGGGTACGATCTAGACCTTTTGGTCGCTATAAGTATTATAGTTGCGAAAAATTAAAATCAAATAGACGTACCCGGAAACTAGTCAAAGAAAAAAGAAAGAAAGAAATCTATTGACATTGTGCTTCACATTATAGGCCTTAAGGATTAATGGGAAATGAATAAACGCGAATCTTATTATTATGGCTATGTTGATATTTTAATTAATTAACTACTATTGTTTCCTTTTTGCAGCAATATATCTTGAACACCCCATTTTACTTATAAATACGCGTGGAATTCAACCACAAAGTAAATACCCAATGTCAAAAAAAAAGTGTTTAACCCAAAACGTACAAACTCCTCAAAAGTCGAGTACTTCTTTTTCTTTTTACAGAAAAAAAATGTGCCTGGGTTATGTTACAATACTTGCGAGAGCGAAAGGTTGATATGATCATTATTATTTGTCATAAAACTGGACCTGTTGCACAGGACAAGTACTGAAAAAGAAAAGGAATTTATTACCAGGTGTATACTTTGTGGACACACTTTGCGGCATCATGACGCCCTTAATGGCTTTGTTTTGGCCGAGTTTCCGGGTAACAAGTGCAACGGTTACCTACAAATATACCCACACTCGCAAAGTGTATGAACCAATGCAATTTCACTTATATTCTAGAGACCTGAACCACATGAATTCTATCATAATTCCATCAAGATTGAAAGGGAAATAAAAAGTTTAAATCAGCTACGCGAATTAAAATATATTTCCAAAAAATCATAAAAGTAATAATATTAAGGAGCATGATTTCTAAGCAATCGACATGATTTCAAATAAGGTAGCGGTCATTTTTAGATACGCAACCTTAATTTTATTGTAGGTGACATTACTTTCCGAAAATTCACTGTACCTCTAAAGCAACACACACACACACACACACACTTATATATATATATACACCCCTTCTTTTTTTTAATTCACCTATTTTTGTTTGGTAACTAGGTGGCTTGATGACTTTAGGATATATATAATTGACAGAAACGCCACCAAAATAACATAGCAAAGTCTTTATTTAGCTACTTTAATATAAATTCTTAAGCTTTCTTTCTTTATATATAGAATACATCATATCATAAATCCAATATATTAAAAAAGGACACTATGCACGGATACTGCAACTATACCATGCACAATTGTACAAACAACAGTTTTACCGGTTAGAAACTACCGATTTTATTCGCCGCGTTGATCTTTTTTTTTATTGCTAAACTACAACAGGTTGTTTTGATAGCCATTAAAAGTCAAACCAGAACTCAAAATATTGAACTACTTTTAAAGTGTCTGTGTATGCATGTGTCCCTTCTTTCTGAGAAAACAAGTACTTAAAGGTAGGTTTACTTAAAGAAAGACACACACAAAAGAATAATGATTTTGATCAGAAAGTAGTTTTGATAGTTCAAGTGAGTATTCAATGTACAGATATGTGATTGCAGTACAGAAATCTTATTTTTTTTTTGGAGCAAGAATATGCCGGGGCCAGATTTTCCTTTTTGTCAGCAACACTGATAATCATACATTAATTTCTCTATTATCACAGCCCTTTTTATGTAGATTGTCATTCATAATCCCAGTAGGCCAACCAATGAAAGGAGAGAATTAAAAAAAAAAGTGTGTTGCATACAGAAATCTGATAGCAAAAAAGATCTGCCTGTTTCGGAATTAACTTGATCATCTTTTCCACTGGATGATCTTTTACACTGTCTTTGATTATATATTTATTTTAGTCTTATGTGCATATGTTTTAGTATCAGTCCTCAGCCTTCAATGTTCAATGTTTAATGATCGATTATATGTATAAGCATTACTATTAAAATAAATAAATAGAAAATTAAGAAGGTCTAATAAGAAAATTAGATAGGCTGTAAAATATATGAACAAATATAGAACAAAGAGTGTTATCCTAATATAATTGTTATTAAAAAATAAATTGAAATGATATTCATCACTAAGAACATGAATAAAATAGGTCTAGTAAGTAAAAGAGATTTCCAGGTTTTCAGCTCTGGAAAATACACACACAGAAAAAGTACAAGAAAGTAGGAGAGGAAAAAGATGAACGTCTCAACTGAAAGATTTGTGCAAGCAAGCATACAGAGTGAAACACAGTCAGTCAACAAACTCGCGAGTAATAACCTTCCAGAATTTAAAATCCTCTCCCACGCATGTCATATGTCGCGATAAAGAGGATCAAGGTACCATTTTGAACACGATGGATCCTGGGGAATATGCTTCTTCTGCTCGTCGTAAAGACTGTCAAATAGCCGGTCGGTCTCACTGCCGCACTCTCTATTCGGATTGCGTCGGACATCTTGTCCAGTCTTACTCTTTATAATTCTATCGTCATTAGGCACCATTTGGTCCCGACCCAGAATCTCGTTCTTGTCCAGAACCACTGTCGATAACTCGTTCTCTACATGACTATAGTTATGATTATGTTTATGATTATGATTATGTTTATCATCATGGCTATTTGGTCTTTTGCCACTTTTAGACAATGTCTGCGAATTTTCAGGCAAGTGATTATTATATATGCTTTTCAAGGGATGACTGACGCCAATATAGCGAGATTGAAAGTCGTTCATGATCGCATTTGGGTCAAGACAAAGATCAGGCGTTAGGCTGCCCTCCCTACTTATATTGCTCGACCATCCTTGTCTAATTTCTTGTGGTGAAGGAAGATATTCAAATGCAGTATAATAGCTATCGGTAGCTATCGAACTATCTCTCGAATACTCTTCGTTCATAGTAGTCATAGGTATCATGTTGTGTATAATATCAACACACGTTTGACAGGACGAGGCACGTAGTAAATGGTCTTGGATATCATCTTCATAATTACTAGCGGAGCCATTTGAGCCAGAGAGATCATCACCATCACCATCGGACTCGTAAATTTGAAAATCATCACAATTGTGTCCAAGGGGATCAGTATGAGGAGGAGAAGGATCTAAAGAAAATGGCTCGGCCCAGCACGCAAAACGCAACAATTTTCCCTGTCTTGGCTTTCGGAAAGTAAACTGGATAGTATTGTTGCCTTCTCGAACCAGACAGCGGGCCGGCAATCTCTCATTAACACTAGCCAACTGATCAACCAAAGCATCATTGTACTCTTTGTTGTCAATGTAGATCGATCCTGATTTCAGTATTCTTGAACCTGATTTAGACAAAGGCCTGGCATTCTTCATCTTCACATCATCTAAAACCTTTTTATTCACTCGCTCTCTATATTCCGCATTGTTTCGATTGTCTTCAGGAATAGACAATTGGTCAGGCTGGCTGGGGACATTATTTACTAGCTTTGCTTCTGGGTTTGAGGCGTCTTGAGCAGATTTACCACGAAACATCTTGTGTATACGCGTGTTAATGGATTCCCATCTCCTTGGAAATTTTGATTTCTTGTCTTTATCTGAGCTTGTTGTGGCTCTTGTTTGGGATGATTGTGAATGTCCTTCGTCGTCTTCTTCTGCTGCTGCTTGAATTGATGATTCAATTGCGGGAACAAAGGAGAACTCTTTGGTGTTTTCTATCTTGATACCGCTCGACTTTCCATAGTCAGATTTGGCACTTTTAGTATCGCTAACAATATCAGCAGTACAAGATGTGTCTGGTGCACTATCGATTATTGCAATAGCGGCAGAACTGAGAGTAACATCAACAGGCGGGTCCGACTGAAATAATGGGGATCCCTTGAATGGATCGAAACGGACAAAGGGCTCGGGAAGTAGTTGTACATTCCAATTCTCTTTATCTTTATAATCTGCTCTAAAAGCTATTTTCTGAACTTTATCTTCTATGACCGATTTTTTCTCACTTTGCTCAATATTCGATGAAAAATATGAACTTCCTTTGTGTTTTGGTTCTTTTGTTCTTGTTCTTGCTGTTGATGGTATATCTTCAGGTGAACTTCCATTAGGCGCAAAAAGGGATGAATTAGTTGCCTCTCCATTATTATTACTGTGGGTCAAACTTGGCATGTTGTTGGTATCCATTGTATCTGCACTATCTATTTGGACATAACAAGAGAGATAGTTTGACATAGATGTATCTGTCCCCTGAAGTGCTTCTGGTGATAGTTGAGGAACATAATATTTAACTGGACAGGGATCTATAGTAAGGCTTGGCTGGTTTCCAGAATGACCTTCGGTTTCCTGGTGAGCCATTAATGCCTCTTGTTCTGGTGGCTGCAATGTAACTGATGTTTCATTGGTAGTCTCCAAGGGTTTACGTGCAAGGGCCTTAGCCTGATCTTTATCAAAAACTCTCTCTATTTGATTGGGTCTGTTTCGACGCAAGACACGATCCAGTAAGGAACGTTTATAGGTACTTGACATTTGATTTTTCTTTCTACTCTATATGTTTTTATAAATATTATATAATAAAATATAATCGTTGTGTCGGAAAGAATACTTGTGGTTGATAATGGCAAATGTAATTAAGCAAAAAGTTATAGGATAAGGAAGAGGGCTCATCCTTTTTCGTTTTTATGTCTTAATTAAAGAGAAACTTGCGTAGCTTACAAAGGAAGTAAAAGATGATTAGTTTATCTTTCAATTCTTATTATTATTATTATTATTATTATTATTATTATTATTATTACTCATTATAAGGTCTAGTCCATTATTTAGTACATGTCTTTATCACATAAAACTCGTTGGCAGGCTAGCTATAAGCTTGAATAGTCAAACACAATGAGAAAATATACATACATACATATATAAAACATATATTGTTTCATGGTAGATATTGAATATCTACCATGTTATGTACTGGACATCTTGTCCTGTAGGTTGACAAAACCCTTTGTCATCACTAGAAAGTGAATGTCAGGTACATTCAAGGCCCGACGTCCTGATCCCACCTTTGGGTCTGGGCTCTAACTTGTAGGCATCCGCATGCCAGCCAAAAGACTTCCTCTTTCGTCTCCCACCAAGCACCGTATTAACGATGAAGTAATGTATTTCGTTCATTCATTCATCCATCCATCCATCCATCTGATGCATCTGCCATGAATGTACTTGTCGAATTCCATCTGACTTATTTCCTACCTTCCCTTGTGCTATGTTGACCCCTTTCACTATAATAATTACACCAGGCTTGAGATTTGCTCCTTCTCTGGCCACAAGATCTACCCTTCCAAGGGTAAGACTTACGTCCGCATTGACAGCAGGTAAACAATTTCTTGAAAATTATGGAGAAGACAAGAGTAGGATTAGAAAGAATAGAAGAAGGAGAGGAGAATGTATAAAATTGAATTGAATACAATTGATGATTGCAAGATTGCTAATTACATCATTTTTTTAATTCATTAAAATGTTTTTAGAGTAAGCAAAATTATACATCTATTACAGACATACATTCCCCATCGACGATTACCGAAACGCTAAAAAATTAGTTGTACACCTTTTGTATTACTCTTTTGCATTGTTACTTTTTTAATATTCTAGAGCTTCCGTTTCATCAACGGCAAGTCCGAGTCCTACTTCCTCCAGCGTCTTAACCCCCGCAAGATCAAGTGGACTGTCATCTACCGCCGTTTGAACAAGAAGGGTATCACTGAGGAGATCGCCAAGAAGCGTTCCCGTCGTACTGTTAAGCACGAGCGTGCTGTCGCTGGTGTCTCCTGGGATGCTATCCGCGCCAAGCGTAACCAGAAGCCCGATGCCCGTGCTGCTGCTCGTCAGGCCGCCATTGCCAAGTCCAAGGAGGCCAAGAAGGCTGCTGCTGCCACCAAAAAGACCACCACTGGCTCTGCCGCTCAGGGTGCCAAGGTCTCTAAGCAGGGTGCCAAGGGTTTCGCTCCCAAGGCTGCTGCCACTTCTCGTTAAGAAGTCATTTTTTTAAAGAAAAATTTACTGCACACCTTGTGCTGAGTCGATTTTTTTTTTGAAAAATAAAAAAAAGTATATATATATAATCTATCGAATATGAGATCAATCTGTTGGGGGATGGGGGAGTGTTGAGAGTGAGAACAAAAGTAAGTATTCGATCTATAGATTAGTAAAAAGATAACCAGGCTATTAGAATATATTTAAGTCAATACACATGAATGTATACATCTTGTACGTGTATATATGTATATATGTATATATGTATGCGTTGTGTGTGTCCCCTTGGTAACGAACTCAGCGAAAAATAGCATTATCCTTTTTAATACATGTCCCGCGGCTGGACCGAATGATAAATTGTATTCGTTTTTTACTTGTCTTGTTAATGTGGGGAGAAAACAGGGTTTTGTACTCCACTGACGGAACTTTTTTCAAACTAATAATAACATTAAACAATTTGGGACCAACGGCTTTTTAAAGAAAAGAAGGCCTTGTATTTTTCCAATAGTCTTATGTGATGTGTGATATAGACCCTCTTTTTGAAAAAAGAAAATTATTATAGAAAATAGATCTATACATTTTCTGCTGGAATCAGAAACTTGATTTGATTCTATTCATTTGGGTGCTATTGATCCATGGATCTTTGATTTTGTATCTCATTAAGTTTTTTATAATAATTTGCAAACCGTAAATCCTGATCTGTGAGAATTCAGTATTCAAAATTAAATGCCTTTTAATATTGTGTAAGATATATATATAACTCTATACTTGTCTAGAAAACGAGGCCAAGAATGTTTTCATTCGTTAAGAATAAATGCCTGTGTACCGACTCTCAATGGTAGACCCGATAACTTTTGTCATCGTTGCACTTGTCTTTATTTTTATTCTTTCTGAGTACCAAGTTTTTCTTTTCTTTTTTATGTTTGAATCTAACTTTGGATCGCTGGATCAGAGTAATACTGTTCTGTTAGCCACCTAGCCTTCAATATATGATCTGATCAATTTACGGCCTCAAAATATGCTTATATGCTTATATGCTTATATACATTAATCATATGCCAAACACCTTTCCAACCAACAAAAAAAGAGGACATTCATTAAAGAGTTTTGTGCTTGCAATTATTATAATAATTGTAATCTTTAGAATTATTAGAATTATGATTTGGAGTACAATTTTCCTCGTTCTCTACAATCCATAAATGTCATATGTCGTTATATCACTGGTCTTTTTTTTATTTTGTCTTTTCCTTCATTGACTTGTTCATGGGAAGTTCATAAAAATATATATAAAAAAAGATCCCTTGCATAACCTAACTTCAATTATTCCAGATAAATTGTATCTAAAGCAGATCAGAAATACTAGGCAAAGGTCATTACCTAATATAAGCACCAAGAAGTATTTCTACAAATTTGTTTAAGACTTTAAACAATATTTAGCCAGCATACAAACTCCCTTTAGAAATCAGTTGGTTTTTTTATATGTTTTATTTTGTGGGGCATAGTATATAATATAAGAGCATCAGTACTGAAGGAAAATTCTCCCGACTATAAAAAAAAAAAGAAAAAAAAAGGCTGCGTGTGGTACACTCTCCTTCCCGTTTGACTTGATTTGCTAATACATCTTCAAGGTCTGCTTAGGATCAGGTTATTATTTCCATATATTCCTTTCTGATCCAATAGGAGGCCCTGTAGGACACAGAAACCTATTGTGTTCATAGGCTTCCGAGGAACTACTTTGTCGTTCTTCGAAGTCTGTGTTCAAGGAAGGCTGGGTTAGGTAATCCTTTTGTGGCACAAAAGTTGCTTACCTAAGTAATTTTCAGCTTCATATCCGAAGCTATCCAATTATACATCTTACAGCAGCAAAGGATCACCAAATAATGTATAATTTGACACCCACACACTCATCCACCCATACACACACATGCCCACACGCCCACACTGATCCCGCTGATTTCTTCCCCCCTCTTTCACTCTTTACGGGTTGTGTGGGGGTGTCGCATTATCCCATCCAATTGACTTTGAGCTTTGGCGGAATGTACCGCCTTTTACATCGCCTGTCACGAAAATTACCTGTTTTCGTCTTTTTTTTTTCTTTAATTTTTTTTTACACAAGACATTGTGGTTGCGGACATGAGAACCACCAACTCGTTGTATTAATGAGCTGCCAAGCCAATCGGCCAGGTACTATATAAAGCCCTTTCAAAAACATTCAATTATTACATTGTGCTCTTCTTTCTCTTACTTTAATACCCTATATTATATTAAGAGCAATATGGGATTTATAACCAGGCTCACAACTAATGTCTACGTATGTATCGAATATATACTTTGCAATTCATCATACAATAAATACTCATCTTTCTTGTTTTACTGTCAATAGGCAATTGGTGGTTTTGCTGCCATTGCTGGTATCTTGTTCGGTTTCGATATTGGTTCCAATTCGGTAAATATTTATTAGTATTCTTGATCTTACCTGATTTGATTTGATTTGATCTGATCTGACCTACCCTGACCTACCCTGTTCTGACCTAATCAAAATCGACCAAATAAATAAATAAAAATAAAATAAAATTTTACAAATTTTCTAACAATATTCTTTATGTAATTTCTTTTTTGTTTAAAAAAATATAGGGAATTATCGGTACAACTCAATACCTCGAATACTTCCACAGCCCAAGCGATCTTTTGCAGGGTGGTATCAACGCCTCTCTTAGTGCTGGTTGCTTTGTTGGCGCTTTGGTTTCTGGTTACCCCGCTGATCGTTTCTCCCGTAAATACACCTTGATGGGTGCCTCTCTTCTCTTCGTTCTCGGTGCCGTCATTCAGGCTGCATCAAACGGTGTCCCCATGTTATGTGCTGGTCGTGTTCTTGCTGGTCTGTCTGTCGGTGTTACTTCCATGGTTGTTCCTCTTTACCAATCTGAGATTGCTCCCAAGGAGATTCGTGGTCGTATTGTATCTGTTCAGCAATGGAGTATTACTTGGGGTATTATGATTTCGTAAGTATTCTTTTTTTTTTAAAAAAAAAACAACTTTTATATATTTTCTCTAATAATTTTTCTATCCTTCCTTTTATTAAGCTTCTGGATTCAGTATGGTTGTCAGTTTATCCATAATACTGCTGCTTTCCGTATTCCATGGGGTGTACAGGGTATCCCTGCAGTTATCTTGTTCTGCGGCATGTGGTTCTTCCCCTTCTCCCCTAGATGGTTGGCTGATAATAACCGTATGGACGAAGCTATTAAGGTTCTTGCTGATATCCATGGTGATGGTGACATTAACCACCCCCGTGTTCAACAAGTAAGTAATCATTCAATAATGCTTTACAAGAAAAAAAGAAAGAAAGTAAACTAATATTTCTCTCTCTCTTTATAGGAAATCAAAGAAATTCAGGCCGTTATCAACTTTGACCGCAACATTGCCTCCCACCGTTACAGTGATCTTCTCAAGCCTGGAATTAGATACCGTGTCTTCCTTGGTGTCTGTCTTCAAATCTGGCAGCAGCTGACCGGTATGAATATTATCATGTTCTACGTTGTCTACCTTTTCCAGCAGGCTGGTATCGGAAGCTCTCAGCAGGCCACTCTTGTCTCGTCCGGTATCTCTTACGTTGTTAACGTTGTCATGACTGTTCCTGCCATTCTTTTCGTTGACAAGTGGGGTCGTCGCCCTACCATGATTTTCGGTGCTCTTTCCATGTCTCTCTTCCTCTGGATTGTCGGCGGTATCTTGAGCACTGGTACCTGGACTCTTGATGCCAAGGACAAGTGGACTGTCGATATCGGAAGCAAGCCCAAGGCCGATGCCGTTGTCGCCTGTATCTACCTCTTTGTCGCTTCCTTTGCCACATCTTGGGGCCCTCTCGGATGGATTTACCCAGCTGAAATCTTCCCTATTCGCGTTCGTGCCAATGCCGTTTCTATGTCTACTGCCTCCAACTGGCTTTTCAACTGGCTCCTCAGTTTCGTTGTTCCTATGTTGATGCAGCGTCTCCGTTTCGGTCTTTACATGCTCTTTGCCGGTTTCAACTTCTTGATGGCTCTCCACGTCTTCCTTGCTTACCCCGAAACCAAGGGCTTCACTGTAAGTTTTTTTTTTAAAAAAAATTCGTCGTCTTGTTTTGAATGTTTATTTACTTATTTATTTTCTCACTTTTTTTAGCTTGAAGAAATGGATATCGTGTTTGAGCACAACCCTCGCAAGAAGATCTCGCGCTCTATCATTGAAAAGGAGTCCGCAGACCGTTTCCGTACCCTATCTGAGGGATCGATCAATGAAAAAGAAAAGATTGCTGTCAGCAGTGATGTCTAAGAAGAAAGAGAAATCTCAAGACAAATTTTCCTTGTTCCTACATACTCCCTTTTACCTACTTACCTACTTACTTACTTACTTACTTACTTACTTACTTACTTACTTACTTATCTACCTACCTACCTACCTACCTACCTACCTACATACATACATACATATTTGCTATAATATCTCTTAGTCCATTATTTCATAATATCATGATCTCAAAGCATTAATCTTATTATCTTCTCGCTCAAAGTATCAAATATATTTATTTTTCAGTTTTACTGTGAGAATTTCTTTGGTTTCTCTTTTTCTTTTAAAATCTTTATATATATCAATTGTGATAAATCTGAGCATGTTTCTTAAAGATAAATACTCTAAAAAAGAAAGAGAGTTTCAAAGGGATGTATATATTATTGTCGAATATATACGAATATTTGCATAAAAACAAGGAGATTATATAAAAGTCTATAAATTTTGAAGGTTCTACTTTAACCACAACTTGGCTTGTCTTGCTAAAAAATTCCCAAGACCAATTGCTCAAAAAGAAGATTCATTAAATTTATTAAAGTAAATACATGTCATTAAGCAACAATATACATACATACATATATACATATATAATTTTGTGTAAATTTCATATTCGTTAAAGATCATATGATTTATTGATAAGGTTTGATTACCTAATACTCGATATAATTGAAACCTTTTTGACAGTAGGACAGTAATGACCACCCCTAATTATACCTGAATGAAAATAAATAAATATACACTGCCACACAAATATTCGATGATTCGTCTAAAATTCTGTCCAAAGAGCAATGTGACTTTCTCTTTCTTTCTTTATATATATATATATATCTACGAGACATCTGCAGTTCAGGTGATTTTCATTTAAAGAAATGTGCATTACCTTAATACCGTAACAAAAATGATAGGAAACATTAAATATTCATTAACTCTCTCCAGCATAAAATTAAAGGGCCAATGGACTGGCCATTGATTAAGTTTTTAACTGCATCTGTTACTTTCCCATCTATATATTAATTTGCGCGTGCTAATTTGGTGTAAAACAAATGTTACCCTAGATACCCTGCCTTATCGGTAATAAACACGCATGGGTCCCTAATAATGGCGTAAGGTGTTTTCACTACTTCAATTAACAATGCAAAGAGAAAGAAGAAGAAGAAGAAAAAGAAAGAAAGCAAAGGAGCAACGGAGCAAAGGAGCAAAGGAGAGTAGGGAATTTTATTATATATAAATATGAAGAAAAAAGGATAATATTTTATTAAGAGTATTTTTTTGTTTTTTTGTTTTACTTACTCAATTAATCATGCAAATTCGTAGCTTGATTATAGTTCTTGTTACAACGACAGCTTTATTAACCCACGCTGTCCCACTTTCACCCAAAACATACAACAAAAGCCTTAATAGGCGTTCGGGTGTAACCGTAAAATCGTCACCTAGTATCCACCAAGAATTTACTACTACAGATACTTCGACTGATTCATCCAGTGATGACTTGTCCCAAAGTTCAACAAACACTACTAATTCAACTATCGTATCATCTCCTGTAATTCATCAAGAAACCATTTCCATTGATACAACCACTGGCATGACAACAACGACAACTTCAGATACTACGGTTTCGGCCCCAGTAACAGTGATCACAACTGATGAAGATCCAGAGGATGGACCCAAAGAAGCCGATAAGAAAAATACTAAGCGCTCAAGTTCAAGTATCGATATAAACACAGACCCTATAATTGATCAAACCTTGGTTTCTGTTGACACTTTTGTAAAAAGATCTGCAGATCATGACAAGAAAAATGCCAATCCTGCTAGTGTGATCATATATAACTGTCCGGGGCATAGACAAGCTATCATTACAGCCGATGACTACTCTCCTTCAATTGAAACCAAAAGGCCCAGATCGAATGGTCCCCATTTGAACCCTGCATCCCCTCAAGGTTTAGCATTACCACAAAGTGTGGACTACGAAGCCTCTCCTGATGCTTTGTCTGGTTAATTATTTTTTCTTTCTTTCTTTTATATTATATATTATATAGTATATATAAAGATACCCCTTCATTTGAATTGGAATAATTGCCATTTTTAATACAAAATATCTATCGACACAGCTATAAAGAGAAATAATGGTTATTGGCTTTGTGCAAATAAAATCTTACAAACAAAAATTCAGTCGATATAAATCAGAAGAAAGAACCAAAGAAAGAAAGAAAGAAAGAAAGAAAGAAAAATATATGTAGATAGTTTCAATGAAACCAGAAATGAATAATACAAGGGTCTTATATTTATAGAATATGAAGGGTTATTATAAGAAAAGAGACCACTTTTCTTTGCTAGTAAGGAAGAAAAGGTTCGATTGTTTATTTTTTTTTGTAGAAAGGGGATGGCAATACATCGTCCGTCTGAAATCCAAAGGATTAACGTTAATCACAAATACTATAAAGGTAAGGCACAGCCATTTCTGTTAATCAAATGAACCGCTTGTAAAGGATATATATATATATATATATCTTATCTCTAGATGGAGTAGCCAAAAGAGTATGCATTTTTACTATTGAAGAAATTAATTCTGCAATTTCTTTTGATTGTGTCTTTAGAGTGCAGTTGATGTAAGAGCTGGCTATAATGAATCCACTCAATAAAATCCATCGACCATTACAAGTATCCAATGAGCTAACGTGGAATGTGACTTGCAAAAAGTATCTATACTTTTTTTTTAAAACAACGTCGTGCGTTGATTTAACTTCTTTAACGGAGTTTACTTTAATAAGACCCTTTGCAGGGAAGAGGATTAAAGTATACATAGAGTCTTGCATCTACTTTACGCTTTTTGCCTCCTTTCATAATGATGCGTGCTGATGGTAAAAATGTGAAGCAAAAATAATGTGGCTTTCTTCTGATCATGTGCCTGTGACTTTTACCTTTGAAGAATGTGGGAAAGAAAAGTAAACAAAAAAAAACAATGAGCGCCAGAGATGCTAGGTTATGAATTGAGTCAAAAATCACCATTTGCTTTATGGTCATAATACATGATTGCGTTTTTTGATCTTCTTATTTTCACTCAGAAATGAAATTCTTACACTCTTTAGATCGAATGACCTTTAATTAATTCCTCTCATTTCAAAAGAAGTGCGGTGTTAATTAAGGAATTAAACAACTAAATCCTAATAGCAAAACAGGAATTTTTAGAATAAATAAAGGCTGAATTTATTGACGAGAACGATGTATTTAACTCTTGAATATATTCACTAAATATACATATATAGTCGATGCTTTGTTACTTTCTGAAATTATACTGAGTTCTTGACCATTACAAAAAAGAATCAAGCTTTTTACATACAAAACCGATAATTGAAATTAGTTTTAATGGTGAATAATACATACTACAACAAAACGGAAAAAGGACATTATAGAAACCTTGATTTATTTTGTAGTATTTAATTTAAACTTCTAAAGTGAGCCATAATGTTAAGATACTTGCTTTGCATACTTGATAGTTATTGCATTTATGAAAAATTATATTTGATAATTTTGTTGTACCTTTTCTTTTTAATATGGAGTCGTTGATAACGTAAGCACAGAATTGACTGTAATGTAACCATAGAAATAAAATATAATACTTGAAGGTGGTTTAAAAGTGGTGTATTATGAATGAAGTATAAAAGAATAAGAATAAGAAAGATAATCGAATATCAATGATGATTAGATCTACCATTGAGACATTACGATTAAAGATACATAAGCTATACCTTTTTTTTTCTGGTATTTTGAAAAGAGCACTTTTTTATTTGACAAGAATACTACCAGAAATCCAACTTTTCTACCAAGTTTTTATATCTAATATAATTTGATGGTAAATCTACCTTAATGACTCCAATATTGTCGATTTGAGACCAAGAAAAAGAAAAAGAAACACTATCTGTAAAATACTTTTCCATTTAGAATGTTAATATGTTTATTGTTATGAACCTTAAGAAAGAATTTTTTTTTTTTAAGAAAAAAGGGCATATTGAGTGCCTCTCCCAATATTTTTCATGCAATGTAATAAAGTCATAAAAGTAAGCTTTATTATATACAGCTAAACGAACAGAAGGTCTGTATAGTTTCTGCACATAATCAAGATTTTAACACAAAACTTAAATATATATATATATAAGGATTGTTGAAGAATGTATTACGGTTCAGATTTACAAGCGTTGACTGACTAAATAACCTTATTCTTTTTCTTGTTTAAAATGTAAGCTTACAGATAATAAAAACTTTCAAGGCAGTACATGAATATAATCAAAGAAGAACGTAAAGGGACCTTACAGTAACTAGGGGGGTAAGTATCCACAAGGGATGGTTAACCTGAGCTGATCACTTATTCATTCATTCAACCAACCAACCAACCAAAACAACAAAAAATTAAACAAGAGATATTCACTCTTGATGTTTATGCATTATGATGATGAAGAGGACGTGTTTTTTTTAATAGGTAAAAATCCGATAGACTATTAAGATTAGATTGACACCAAAAGATAATGCAAGTAAATTTAAGGACCAACTCTGAGTTATCCGACCATATCTGCAACACGAGAGATTATAATATGTACCCAAGAGTTAAGGTTTGACTGAAGGAGAGACATAACATACAGTGCGTCTAACATACATACATATGTAGGTATACATGTATGTGTGTATGTATGTATGTATGTATGTATATATATGTGTGGTTACGCACTACATTTACTGTTGCCTAGCAAAGGCCAAGAACACCAGGAGGTATTGAATGCAGGAAAAGAAGAAGAAAAAGGAAAGTAACATTGACAGACTTCCATTTACAACATGAGCCTGTTTATTGAGGAGGCTTATTCTGCAAACTAAAAAAAGAAAAATGGTGCTCAATTTCCTTCCTATGAGACCATGCTCAAGTTAAAACACAAAGAAAAAAGTGAAAATTTCTAATAGTAAAGCAGACTTGTATAGCTTACGATATTATGGAATACAATTCACAGAGGCTTATTAAAGTTTGCTTTGTAAGTTTACGCAGAATACTATTGTGAAGAGAAAGATAAGCCATTCAGTTGAGTTCAGTGCGTAATCCGGGTATAGTTCATTCTGAATCAAGAAAGAGCGTCTATAGAAGGAACGCAAGATTCTTGTATTAGGAAACTGCATACAACATTATGGCACCAAGACATAAAACTGAGCCTTCCCTTCAAAGCATAATTCTTTTTGTGATTCTGATATTATTGTGAAGTAAGAGATTAGGTACTTTTCTCAGCCTTTATTGACCCAAATCTTTAATTTCGAAAGCTAAAATAACTTATATATATTTATAAGAAGTACTTTGACTAGCGTTCTCTAGTCTTTCGGGTTTCTTTTTCATCTCCTTGGCTTTAAATCCAAGTCAAATTCTCGCATCTTGATTGTTACAATATCTTGAGCTCCGAAAGGCCAAAAGAAAACCTCGTTATTATTATCATTATTATCATCATTATAGTTTAATTTTCTTTTGTTACCTTTGCTTAGCTTGTACTTTGTCCCTTTTGGACGCTGTATTCATATATGATGTTGTTTAGAATACAATGGGCTTGTAACATTAGCTTTGTGTATTTGATTCTACGTAGAATATACTAGCTCACTCTGACGAGATTGTGGTCGTATGACTTGTCTTCCACACCTTAACAACGTACAACCTCTTGGCTGTAATTTTTTCTTTCTTTCATGGAAATCATCTCCTTAAAAAAACCCCATGATGTGGGACAGAAACTCTTGATCTGTGATAAGAAATGAAAGTTATAGCGTAGTGCTCTGCAAATAATAATAGCAATAGTAATAGTAGTAATAATCCAACCATAGACTTTGAACTATTCCCAAAAAGACATATATTCTAAAAACACACACACACACACAAAGGCTGTACCTGAGTGTAACCTTTATAAAAATAAAAATAAAAACAAAAAGCTTCGGGGAATTGATTTGAGTTTTCTTTAAAGAAAGTACAAAAAAAAGGATACTGGTATTTTTTGAATACTATTAATACATCAAGTGGGTCTCGAAATGTATGACGACGGTGATCATACTCATGATGATGTAGAGAATAGTAATGTTGGTAAAAGTCGGATATAGATATACTTGGCCTATACTCAAGTATGTGTATGGTTTGCTAAAGTAAGAAAGCCAAGAGGTGCACAGAAACGACGATTTGTGAACTTTAGAGTTGTACCTGTGTATCTTTGTAGTACAGAGTTAGAAGAAGTCTATGAAGAAAAAGAAGAAGAAAAGTTTGAAAATGGTTACTCCCGTTTGGCCGTTTCTTTTTTATTGCTATTTTAAAATTAACTCCCAAAAAATAAAAAAATAAAATAAACAATACAGAAAATTTTGGGAAATATTTAAAACTGATATAATTTTTCAAAAATAAAGAATGAAAGACTTTCACACAAACACACATAATATACAAAGCTCCAAGAAGTTGTTTTGTGTTTTGTTTATTAAAATGTAATACTGATAGAAATAAGAGTAGCAAAAATATTTAACTAAAGAAAGAAAGGTTGAACATTGAGAGCAAATTAAAAGAAATATATAAAGAAATAAAGAAATAAATAAAATAAAATATGTGCGCGAGTGAGAGTGTTGTATGTATAAAATATGGCTCTATTGTTTCTTTAATTGACAAAGGGAAAGGTAATAAAGGTTCCATTTTTTTTTGTTTCTTTTCCTTGGGTAGTCCGTCTATTATAAGTATTCTTGTTAATTGAGGAGAAAAAGGAGGAGAGAAGCTAGAATGAAAGAATAAGATCAACTTCATTCATTCAATGTAATATATATATAATAATAATAATAATAATAATCAAGGCAACCATAAAAGAAAGCAAGAAAAGAAAGAATCATATTCTTGTTTTAGTGAGACTTCTTGTAGACTCTCAGGCCATCGTCCTTGTGGTCCTTCTTCAATGCTAAACCGATACGCTCACCATCGGAATCAAAGGTAGTATAGAAAGCGTTTGTGAAAGTTGTGCCAAGCACCCAGTCACGCTCCGAATTGCCACGGCTGAGACGTGTGGTGCAGTAGCCACAGCAGTCGGTGGCGTTCTCTCGGTGAACCCAGTACTTTGCAGGCAATTCAACAATGTGGTCTTCCAGAGTTAGCTTGAGAGTAGGAAGCTTCTCGGCCTCGCAGCAAACGAAACGATAGGTCTTGTCAGAAGCATGATATCTTCCACCAAATGTATCGTGGAACTTGTCAGCTATTTATTTTATTTCATTAAAAAAAAAGAAGAATTAATTAATATTCAAAAAATAAAATAAAATAAAAAATTTAATCAAATCTTATCTTACCTTGATGAGGAGGCATAACAATAAATTGACTTGAAGTGCTAATTGAAGCAATGGCATTTGGAAGCTGCTTCATGTTGAGTTCATTATCAAAGTTGGCGTCACGGATACAGACATCCCAGCCATGTGCGTCTGCGTCTCCAGTATTGGCAAGTGGAATGTATTCAACATCACCGCTGATAGCTGAGGTATCAACACCACCTATTTTTTTTTAAAAAATAAAAATAAAAATTAATATTTCTTAGTATATAATTGTGTATATAAAAGTTATTTTTAATATGATTAACTTACCAATAACAAGATAGCCTGCAACTTGTGTTTGGGGGTGGTAGTTACGTTTAACAAATCCAAATCCGCCAGATACGACACCAGAACTACTGCTAGATGAAGTAGCAGCCGCATCAGCAGAGGTTGTGGCTGTGGCCGCAGTAGAGTTATCGGTTGTTGTGTCAGATTCTGTTGCGCTAGTTCCGGTTCCAGATTGACTGAAGCCGTCGTCGCTTGTAGATGTGGTGTACATGCCAAACTGAGAACTTTGGACACCGCTGCCTTGTTGATAAGCGTTGGGTACAAAGGCTGAGGCAGGCAGGGCAACATCTCGCTTGGCAAGACCAGTAGATGAAGATGTGTGGAGTTTAGTGCTGTTGAAGTTGACCGAGCGTCCGAGGCCAAGATAGCCATCAAAACCATCGTCAAATCCGCTCATACGGTAGGCTCCACCGAAAGGCATGTCGTGTACTGTCAGACCGGCGAATTCGAAAGTGTCGAGGTACACATGTGTGTCCACACAGCTGTCGCCGTATTCAACCGAAAATTTCTCGCCGGTAGAGGTAACCGTAGAGGAGCGTCTGGCGTAGTATGTACAACGATCCAAGCAATTCTCGGACTTACAACGGGAGCCACGGATCCAAGAATAGCCTGTTGTGGTGTCAAAGGCTACAGTGAATTCTTGGGGGGGAGTACCAATCTTGACTGTTCCGGACAGAGCACCGTTGTCAAGCTGATATCCTGCTGCTTTGGTGATTCCAGTCTGATTAGCAGGGTTGGTGCGACGGAACAAAGGGATTTTTACTGGCGTCGGGTCTGCGGTGACGGAGAGCAGTAAAGGAGCAATGGCTGCGATGAAAAAAGTAGAGTAGCGCATCTTGTGATTTGGGGATTGACTGTCTATCAAAAGACTGAAAATGGATACCAGACAAATAAAAAATAAAATAAAAAGAGGGAGATTGCAGGTGCAATAAATAAAGACAAAATAAAAGGGGGTGGACGAGATATTTGATTTCACAAGCAAAAAATAATAACAATAATAATTTTTTTTTTGGTTGCTGTTGTGATTTGGGATTGTTGTTCTTGTTGCTGTTTATTGGTGATGGTGATGGTGGATATCAGAAAATAATCAAACAAAGAGATTCTTTTGTAACGACTGATGCTTTTGTTATTGTTGTTGTTTTAAAGAAAAGGAAGAATAATAAAAAAAGGGGGATTAAAGAGGGGTTTTTTTTGTTGGAGGTCTATTGTTCTTCTTGGTTCTTCAAGAGGTCTGTCCAAAGGGCAAATGAAAGCCGGGAAAAGAGTGCAAGAAGAAAGAAAAAGGAGCGCACCCAGGGCAAAAATAAGGACTTATAAAAGGCTGAAAATAATTTGACTCGACTGAATGAATAAATAAATAAATAAAAATATAAAAATATATATATAATATTTATAATGCTCGATTAACGGAGAGAGAGAAAGACAGAAACCCCAAATATAGACATACAAACATATTTATATATTTATTATACAAAAGAGGGGTTATATATATCATGTATATATCATGTATATATTTGTATAAGATGTACATAATCAGCCAATTATAATAATGGAAGAAGTTACCGTGTGGTGTTATTCGTATTGACTAGTTTATTCAATTATCCTCCTTTACATAAATCAACATTGTTCCTTTGCCAAGTAGATTCACCAAGCTTCCTCACACATATATTGCCATGGTTTCTTAATTATGATTTAATATCCGATCTATTCAGCAGCAATGAACGGGGCGCTCGATCGAGTTCCCATGTTTTCCTCTGCGTCTAAAATAGATCGAAAAGAACGCTAGGCAGATTCACTTCTTTTTCCCTTTTTCCTTTTCATATGAAGTGTACCAGTCACATTCTAGACTAATCTTGCAATCAAATCTAAAAAAAAAAAGAAGCAAAATCTCACACAAGGCAAGACAAAGTCAGTTAACTCTTCGTTCCTGGATGTTACACTGGCATTGTTCATTTTTATTCTGTAAATAGACCTCTTTGTTATTCTTTATTAGGAATCTTGGCAATTTTTCTTTTTTTTTTTTGATCTCTTGTAAGTCTCTCGAGACACAGACAAAAAAAGCAGGTGGTGTATTGGTTGGGTCATTCGTCCCGCAATTCAACGATTTTATTTAGTTATTTTTATATACATAAAAATAACTCTAACTAACTAATCGTTAAATATAAATGTCTTTATTTTACTACATAAATTACAATTTTATATCGAGTATTGAGCAGTAAGGTATCAATAACTAGCTACTCTAAATATGGTATATCCCTTTGCTTCTTCTTCTTCTATCGACTTTTTAGACATGGTCTTTCTCCTTGGATCCTTTTATTGCTTTAAAATACTGGTGGCGCACAAATTGGTCAAATTGCCTTTAATGGGCTTTTGATCAATATATGAAAACACCGACCAGTGACCATTTTTGTTTCAACTATCAGCTTAGTCTAAACTGACAAATGTCAGATCTTTTGTCCCAATCAAATTACACTCCAACATAGCCTATCAAATAAGTATTCATCTTTCTTTTTTATTATTTACAAAAATAGATAAATAAATAGCTTTTTATATTCATTCATTTAACCGTGTATTTAATAATTCATCAGACAATCTTTTTTTTTGTTTTTTGTTCCAATAACTTGAAGAGTTACAAAGGATATTAGAGGCTACATGTCTAATTCTTATATAGAAAATAAAGTAAATGGTAAATCTCTGGCAAATAAGCACTCAGAAGAAGAAGAATAATAATAATAAATCAATTAGACGTGTTATCATGACTGCTGAATAGCTTTCCTTGTTTACTAATCAAAGACTAGTTTGTCATGACAGAATACACACCCAACATTAGACTGAGTATAATAAATATAAAGACATGCTAAAAATGATATGTCAACTCGATTTAAACCATATATACCGTATTTGTAATAAAAATTGATGATATTTGAGAGCAAGCTCTACATCAATAAATGCTTAATTTACGATTAGTGATAAAATAAATGGATCAAAAGTCAGGATTCAAGAAAGAGTATTATGTAATTCAGACTTTCAAATCCAAACACATAGTCTTTGTTTTTATTTTTATTAATACAAAAAGAAGAATAAAAAAACATTGCAGTGAAGTGCAATGCAGTGTAATTTTTAGTACATGTATAAATATATTGAAGTGAATGAATGGTTAAAATAGTGAATTATTGTGCTCTTAATTGAATAAATTGGCTAAAGGATCACTTATTCAGGAGAATATGAAGATTAAGGGTTAGCTGTGCCGAGATCATTTTTATTATCATTATTCCTAAAGCGTGCCAATTATGGTGATAGCCTAATAACAAAAAAAAAATCCTCCCCTTCTTGTCAGTGCCACCAAAAGAAGCCTGGACCATAGTGGGACAGAACCTTGGGTACTACCATTCTGACGTTCAATATTACTCCGTCCATTAAGCACATATTTGCCAATTTTATAATTAAAATGAGAGATTTGGTTGGCTGACAAGATTACAGATATCCTTTATTTTTATTTTTTATTTTTACTTATCTACATTGAATTATTCTTAGGTTCATCTCCAACTTACGGACCCGAGGCTTCAAATATTTATAGGTCTTGGATCAACTCCAAACCATGCAAATATCGTCTTGCATAATCCGCACAGCCCATATCTGAGCAAAGTTTGATTCAAGCTTCTTTAAATAACCTATTTACTATTAATTATGTATTACTTTTTAATTAATTTATATCGACTGCGACAGTCACACTATGTACATTTCTTTTTTTTTTTAAAAAAAATGTATTATATTATTTTCTCTTTCCATGGTGTTGCATTGAGAAAGACCGAGTGTTGTATGCCAAGTGTTGTTAGTCCTATATATATAATAATGTCTTGAATACAAATCAAATGTGTATTCTAGGCAGAGATATCCAAAAAAACACCCGCACTTTGTGTACATCGGCTTGGCTTCCACACAATGCTTCTCATTAATCAGCCCGGATCGAGTGATAAAGCCCATTATAAGTTTTTTTTTTTGGAATTCATTGTTCAAAATTTCTTTATTCTCGACAGCCAACACAAATAACCCAAACCAAATAATCTATTTCGAGCCTATATAAAGATATATATATATATCTTAACTCTTACTATATTTTGCTTTTGAATCTCAAAATAAACAATAGGTGCATACTTGAGACACACCCTAAAGCTAAAGAACATCCTACTGTCTTTATTTATATATTTATTTCTTTATATTCACATATAATTGGCTTAATAAAGTCAGGCCCGTGGATATTACTGATTTGTGTTAAGGTGGACTTAAACACTGGTATTAATGTCTACAAGCATTCGTACTTTACTGTGCTGAATAGATAAAGGTACCCAGATTTACTTTATAAGAACTGGCATTTTGCATTAAAAGAAACTCCTTGTAGGGTTTATAGTGAATATAAGCCATTTTTTTTGGCAAGTAAAAGAATAAGAAACAGTAAGAAAAAATACATATATTTAAAAGAAACGTTTAATACACAAAAGAATATTAAGCAGTAGATACCTGCCTTGTTTTTGTGAAATAATAATAAAATATAAAAAAAAGCTACTTCAAACTTTTCTGTTTTCTAAACTTCTTTATCTGAAATTCGAATAATCAAATCATGTTAAATGAAATAAACCTTTCAACAGTTTAATAATCACCAGTAATATTATTAACAGTAATATCCCCAGAAACAGTAACCCAGATCATAAGATAACTGTTTTGGGTCAAAATGAATTGCTCACATTTTGATAATTCATATACATCGTTTTAAAGTGCAAAAAAAAACACATCTACCAAAAGTGCAGAAAGGAAGTTAAGTAGCGCACCAAGATTTATCGCATTAGCTCAACGCATATATGTATAGCAACAATAAGAAAAATACGCATCAAGATACTTATGAAAGTTGGGCGTGTTTCATACACCAGTAGAATTAGCACGAAATCAGACCTTATCTTATATCTGTACATCACTCACATTGGTAAAATAATAATAATCCATACGTTGAATAAATAACGTCTCATATGTAGTTTAGTGATATTCCAGGTGTACCTGAGCTGGTCACTGGCAAAACAAAGATGAGAATTTTGAACAGTCTGATATCTGTTTTCTTCTGTACCCAATATTTATTGCCTCCCACCAAACCAAGACCTTTTTGCACTTTGAATTCACCACCATTCTAAGCGACTCCTCTTGTTTTTTCCAGAGACAGGTTTGTAATTTGAGAACTCATACAAGTTAAAGATGCCAGTTTTCTTTCTTTCTTTTATAGTTCCTGGCATTTATACTTTACAACCCACAAAATCGACAAGATTGACTGTACTACTAATACTTTTTTTTTGTTAATTCCCTCCGAGTTCCAATTACACGAGAGCTTTATTGGGTTGGTCATTTGGGTAAAGTGGTTAGCATAGGATTATCGACTGCGGCCGTTTCTTTACTTATACAATCAAAGGTCTTGTGAGAATATAGATGATGTGGCCTTTATATTTTAGATAATTCTTATATATATATATATAACTTTGATGTACTGATACTTCCAGGAGAAATAACATATTGGTCATTTTTTTTCTCCTTTGAGTCATACTAAGATCTTTTGATACCTAAATATAGAGGACACGTTTCTTATTGTTTTATATCATAGCTGAGAGATAGTCATTCTATCTATTTCAGGTTCGCCATATTGTATACAGTATGTATTTCTTCGACTCTTTATTGATTATAGTACTAGTGTGTATCCCCTTGGTCTACTAGTAATAGATTGAATATTACTTTCTCTTTATCGAGAAGAATTATACCAAAGGACACTCTTGTTTACTTGGAATTTCTTACTTATCATGAGCATATAAAAGTCCGTAGTTGTTCTTCTAATATTTCGGATTTCAGTATTAAAACGGTGATCTACTGAATGTCACAGCACTAAGAATGGCTAGACACAAAAATGACTTGGTTTATAGGCAGACCAAGTTAAAGCAACGTGTGCGTGCTGTTGAACCAACAGAATTTGGTTTTTTTTTAAAAAAATATTAGTAACCAAATGAAGAAATATATATAAATATAAAAGAGTCCCAATCCCCAGCCTCAATGTTAAATCCTCCTATATAAGCGTTACAGATAGAACTTGAGGGATCGCCTTTGAATTGAATAATGTTTTGTGCTATCTCCAGAAAACAAAACAAAAAACCTTGGGCGAATAGTAGTAAATAAAAACATGTTATCTTTATATTCATTAAACTTACATTACTCCACAGATTCAATACTCTATATGTCTTTTTTGGCTTTTTTTTGCTGTTGTATTATGATAAATATAATATATATATGTCCAATTTTATTGAATACACAATACATTGGTAATGTGATATCGAGAGTTTTCAAACTACCTATATCCCATCATCATACGCTTACTTTATTTCAACTGAAAGGTTCTAGATTGATCATTTTTTTGTTAGATGGTCGGGGAGTCGAATATTGAAAGTATTTTTTTTATTTATAACAAGTCATCTATTTTTACCGCTTTATAATCAGTTTACAAAGCACAAAACATAGTAAACTGATTTATTACCAATAGGGTAAATGTATAAGCCCGCAGATCATTTTTTTTTTAAAAAAAATGAAGAAAAACCGAGGATACGGTCTCTTCGAGCAACAAGGCAATTGAACGCATGCATCCTATACAATAAGCCCAAAAGATAGCTATTTGTATTATTCGCTTAATTTTAATCGATTAGTACAATAAAATGACATCTTAATAAGCTGTTACTAATTACATATATTTGTTGATAAGTGTAAATTTACGTCTTTGTAATAATTTTTTTTTATGTACCAAAGCATTCATTAACTTGGTAGCTCACATCAATAGAAAGGTAATAGAAATGCTGCTTGTTTTTTTTTTTATTATTTTCAAAATTATTTGCGCTGTTTTAAAAATACATTTGTAAAGAATTATAACTTACATATTTATAACACCGAGAATTAAACGCATTTTCTTTTTGCGCTTTTTTTTTTTTTTTTTTTTGTATGGAGCAAGGAAAAAGCTCAGGTTTTATGCGCTTACAAAGGCACGCTTGAAATATATTATATTTCTATTTACTCTAACAGTAACTTAATAACATTAAAGCTCTGTTTTACATGCTATTTATTAGAGTCAAATAAAATTTGGGTAAATTACTTAAAGTATAACCTTATTTATATTCTTATAATCCGTAACATCCAGTTAGTAATCTTTCGTTTGTTAGGGAGTAGCGTGCTTAAGTCTTTTAAATTTGCTGATCGTTGCTTTCAGTTAGCGAAGAAGTTACTGCGCTACATTTTCGCAAAAAAAATGAATGTTAGATTCCGTCAAGTGAAAAAAATAAAAACTATAAATCATGCTTTAAGTACCTACACAGAATAAACCTATATCATTGGCTATATGTATTATTTTTTTTCTTGGCATAAATATGAGTAAAAATTTACATATAAAAAAAAAACCGTGCACACCAAAAAATTAAAAAAAAAAAAATAGATAAATAAATGTCCGATTTCTACGTCATTACTACAATTTGTGCCAAAGCGTCTATGCGACGAACGGCTTTCGAAAAAAAATAAAGGGAGGCAAGACTACAGGCACTCTTTTTTTTTATATTCAAAAAGGATAGATAGAAAACACACTTGTCATGGCAGGAATCACACAGGGTCTGAATCTGTTTAATCAGAGCAATTAAGCAACGGACGTGGTAGACTGACTCCTTTGGAATTTAGACGAAGCTACAATTTATGATCGTCAGATTAGACTTTGGGGGTTAGACGCTCAGCAAAGGCAAGTGGCCTTGCACTACTTTTCTATTTCTTTTATTATAAAATTTCTGAATTGAGAATTCAACAGGATTCAAAAGGCAAATGTTCTCATAGCTGGAATGCGTGCGTTGAGTAATGAAGTCTGTAAGAATCTTGCCCTTGCAGGCATTGGATCAATTACTCTATTGGATCACCGCCGTGTAGTAGAAGAGGACTTGGGAGCACAGTTCTTGTTACGTGAGGATTCAATTGGAAAGAACGTGAGTCTCTCTTTCTCTTTTTTTTTTATTCTCGATTACTGGGATTTCTCGAGTCTTATTGTGAATTTGGCACTATAGTCTGCAGAAGAGGCAGCCCCTAGAATAAAGATCTTGAACCCAAGAGTCAATGTGATTGTAGATCAAGAAGATATCAATACAAAGAATGACGCGTATTTTGAGACTTTCGATATTGTGTGTCTTATTGGAGCAGAGTATGATTTGATGGTAAATTCTCTTACCCCTAATGAAGACAGAAAAAAGAAAAAGAAAAAGAAAAGGAAAAGGAAAAGAGAGATCAAGAAAGTGTGCGTATGTGTGTATGTGCGTATGTGCATATGAGTATGCTAAAGCAAGAATATAGAATAGAATAAATTGTGTTAGACGAGAAGTGAACAAGCCATTCTATGCGGCCGATGCCTTTGGTTGGATAGGTTACATATTTTGTGACTTGAAAGAGCACACTTATGCGTTGTAAGTAAAGTAACCAATATGCTTACAAGCGTATTTGTAAATGTATATATATGCATATATAATCATCCACCCTCGTAGAGAAAAGCGTACCTGGCCACCTGGGGTTAAACAAACCGAAGACCCAGTTATCGTTCGCACAACCGAAACAGAAAACTACACAAGCTTAGCCAGTTCTTTGTCAAAGAATTGGTCAAACACACCATCTAGAGTACTCAAGAAGCGAGTATCTCCCATTACCTTTATGATCCAAAGTATGTCTGATAAACATTTTAATTCGGAGAAATATCTCACATATCGAGCCAATTGAATGAATAGTCTTACTTGAGTTCCAGAGTAAAGTGAAGCGATCTCCCTTTAAGAGTGAGCTCCCAAGGTTGATAGAACAAAAGGCCGATCTTCTGAGAGAAATTGGCGTAGATGATCCCAATCTGTTGAGTGATATGTACCTCGGGTAGGCCTTTTTTTCTCAAGTTTTCTGTTTAAAAGCAATACTGAATACGATAATGTGCGTTGTTTAGGGATATTGCTACTCTTATCCACACAGAAATGGCTTCTGTAGCTGCCATTGTAGGAGGATTTTTGTCACAGGAGATACTCAAAGTACTTTCTGCAAAGGACCAGCCACTCCAAAATTGGTTTTATTATGATGGACGTGATGGTGAGACTTCTCCCCTTTTTATTATTTTATTTGATTGTTTTCAGCTGGTTAGGTTATGTTAATCTGATGTGGCTACCTTCGTTTTGTGTGTAGGTTCAGGGCGTGTTCAGCAAATCTGATAATAATAATGCATACTACCAATAAAATTGGATATGCGTACTAGCTTTTACAGAGCTTGTTAAATAAAATCAAGCACAAGAAGAGTATATTGGGCTAATGATTTTTTTTTCATTTATACAATTTGTACTCTATATCCCATAAAGCTTATATAAGTATATATAGAATTTCATTTACAGAGCCATAAAAAAAAGGAAAGAAAAATTGGTTCTCTCATTTTTACATGTTTGGCGCAGTTTCAAATAAAAAAGTCACATTGCTATCTTCGGATACTTATAAGATCGTTATTTCGTACCTCATGTCCCCCTTTGTTCATTTCTATTCTATATATTCTTTTGCAGTATGGCTAGAACTAAGCAAACTGCCCGTAAATCAACTGGAGGAAAAGCCCCCAGAAAACAACTTGCCACAAAGGCTGCCAGAAAATCAGCTCCCACCACTGGTACGAATCCAACCATTCTCAATTCAATCAATCAACACTAATCACATTACTGTGCCACATAATCAGGTGGAGTCAAGAAGCCCCATCGTTATAAGCCCGGAACAGTAGCTCTTCGTGAGATCCGTAGATACCAGGTACATTTTTATTCTTCAAAAAAAAGAGAAAAAGAAAGGAACACTTTTCTCATATGTTTGTTTGTCTAGAAATCTACAGAGCTCTTGATTCGCAAGCTGCCTTTCCAGGTAAGAAAAAGGAGAAGAGCGTTTTAGAAGGGATCCCCTGTTGAAATTGCGACTGACGTATCACACTTCATAATAAAACAATTCGATATTTCAGCGTCTTGTCCGTGAAATTGCCCAAGATTTCAAGACCGACTTGCGTTTCCAATCTTCCGCTATTGGCGCATTGCAGGAGGCTGCTGAAGCCTACCTTGTTTCACTCTTTGAAGGTAACAGATAGTTTATTATATTGTGCACAGGAGAAAACGAATAGCTTGTGTTTGTGTGTGTGTGCATGTTTCTGTTGTAGCAAACTAACACATACGTCATCTAGACACCAACTTGGCTGCCATCCACGCCAAGCGAGTCACCATTCAGCCCAAGGATATTCAATTGGCTCGCCGCTTGCGTGGTGAGCGTTCTTAAAGGATTTGTCTTTTGCCTTCTTCTTTAATTCGTCATTGATAATTGGATCTGTTTATTAATCGTGAGATTGTTTCAATAAAAAAATATAATTGTCATTTATTGATATATATATATATATTTATTTATTTATATTTATGTTTATATATGTGTTGTGAGAAATGAAATAAGATGATCTTTAGGTTTTTTGTTTTTTGTTGTTTTGTTTTGTGTGTTAAAAGTAAGAATCAACGCATGGTTCTGCATCAAGTAGCTTCTCATGAATAACCCTCATGGCTGTAATGGAATCACATTCTTTGACAACACACGATATATTGATTTCAGATGCACCTTGTGAGATTAGCTCAATGTTTATATTTGCAGACGCAAGAGCAGAAAACATCTCGGCAGCAACTCCCACTGTGTTCTTCATTTGCTTACCCACCAAAGACACGATAGCCATGTGGTTTTTTTTGTTCACCTAAAGTAGCATTTTTGTGTTATTTATTATGATAAATAAGAAAGCTGAATAAAATCCGAAAAAAATAATACCTTTCCGAGTTTTTTCAATTCACCCAGGGCCTTGCTGAATGAATGCTCGGGTACATCACAACCTAGGACTAGGGATACATGGACTTCTGAGGTTGATATCAAATCAATTATGATATTATTATCATCCAAAGTTGAAAAAATCTTGGCCAAGAACCCATGGCTAACACTTTTCTTATTCGAATGTATATTGATAATACATATGTTATCCTTTACAGTGATAGCAGAAGGAGACTTTCGTGACAAGTCAGAATGATAGCCGTTTTTTGCAAGAAAGGTAGGCGACAATGGTGGTGTGATGTGGCTACTTGGGATACTATTGGGTATATCTGGGAAGACAACCGTGCCTTGTCCCACCGGGTTCTCCACGTTCTTTATTCTAATCGGAATACTGGATCTTATGACTTGCTCCATAGTAAAGGGGTGTATAACTTCTGAGCCGTAGTAAGTTAATTCAGCCGCTTCTTCAGGTGTGATTATAGTAAGAAGCCGCGCGCTCTTTACTTTGCGAGGATCAGCAGTGAATATACCGTCAACCTCTTTCCATATTTGCAATTCATGGGCATTTAAACCAACTGCTACCAAAGCAGCACACAGGTCTGTGTAGCCCCTTCCCACGGAAGTTAGCAAACTACCAGGAACATTACCAAAGAAACCTGGTCACACGTCAAATAAAGTGAAATTTACTATCATCAGAACTTTGGACCAAAAAAGTAAAAAAACAAAAAAAAAAAACAAAAAAAAGTCGATAATATTCTCTAGTTAACTATTACCTGTAATTACAGGGATTCTATTACCACATCTCTTTATGATGTCGCCCATGCGAAGAGCAAGATAGTCGTAAAATTCTTGGTCGAGTACAGTAAATTCACGATCGATTATATCGTTCAACACCACGAGCTCACTGTCGATTCCCTTTATAAATCATTAGATTATTATCATTATAGCCTTAGCATGTCTTCAATTAGCCCCCACCCCTGCATCACTATCTCCCGCGGAATGTCCCAATTTAACTATAAATCCATTATTTTGTTTACCTTGTCCTGCAAAGCAGCAGCCACAATCATACAAGCCAGTTTTTCACCCATTCCAATCACAATATCTTTTGATCTTGGAGATAACTCGCCCAAAATCTTTAATTGGTATAAATAAAAAATCGTATAAATGTTGTTTGTTTGTTTTTTTTTGTTTTGTTTTTTTATACCTCTGTAGCTTGTAGAAAAGACCCAAGATTTATTATTTCTTTTTCTAGTTGATTTTCAAGCCAAGATAATATATGAGGGGTCTGAATGTTCTGTCGTGCAGTGCTCAAGTGGTCTTGTAAAATTTCATTGACAATTGACAGGTACCGGCTTTTTCCTTCCAATGCAGATTGAGTAGCTTTTAAAAGTCTTGTGTAAGAGTAAAATATATTGATGTCAGTTTATTCTTTTTACTAATTGAAACGAGTAATTTTTTTATATATCTTACTTGTTCGTGGTGCCTTTTTCTTTTGTTTCTCCACTACGCGCAGAGCAAACAATTGCAACTCGTTTAGTCTCTAAATAGAATCTAAAAACCAATCAAAATTTAGTGCGAGTGTGAAGGAGATTATGGCAAGTGATAACACAATAATTATTATCAGGTGTATGAAAATAGGTTGCTTTATGCAAAACAAGTTGGGTTGGTATAATAACTTATATAAATATATTAGCGTTTATAACTTACGGTGTAATATCGGATGAAATAGTATGCAAGAACTTTCCAACACTTGTTCCACCATATTTTTGCACAACCCAAGGGAGATTTGGTTGATTTTTGATGGAAGTAGTCATAGTGGAGATGAACGACTCCTGTATATTGAATCAGTAAAAGAAACCACTTTTTTGTCGACAACTGCTATACAAAAATAAATAGCACTTACTTGAGTATTATATCTAAGCATACTGTAATTAACTGAAGAGAATTGGACAATAGAGAAGTACAACAGTTAAAATGCCTCTTTTTTACTCCCTTTTTATTAAAAATCGAATAAGACAAGATATTCTTTGACTGCAGATTCATAACTTTACATCACAGCTTGACTTACTCTTCATATAAAACCCAGTTCCCACAAGATTTCAGCTGTACACGATTACAAAGTAGACTCGCTGCTGTTACTATTGTCCCAGTCTGTGATTGGATATTTTATTATATAAGCATAAAAGTGCACATATAGTCAGCCCAAAAGCAAAAAAATAAAATCCCTGTAGAGCATAGATTGCGAATGATATGACAGATTATGACATCTCAAGATTTAAATAATATATTGAGCCCGTTAATTTGTAAAATAGGCTTACAACTTTATACAGAAATAGAATAGAGCACTAAAATAAAGTAAGATAAAATACAAACAGAAAATTATTGTCTTTTGCAAATTCCATTATATTTCTGATTTCTTGTTATGTTTTGCTTCTTCGTGTTTATTGCTTATTTCTAAATACTTCTTCTTATCTATTTTAATTAATAAACTATTACATAAATACGTATATCTACGTAAGAAAAATATAGGCAATCGATTATTTGTTAATATAGAAATACTTTTCGAATATCATCTTGGTTTAATTTTCACAAGACTACATAACATCCCTTTTGGTCTTTATATATATATTTACTATACATAATTACATGCATGTTTCTATTAAACAAAACAGAAATAAATTTGTATAGACATACATTATATATATATATATATATATACATTTATTATTTACTATTAAAAGTAAAATGAAAATCACAAGCTTATATAGCTATATCAAGGGATATAGCCAGTTTTCTATCCAAATAATTTCTCACGCTGCCTTTTCTTTTCAGAATTTGTGAGCGAATACCATCGATAATATTCACAGTTAGAATAAGCTTAATGTCTTACATACATGTGTCTCGAAGATTATGGAACACATAAGAACAAAGAAATAATCATAAATACATTTACATTATTACTTTCTACTAAACAATAATTTGATTATATTTAGCCGAGTCATATTCTTTAAGTAAAGTAATAAAGATAATGATGATGATTATAATAATATTAATATTCGGAGAACACAAGCCGTGAAGCCCTTGTATGCGCCTTGTTTACAGAACGATAATGCAGTATTACCGATTGAAGAACGATTACTTCAATCTTTTATATATTCCCTGATCTAATATACCAAGTCTGATAATTAAGTCCGGAAACGGACCCTGTATATTAGCAAACTTTTTTTTTCAAACACTAAAGCTATGTACTAAATTTACAAAATGAAGATGCTGAAAATAATACTTTCTATTGAATATGTAATCAAGCATTGAATCGAATGGTGTCTAATAAGAGTCGATTTCGATTTTTTGGTCTCACTAGTGTGGATTCTTTTGGCTTACATATAAACAGAAAACCAGTACGAATATAGTGCAATAGTTTGTAGATATTGCATAATCAATCAATATATCTTTGTAGGGTAAAGCATATTCTTATATTGACTGAAAAGTTTCAAAGTAGGAAAACAAAACAAAATTGCCTTAACGTCCTGTACATTTGCTGATCATATACCTATCAACAACTTTAAAAACTTGTGTAGGTCGAGGTTACAAAAATGAATAAAAGAAGAATTAAAAACATGTGCCTCCAACTGTAACATAGTTTGATATCATCTGTAACAGCAATATTGAAACAATGTAATCTATATATTGTTCCGTCCAGTTCAGTTGTATACCATCAAAAAAGAGGCACCGAAATAGTACACATTATGCATTTGTGGTTCAAACCTAACAATTTCGATGTGTATTGAATAGGTAGATATATTTATCAAATTAGTTTATTATCAACTGCTAATACTTAATCGGGGAGACAGGTTATAGTTTGGTATTGTATGAATGCATTCTTAGTAATTATTGTATATAACTCAAAGTAGAAAAGATAGAAAAAATTGCATTACTTAATACCATCAAAGGCTTATGTATAATATGTTTAACCGTACAACCCACTACAATTCTAATAGTTACTGACAGTTAAAAAGTATACGCTATACAAGAAAAAATTCTTGCCAGGTTAGGTTTGTAACCCACATAATTTAGCGCGCTTAAATTCACACAGTAACGCCATATCACTGTGTCTAACAAATAGCAATTAACTGACACAAGATGGCAAAAATACACTTTTTCATTGTTTTTTTTTAGATCTATTTTGACAACCTTAAAACATGTACATAGCAGTAGCTTTACAAAGTATACCCGAGGTCAAAATCTACCAAAAGCAACTAGATACAGAAACTTAAATATGAAAACAAAAAATATAATTCACATTATTTTATGGGCAACATAAAAAATTGCGGCATGAATTTTTACTGCCTTTATACCCAAAAGCAAGAAAAGTCACATATAACCTGTTATGGTAATAAAAAAAGGGTATACAAGCCACGTCTTGATACTTTTTTAGGAAAACCTGTAGTTCTAATGCTAACTGGAATTATACGCAAAGGTTTACCGTCTCAATTCCGAAACACACTCTCCGCAATGGCCGCATCATCAAAGGGAATTGCAACAATGAATGAACCCGAAATCAGCAATTCAAACGAGAAAATAAATGAAAGCAATAACGAGAATACAACTGAGGAAAAAGATAGCAGACTTCTTCCAGTAGCAGACACGCCGAGTGGGTGGCCTGCTCCGCCACAAAGAAAGCCAAAGACTGGAAAAGAACGCAAGGAACATTTTATTAAAAATCGATCGTGGAAAGCCGCAGAGTCTAAACCAAGATGGGAAGACAAGAAAGACGATAGACCACAGCAGACAGGCGAAAAAGAACCGCGACTACCAAAGAAAAAGGTGGCTATGCTTATAGGATTCAACGGCACGGGTTATCAAGGAATGCAATCGTATGTATATTTTTTGTACAGTGAACTCTAAAGAAAAGACATATAACATTGTGTATCACAACTATCCTACAGAAATCCTGATGCCAAGTCTATCGAAGGCGACCTATTTGATGTTTTATGCAAAGTTGGTGCAGTCTCAAAGGACAACTCAACTGATCCTGGAAAAGTGAGTTTAGCTAGAAGAGTAGCTATATATATGGGTGATTAGTAAGGCGCTGTCTAAACATCAAACGTCATAAACAGGTACAATTAGTACGTGCAGCGCGCACTGATAAAGGAGTGCACGCCGCTGGAAATCTTGTTTCTTTAAAGTTAATCACCGAAGATCCTGATTTGGTGACCAAAATCAATGACCTTCTTCCTGAACAAATTAGGGTGTGGGGTAAATGATATATATATATATGTGTGTGTGCGTGTGTGCGTGTGTGCGTGTGTGTGTATGTAAACAAGAATAGAACCTCAATATTTACAGAAATATATTTTGTGTAGGCTACGTCGAGACTTCACGTTCATTTCATGCAAAGAGTAGCTGCGACTCCCGTACCTATGAATATCTCCTTCCTTCTTATGTTCTGATGCCGCCCCACAAGAAAGAGCTCAAAGACTCCCCTGGTGCAGAGGATGATAAAAAATTGTTTATAGGCGACAGTGAAAAAGTATACTATGTGGCTCGTAGTACACCTGAAGAAATAAAAATCAAAGATCAATATCGAGTTGAAACAAGTGTATTTGAAGAGTTCCGAAAATCTCTTGATATGTTCAACGGAACTCACAACTTTCATAACTATACTGTGGGTCGCAGTTTTAAAGATAAGAGTTCTAATCGATATATGATGAATATTGAGGTAAGTTCACGACTAAGTTACTTATAGTCAACTAACTGTATACCAGACATCCGAACCCATGTTGATAGAAGACACAGAATGGATTAGCGTAAAGCTCCACGGACAATCATTTATGCTTCATCAGATCAGAAAGATGATATGTAAGTAAATATAAAATGATGGGATATAACAATGTAATATATGGCTTATTTTCTTTGTGTATTATAGCCATGGCTGCAATGATAGCCCGTAGTAAAACACCTACCTCTTTGATCACAAAGTCCTTTGAAGCTGACAGAATAAACATACCAAAGGCACCTGCATTAGGCCTGTTACTGGAAAGACCTGTTTATAGCATCTACAACCGCAAGGCAGACAAAGCCAACGAGCATGACATTTTGACAAAATCTCCTGAAGAAGCCAAACACCGGGATGCTATAGATTTTGACAAATATAAGGTACGCCAGAATAAGAATAATAATTATTGGATATTAATCTAATTACATAGAACGAGATCAACGATTTTAAGGAAAAGTGGATTTACAAAAAGATTTTCGAGACCGAAAAGAACGAAAGGGTGTATGTATTCATATACAAAATAAGTTTTTATAATACTCAATGTTTCTTCCTTCTTTCTTTTTCAATAATTAGATTCGATGACTACTTTATCCTTTTGGATTCCACTCCTGTAACTGATTATAACTATATTAATTCCGAAGGAGCTATCCCCAAGGAATGTATTATCGTTACAAAGCACACATAGCGAATATTACTGTGTTTTTGTTATGCTGTTGTTGGTTTTGCGTCGTGACCATTTGATTAATAAAACATACTGTTAAAGCTTTGTGACTATAAAATACGCCGATGGATATTGAATATATAAGATTGTTAAGATGAAAAACTTATAGATAGTATAGGGCAAGTCAGGCTCAACATTTGTTTTTAGAAATACTTTTAATATTCAAATCCAAAACCATGTAATTTTTTATTATTAAAAAATCGATATATAAAAAGCAAAGCAAAGAAAAACAAAGCAAAGCAAAGCAAAAAGAACAATCTTAGATAGAGACAATATTTTATTATTTAATAGAGAGAAATATACTGATATCATCATTTTATGATATTTTTCTTTGTAAAGTATAAATTTTGCTAATGTAGATTCTTTATTTTTTTTTGTAAGTAGAACCATCAATAAAATCTTAGCTATATATTCCAATAAAACACAAAGTCATTGCTGCTATAAAATTAGCGCTACCTTTGTCATTTAGTCAACCTTTGCAATAAACAACTGGATGTTAGTCTCGAGTAAACTGAAGGCACAATTAGATGATTTTCTTTGCTATATACCTAACATAGCTTTCAATATTTAATTTATACTTCATATCATATGATAATTGACATGTTGGTGCTAGCTACATCTCATAATGAAAGGATAGAAGTCGGTCTCTTCAGTGATATTCATTTGCTAATTGCTTTCATTTTTACTCATATATGACTACTATTAGTATCTAGAGTACTTATAAAGAGAGGAATTAGGAACATATACTACGTTCTGCATTATAATCCCCAAACACCCGACAACAATTACTCGTATTGTCTTTAAAAATCATCTTGATACATTCAACTATTGGTATAACCTCATTTCAATAAAACTCAACCTTGAACTCAAAATTCCACCACCTACCATATGGTGATAATTCAGATAATATACACTTATATTTTTTGCCGTATTTTTTGCTTTTCTAGCTAATACCCTTATAGCACATTGAGATACTATAAGTTTATCTCCTAGTGACTTGTGGGTTCCTTTTACGTCTACTTGTACAAGCAAAAGAAAAACAAATCTCTTTGTACACTCGAATAAAAAGCGCACAGACCAGTTTAGAGTAACCTACAAATCGCCGTTATAGAAGCTTGCACTCCACTTTAAGAGTTATTGCTATACCGATTAAAACTAAACCATTCGTTACTCTTTTTACTTCTTTACTTCTTTGCTTCACTTTACTTTGCAAAGATATTTTATACAGACTTTTTAGTTAAATTTTATAAAATGTTACTACTCTCACAGAACAGTTACACAATCCTACTAAAAAAGAGTATACAGCTATGTCACTGCTCTGACGTGGGAGGCAAAAAACACCCCTGGCAAAAAAAAGCGCAGTCCCAAACTTTAGTCGCAGACTGCGGGTATATCAAAATAAAGCCCATTCAACCGACACGGTTTTCTTCTCTTTAGCTTTTTTTATACTCTGGAGACGGGTACCCCCTGATTGCCTGTAGTTGAGTTTGACGCGCTACCTATGGGTCGATTGGGAGACATTCTTTTTCCATTCTGTGCAGGAAAAAGCGGAAGTGCGTCGTCTCTAGCTTCTTGGTTAATTCTTAGAGGCGCAGATCAACATTGTTCTGAATTGTGAATTTAATTGTATAATTTCTGAAACAATGGCGACGAGCAATGTTTAAAAAAAGCTGCCGCCGAGTTAGCATCATGAAAGTTTATTGAGTGGAGGACGGGGAGGAAGTGGAGTTTACTGCCGACTCTTCATGAAATCCTTGTTCGAAGCTCTTTGGAACTGACGGTGTTGCTTGGTAGTCGAACACGCTGGACCCTGCTACTTTGTGGTAGGTTTCTCTGGTACGTTCGCAGGCCCTTCTCAGTGATGAGATAGGGCAGTTGGGATGAACCCGGTTGTTGTCTTACGCCACGGATTAACACCATTCCCACACCTCCTTCGCTACCAAGTCAGGTTTACGTCCTGAGGGAGATTGAGCCGCGTAATGCGGGGACAAAGAACTTGGTGTCATGCTTTTTATTTTTTTACTCATGTAAAAAAACATTAAGTGAAATCATATAAAATAAAATAGCTTCTTTATGTATATCTTTAATAAATAAATAAAATATTTTTTAAACTGTTGTTGACTAATAAAAAAATACGTGTTCAAACTTTTTTTTTTACTTGATTGAAGAGGTTAATGTTGTAATTAGGAAGTCTCCTTAATAAGAAAAATTAATCTAGTTAAATAAATCTGAAGATTAATATAAAATAATATAATATGGGTATTCTTATCATTGTGTTGATTACCGTGTTTGATTGTATGGGGCCGTTTTTATCTATAAAGTACATTAAGAAAACTCAAAATACTTTTTGAGAATAGCAATGGCGTGAAACTTATAACTGAATTTGGCTAATCTGCATGGAGATTGTAAAGGAGATGCATTGGAATGAGAGAGATGGAAAGGTATAAAAAATGCGTGTCTGAAAGAAAGACAGAAAAGTCGTGGCGAGGTGTATACACAAGTAAACGTGCTCATTGTATTTACACAGACTGTGCACAAAAAAATCGATTTGGGTGTATTTAAGAAGTAAGCATCATTACCTACGTCTTTTTATATTACAGGCTTTAAAGATAATTTGACAGACATAAAGTATAAAGTACCAATATGTAGATGTCATAAAATAGCCACGTTTTCATATTGGATTGCATAGAGCAGAGTAGAGTGTTGGTATATACCGGTTATTACAGCTGATTCATTGATATTGTTGATTTGTATGCTGGTTTTTTTTGTTTTGTTTAGGTCCTGGTGCTCAAAAGATACTCTGCTTTTGCTATTTTAATATTTTTAATTTTCTTTAAACGTCCACCAGAATTTATCTACTTTCTTACCTAATTTTAAAGAGATTGAGAAAGATATTTTCTATCAAGAAAGGAAAACTACTAATCTTGATTGATAGATAAAACTCCCTGTGAATCTTGTTATATTCGAACTATCTGACAAAAGTTATTTCTGATAGTGTTTCAACCTGTTTAAAAATCCTCTAATTTTGGTAATAATTCCTGAAAATCACATTATATTGCACTAAGGGCGCCCTCACAACCCTCTTATTATCAACAAGCTCTTCCATCAAGTCAACAACCATTACATCCTTCTGCAACCTTTTTTCTTTTGTTCTTTTCTCCCGCCATTCATGCTCAATGATCTCCTGCGTTCTCCTTCCTCCCCTAGCACGTCACATAGATTCTTACCATCTTTCCTGACGTGTCATGCCCCATTTATTATGAAGAAAAGGAAACGAGTTCTCATTTTCTGTTCATTTTTCCTCCCAGACTCTCTGTATGAGCTAATTTTTGCTTATTGCATTTTGGAAATATGCCTTCCATACAAGACATTCATTCCATTTTTTCCCTTCTGGTTTCCACCAGTTGTCCCTCCGAGCACTCCTGTTGTTTCTCTCATCATCTGTACACTCTTAACAGCCTGAAACCATCCCTAAACCTTTGTATTTTAAGATATTCTGTTCCCGGGTACCTTTGTTTTTGCCTCTGAAGCTTCTCTTGTCGCCTATCTTTACTAGGAACTTTATTTGCCTCTTTTTGCCCAAGTACACTCATTCATATCATATACAGTTTAAAATATCCTAACAACAATAGAGAATATACCTCAAAAGCAGGATTGGGCACTCCTTTTCATCTTAGAATTGATATCTCAATAAAAAACATATATTGTACTAAAAAGATAAATCTTGCAGCACGCACATATATTAATTCAAAGCGCAAATACCTTTTGAAAAATTCAGTATTAGTGACCTGGCATCTTGTGCAACTTATTAATGGTTATTTTTTTTGTAGCTATTAAGATTTTATATGCCAGGATAGATTTTTCTTATGTGCTGGATTGATTTGAGTCTAGAATAATCGGTCCGAGTTAATTGAGTTATTTGGTACCACAAAGTGGCTTTAATGATCAATCCTCTATGCATACCCATAAAAAGGCTGAGGCCTTCTAAGGACTCCACATTTTCTCAAATTTACTTATTTGTACTGCTCTTCTCGTATAACTCTTTTGAGCCAAAAGTTGCTTTTTTATAACCGAAAGAAGATCATATTCATATATATATAAAGTAAATGGGGCTTTAAAACAGCTGTGAGCTAGACTCTATAGAAATAAATGAGGAATCAGGCTTTTCGAAACTCCCGGAATTCCATTGTCTCTAGAAAAATGAGAATGATGTCAAAATACTAGGCTGAAACTTCCATTAAAGACAACCTCTAAAAGCTAGTAAAAGTAAATAAAATGAATCAATAAGCCAAAGAGCTTTTTTTTAAAGAAAAAAAAAGAGCCATATTTCTTAATATCTAAGCTAAATTTACTATAAATACTGGACATTGTTTTCCGTAAATTTATTCCAATCATCTGTCTATTCAATCATCATTCACTTCAGTCAATATTTTATCATGAAGACTTCTTTTGCTTTTGCTTTACTTGCCATGGTTCTCGGTCTGGTCTGTGCCGCCCCTACAGGAAATCCCGAATTTGAGAATATCAACTGCTTCTCTCTCACATATCCCGTCAATGGCACTGTATGGAACAGCTCCGGAACTTACGAAGCTCTCTGGGATCTTACTGGAACATGCTCTGGTACATACTATGCTTTCATGATCCCTGCAACTGAAGAGTCCAACGGCGACTATACCTTTGGAACTCCTTATCAGGCATCTGATTCAATTGATCTTAATGCTGGAATGGCTTCTATTACTCTCGATTCGAGCGAGCCAGCTGGAAAATATGTATTTGGTATCATCAAAGATACAGGAGATGATATGGACTACACCGATGTGGCACTTGTTGATATTGTTTAATAGATTTAGATTTAGATTTATATTCTTAGATCTTTATTTTCTAGTCTAAAGCAAGCTTGATAAATCAAATAAAAATGAATTTATAAAAAGAACTATTGTGTTGCTCCACCCTATACCTAAGATCAAGTTTAAAGAACCTTGACAATACATATATACTATCCTTTTGAAGTATAAGGAGATGCTTTATTATAGTGCCGTATGCCATGTTCTTATAAGCTACAATTAAAATATTATAGATATATGTATATATATTACTTATATTAGTCTCACAATATACATTATCAAAACCAAGATCACGAGATAGTAGTTAATATTTAATGGTCATATAAAAGCAAACAAACAAAGGCATGGCAATTTAATAGCACGGGAAACAGAAACAGTTGTTTTAGTAGTTTGCACATATATGTATATCAAATCAAAACTACATCTGACATCTTTAAAAAAAATATCTAAATACAAATAGTCTTGGGATGAAATCTTGAATACAAATTAATGACATGAATATTGGGGTATACACGCAAAAATCGAGTAAAGAACAGACTCCACAACCAAACACTGGTTCCTTCTTGCTAATGAACCTGGCAAGTAAACAATCTCCGGAACTGTTATATACCAGGCACACGTACACTACACATTTATACCGTGGAAACCAACCATTATACAACAGGAATTTTAATAATATCTGATATAAGCAATATTATTTTGTCTCTTTAATAAATAACACTCTCATAGTATCCACTTTTCCCATTATTGAGATACTAACCTAATAACAATCACGAATACCTCATATGGCTTGAAACTTTTGTGGAGCAGATGAGAGCGTGCGTTTATTACTATATTGTCTTTGCAATAAGTACATACCTACATCAAAGGAGATGGTGTAGTCTTTAGTTTATTTATACAGAATATCCTTTTTTAATATATTAGAAAAGTTTAGATAATATGTAACGAGCCATTATTTCGGCTCTTCTATTTTTTAATTTGTAGTTTATATCAGTCGTAATATTATCACTGTAACATATGAGGAAATGGAAATATCAATAAATTCGAGAGCAAATATATATAAGATAAAAGAAAATATTGTTAGAAAGATATAATAATAACGCACACTATAATCAATTGAAATCAGAAAAAATGTAATTCTGAAAGTATTTCTCGAGACTTCTTCGATAAAAAAAGCCTCGCGATCTCCTATTTTGAACAGTTATCAAGTATAGTAAAGTCAAAGACACACTGTTTATCTACTAAGCATATTATAAAGCTCTTTTAATGTTTCTACAAGCATATGGAGTAGTGAACACAGTCAATTTATTAAATAAAAGTGGGCATTAGTCTATCAACTTCCTCTTGTATAATTGCTACGAGTATAATAGACTCAAAGTTCCCAAACACTGTTCCATTCGGTCAGTTTGGTTTTGTGCAAACCAAAACGCTATTGACAAAATTTTACATATAGTTCGATGCACGAAGTATTCAGTTGAGCTCATATTAATTGAGGAGAATATGTTTTGTAGGGAAAAGGCCCTAATGTTTATTACACGTTTCAGGAACACAATTGTTTTTGAATTTTCATGATGAGTGGATTATAAGAAAAACTGTAGTAGAAATCTATAATGTATATATTGAATATATTTTAGATGAGAGCTGTCAACAAAGGATGCTTACTTTAGTGAATTGTATAAATGTAAACGAGAAATCTGTAAAAGACAGAGCTCCAGTGTTTATACCACAAATAAGGATGCCGTTGCTGAGAAATTGGTACGAGTAGATTTTGGTACTAGGTATATGATGAGCATTGGGGTTAAGACATAAAAGACCCAATTATATATTGAACAGAGATTTTGTTCTCCATACAACCCATTTGGGTAGGTATCGGTAGAGAAAGTGCGTGTTTGGGTGTATAAATCTCAAACACATAAATAGGCAGTCAAGTAAAACAAAAATGGTTCGAAAAATTGAGTGAAATAGCGCACACCGTACTACAAAGTGACGCCGGAAACAAACTTTCTATTCAAGCATACAGCGAGGCTTTGTTACTTTGGCGACTCATACATTTATATTTTACTTATTTGTGTTTTTACTCTTTTTTAAATCCTTTCACTCTGAAATCTGCTTTGACTTTTTCCAAAATGTATGGCCAGGATAGAGATGAGTCATTCAATTGTCGTGTATCTACATTGCTTTATGAAAACAAACTAGTATTTACATTTCCTTCAAGTGAAATTATAGTATTTCTTCTACCAATTATATTTATAAAAGTAGCTTAAAGTGCCACAATAAGCTTTATTGTTTATGTAACTAAAAGTAGTTTAATGGCTTTAAAAAAAGAAAAAAAGAAAGAATAAACTCCTCGATTATTAAACTAAAATATACTATAAGTATCTTTTACCTTTTTAACCTTTTACATTAGCTCTTCTTTTATTTAATCTTTTACTTGTCATGAAACTTTATTTTGCTTTTGTTCTGCTTGCCATAGTCCTTGGACTAGTTTATGCAGCTCCTACTACTCCTGTAAATAAGAATTGCTTCTCTCTTACATCTCCTACTAATGGAACCACTTGGAAACGCTCTGGAGTCTACCCTATTAACTGGAAGACTACTAGCAAATGCGAAGGCACATATTATGTATATATGTTCCCAACAACTCAAGGAGCAGATGGCGAATATTCTATGAAAACCCCTTTCAAGGCAACTAAAGCAGTTGATATAAATTCCGAAAGTGCTACTATAACTCTCCATCTAGAAGAGATGTCTGGTACCTATCTCCTTGCCATTTACAAGGAAGCAGGGGAAGATCGTGACAGTACCGATGTAGCTATTGTCGATGTTACTCTATAAATTTACTTTATATATAAAGTACCCACCAAAAAAATAGAATAGCTTTCTTTTACTCTCTTATATTTTAAGAAAATGTAAATACTTGTGCAAAATAAATACAGTGGGATATGTTTGATAATGGTACAAATTTGCATTCTGTTAAAGAAAAAATATACATTTGAACATTGCTATGTTTCCATTTTATCTTATACATTTATAGCATAGCAATTAAATAGATTTCTATAAAAAAGCAGTGTACTGTATTCTTTATTAACAATACTTCTATATATACTATCATTTTATAACAAAATCCGTGCAAAAATTGCTATACTGATGTGTATCGATTTAAAGAACAAGAAGAAAAGACCAATACTTAATTTTTGAAACATATTAGCTGTACCACTATTGCAGCTTCCTATCCCAGCAATAACTTTACATCTTTTATTGAGTGCGTAAAGTCCCAAGTGACAATAGGCAATGAACGATCTTTAATTATACTAGCATTTCTGTTTAAATAAAGACTGTGCAAGTTTATAGGAAATAATGACAAGAGTTACGCGGAACAATATCGACAAATACTCATTATATGAATAATTAAAATATTTTATTATGCCTTGATTTTTAAAAGAAATATATAGGCTCAAGAGACTCTATGATATGAGAAGCGACGTGTCAATCCTGGGCGCACTCGATTTCTTTTTCTTTTATAAAAAATATCATGAAGATATTTATCGGGTAACGTTGATAATAACCATATCTGCGGTTTCGTATGTTGTATCTTTACCAGGGCCAATGCCAAATATATAATCTCCTTCTCCAATGTTATCTCCAAGGGCTATTTTGCTGTGTCCTAAGGATATATCGATCGGCTTGTCTCCAAATTCAGGAACTTCATAAGTAGTATTGCCATTCTCATCTTCCAGAACTCTGACCATGTAAGCGTAGTATGATGTTTCACATTCTCCAGTAACTGTCCAAGTGATATCATAGACACCATAGGTCTCCCACACAGTGTAATCAATAGGATAAGTGATATCGAAGCAATTTTGAGTTCCGCTTGGATCCTCTCTCTTGGAGATGATATCAGAAGATAAAGGAGCTGCGTAGACAAGCCCAAGCGCCAGGATGAGTAGGGTAGATACAAAATACGATTTCATGATTAATTAAGTTTGAAAAGTAAAGAGATGATGGTAGAGATGTGCTGGTCAACAGAACAGAAAATAAATATTTATAAATACATTTGTCACAATATAATAACCACTCCATTTTTCTTTTGGTTAATCTATTTTATCTATTGCCATTGTATTTATTATATGAGACGTCTTTTAGACCAACACAAGTAAAGTTTTTTTTTTGCTCTTGGCTTAGTCCTTTACTCCCACGACTAAATTTAAATATATATACGATTAAGAATTTAAAAAGAGCATATATTCAAAAATATCCCCATCACTGTGGAGTTCATGGTGCAGTGGGACAATGCAGCCAAAGCCTCTTTTTTAAGTGTGTGCGATCATTATTGTAAGAACCCGAGTGACTTTCATTTCGGTAAGCTCAAAGAGTGGACAAAAGAAGAAATGTTGAATCACAAACATTGTACAGCCTCATTGCATAGACACAAAGAAAGAGAAACGCACAAGTCACATTAGCTTGTGTGGTGCCCCCCATTTCTATAATACTGGTTCTTTTTTAAGAAAAGGCATTCTTTCAAGTTCCAAAAATGGGTTTACCCACTTTTCAGAAGTTAATGCGCCCAAGTAAGTTTCCCTCCTGCACACTTAAACACACTGCAATTAGTTCCTGAAAAGCGAACGAATAATTTCAACTGCTACCCTCCAGTATAACAGGCTTGCGGTGTATATCAGCCACTATGTATAGTCATTAATTTGTCATACATCAGTCCAAAGTCTAAAATATACGGTGATCAACCCAGGATGGTGTTTCTCTCGCACATACAAAAAGGGGTGCTAAAATATTTGTTCGTAGATTTTGTTGGAGTACTATTTCGCTTGTTCTTAAACCATATCGGCAGTACAGTCTTAACTTTATATGTTAATGAAGGATCAAGTGTTGTTGTATAATGTTTTCCTTTAAGCCAAGAAGTTTTTTTCTTTTGCTTTTACTTTAATTCAAAAATACACAGTATTTATATATTAACAACACTTTGAGTTAATATATACATCAAAAATAATATTATTGTTCTTGCTTCAAAGAGAAAGAAGAAGAGCAATATATAGTGACCATGAAGATTAGATAAATGCAACTTTAACGCGTATACCTTTGATATTACATCTAAGCTTGTTTCACTCATAGTCTAACTCTGTTAAATATCAAAGGACAGATCAAATAAACCTGGCTCTTGTATATAGATCAGTAGTAATACTTTACTGATAGAAAACACATATCAGCTCACAAAATTATAGCGCTAATTATTCATTGGTATCTAGACAGCATTTGACAATATCTAAAGTCTATTTACGCTTACACAACTGCTAAAGTTATACCCACAACTGTGGATGCTCCAAAGCTTTAACTTTGCCTATACATGGCAGCTGTCAAATTTTGTCCGTTTTGAAAAGAAAAATTACAATTTCATAAAAATATAGACTTTTTTAAGAGAGTAAGAAAATAATTTATGGAAGAAGCATATATCTCATATAAGGCATGAGTAGACCACTACTATTATTTAACTCTTACAAAGTATGACTTCTGTTAATTAAAACCTAAGAGCTTCTTTAACATCCCAATGATCTCAATTCAATGTATTGTCAAGGTAAGGGTAGAGTTGCTAACCACATACTCATTTACCGTATTAAAAGCTATTGAGTATCTATGAAGATATAACAGCTTTTAGTCGAGTACGCTCAGCATAAAAAATACAAGTCAACAATATTTTATTGTGATAATATTTTAGAATTTGAATTATCTTAGACTATGAATATTCGTTGTAATAGACAGAATTGAGTAAATTATAACCTCGAATGTGTAATTTGTTTTAAACTGCTGTCAAATGATATATTTCTTGATTTTTTTTCTCCCTTTGAAAGCCTTGAATGAAAAATACAGGCAATTAATTTAACTTTATAAAAACTCTTTTGTGCAATTACATATTTGAGTTATTTAATAAATTTGATTTTTGAAAGTGCTCAAATTGTTTATCATAATACATCTATATCTTTAAAACAAGTTCATGAATTACTATCGCATATACTATAGACGATGGTAATTGTGTACCCAATTGAGATGAACAATAGATACAAGTAGGTAAATTTAGGGATTAAATGACACACCATGTAGCAATTAAATTCACACGAGAAGATTTCTGGCTATCAAGACAATTATAGAAATTTGAAAGGCTTTCATAAATTTAGACAAACGGGTAGTATAAACAGGTAGTAAATACTTAAGATTGATAGCAACATAAAAATCGTATAATAAACTTTAGGAAATAGTGCTATCATAAATATTAGAAGATGAGTAGATATAAATCATTAAATAAAGAAAAAGGAAACTAAATCACAGTATTGCTATTATTGCCACTTTGTTTTAACCAAAGTTTTCAATTTTTGTATGGGTTATGTTTGTTTTTTGTTTTAATATCAAATATTTAAATAAACTTAGACGAACAGTTTTTTCTTTCTTAGAATAGTATGGCTATTTCTTCTTAAACTATCCCAATGGAGACAACCGGTCTACCTCGTAAATCATCTAAATTCGGTAATTCTTGCTGAAAACTGCATTATATTCAATATCAAGCTTCTATTTGAAGCAAAAAAAAAACAATATGGTTGATCTACCGTTGATCTACATTCAAGAAGTACTTGCACTACTCTCACCACTGTTACTATGGTAACTAGTATTCAGAGTAGCTAAATTTATCTCATAACTATAAACATCATAGATACAATAACCTTCTACAACTTGATTCAATTTGATTTAATAGATTTCCAAATACAATAAAAGACTCTCAAAATAATTATTTTTCTGACCTTTCCTAATTGCAAATATTATAGAAAGGAAAACAAAGGAGGGAAAGCAGACTGCTTGCAAAGTATTCTCTACAATAATCTGCTGGAAAACAATGAAAACCCATTTTTCAAAAGTTACTATAAGACCAGATCTATTAACTGATATGGTGCAAGTTCTACATATAGATATATCTATTCCATTTTAGAAAGAACAATAACAGACACTGTTCTTCACAAAGGTCAATGCATAGGTTATAGTTGTGTTAAAAAGTTATTAGTTTTTAAAAGAAGAGTATAAAAGTGAGTCAATGATCGAGATAAAGATTGATTTAAATTCATTACTTCTTTTCATCGTCCTACTTAAACAATGATTAATCATGAAAAAAAAGGCTATACATACCAGCAAGCAATTGGACTCCGGGTACCTCTGACTCCCCCGCTAGGAAAAAAACATCATGCCCGCCAAAGTAACATAATTGAGAATAAACATGAAAGCATGTATATCCATAAATTCACTAATTAGGAAAATTCCATTAGCTGCCATCAACATGAGCTTTGATAACGTAGAGGACGCTAATGGGTTTGCAAAATCAGTGTACGAAAGCAAGGATCCATACAAAATATTTTTACTTCGTCCATCTTTTATCAACCCACGCAAGATAGATAAGATGCCGGCCGACCCCAGTGAAAAGTGCATGATCATGTAGCACTGAATGTTATTCTCCAAATCGGAATATTTACCTTTTTTGGATATGATAGAAAAACAAAGAGCTTTTGAATTTATATATTTTATATTTTATATTTAGCTCAATTTCTTTATTCTTTCTATCGTCATTAAAAATAAAATATTCAACTCGATCTTGAAACCATCTTATAAGCTATGCCTATCCCCATGTACAGCGAAATGAATGATTACGATGACCATCAATATTGGGACCAGGATTTATATCACGAAGATGAATATTATCCTCCTGTGACGCATTCCAGGGAAGGCTATTACTCGCCTCCTCACAGTTATTACGATCCTCGAGATAATGTACGATATCCTACAAGACGTACACATGAATCGGACTTAAATACTCGAAGAGAGCCAGCATTTCTTAGATATAGTCGAGTTACTCGGTCAAAAGAAGAATATCCTAGAGTCCAAAGAACAAGAGCTCAAGATGCATATCCTCAAAGAAAATATGAATCTGGATCCTTTCAAAACTATAGAGATTATTATCCATCGGACTACAGAGACCCCATGCCCAGAAAATACACGCATAATGAGCCTTATTATGAAAGCGACGGAGAAGAAAACGACGTACTTGATGAATGTCACATTCTGGCAGAAGAAAATGCACTTCGTAATGAACAAGCATCGTCTTTGTATAGATCTCCTGTGTCTTCACTCCCTTTCATTCACGAGGGATCACAAATTGCTTTTCAAGAGCCTGGTACTCAAGAATCTGCTTCGAAAGACGTACCTCAGCAACAACAACAGCAACAGCATGAAAAAGAAGGGAAACAAGACATACAATTTTCCGGGCATCATGATGAACAAATCCCTCAAAAAAAATCTCGCTGGACTTTTCCTACGCTATTCCGTCGACTGGTATTTACCAATCCTGAAAAGGTCCCAAAGTCTCCAGTTAGTATACGAACAGTGATATCCAAGAGGCCAACAGGCCAGGTTATCGACTATAGTGAGCAGCAGAATATTATTGAACAATTGAATCAACCTCTGGCGGAATTACCTTGTCCAGAGCCTCAACTCACACAGTTGACACACCTCAAGGATATTTGGGTATTCCGTTCGTTACCAACAGGAGAAAACATGCCAGTGTGGACAGGATTTGATTATGCCAATCAATCTTTGCTGACAGAGCACTCGCAAGATCCTCAAGGAGTAGAAATCACAGATTCACATATTAGTCAGGGACAATTACCAGTGTTGGTACTCCCTCATCGCTCTCTAGGCTATTACGCTGTTAATGCAACAGGCGACACAATTGCCACTATTGAGGTTACATGTCTACCTAACACTAGAAATGTCCAATTTGTATATCGTCAGACGACTCCACTCAGCAACTAATATGTGAACCAAGATTTCAACAGAAGCAACAATCATACATAATAATAATAATAATAATAATAATAACAATAATAATAACAACAATACTAAGCATCATCCTCATTAAAGCCGCCCTTAAATTTTTGACCAAAAAAAAAGTTACAAGTCCGTTTGTTTGTTAATATACAGAATGTCAACTTTACCTCCATTGTCATTATTAGCATTGAATGTGAAGAATCTGTTTGATGATGGCAGGGTACCTTAATCATATAGTTTTACTGCCTTTTATAGTTGACGGCTGTTTTCTTTTTTAGTTCAAAGAAGCCTTAGAATGGTTACCGATCAGTGAGCATGCACATGTGAATCGGTTCAGATTTGATGCAGACAAACACCGTGCTTTAGGTAGCTTATTGCTTCGACGTTACTTCTTTTCCAAGTTTCTCGGCGTACCCTGGAAGGAGCTATGTTTTGATCGTCGTCCAGGAAGTAAACCTACGTTGGTAAGCTTTTTATAGATAAAGCAAAGAAATGACTTATACGTTTAATAGAAAATAGGAAATGACACTTGGGTAGATTACAATACATCGCATGAGGGAGAGTGGGTGGTGTTTGTGGCTACCAGTAGACCGGGTCTGGTAGTCGGTATCGATTGCGTTCGGATCGATATTCCGCTACATACAGACATTCCTCAATTTTTGAGATCTTTTCAATCGCAGGTAGTATCCCAATGAACTTCGAATCGTTTTTCTTTCCTAAAATTATGCCTTCGTCTTTCTCAAGCTTTCAACCGAGGAAATTGAATGGATATTTTATACCAATGAGGAGAACAATATGCTAAAGAGATTCTATGAGTTATGGGGGTGTAAGGAGAGTTATGTCAAGGCAATTGGAGTAGGACTCCAACGGGACCTTGATACATTGAGTTTCAAAAACAAGACGGAGAAAGAGGTTTGGGTGCAACACAGTTTACCAACCATTCGACAACTCATTCTTTGATAGGCTTGGATAGTCATGCAAGAAGATAATTGGGGATACCATCTTTCAGACCTCGATAATGATACAATAGTTGTCGTGTGTTCAGGGTATCCTGATAAACGACCTCTAGATCACGACATTTTAGCCTTTTGTGCAACAACTCGACCATTAGGAGCAACCTACCATCAGCAAGCACCCTTTGAGTTGGTGCGATGGGAGGCACTCTCAAACTATCTTCATTAACATAGTGCTTCTTCCTGGCTCATCACGTGTGTACTCTGGCAACAAGCCAATTTTCAATAGATTTCTATTTATTTCATTTATCATTTTGACTTAATTATTATTTTATACAAGTATTGTTGACAGACCCACACTAGTTGCTCTTTTACTTTTCTCCTTACAAAAAATAGTCTTGAGATTCTGTCTCACATAATTCTCTGTCGTTTCCAATTTATTTTTTGTATAAAAAATAAAAAATAAAAATAAATTTCCTCATGGGATGCTGTGCCTCACGTTCTGCTGATGACCCTAGTACTGCTACAAAAGGTTGACTGTCTCAACAATATATATATATAAGAAAACAGGGGAAAAAACCAAAAGAAAGACCGTATAGGGCTAATTTGACAAATAACAGGAAAACCTTTTAAAAGGGCCCAGCTTACTTGGGTAGCGGAAGAGCCCATTACCCGCACTCAGCTAGATAGACAACGAACTGCATTTTGGGAGACTGCACCAAGCTACGAGGTACCAGCAACATTTTGTCTCTGGACTGCATTACCATTTCAACCGAGCCAAATTAACCATTTAAGAAAATAAAAATAGGGTAGAAGAGAGATCTGGCAAGCACTCCAAGCAGCCTGCACAACTCCGGATCTTCATCTCGCTCGTTCAATTCTCGATGCAGCAAATGTCACATTACCAACTGGAAATCCCGCTGAAGGATGCTTTGATGGTAAATATTGTGCTCCTAAATATACAGCAACAGAAACGATTTATCTTACCATTAATTTTTGACAACAGAGCTGGGTAATCGCTATGAGATTCCTCTTTACTGCATTGTAAATCCTTCGAATCTAGTGCCTGAAGATAACTCAGTACATGAAGATGAGAGTGAAACAGCACAGATGATCACTCCAGTATCACCTCCTATTATACACACTACTACAAACTCGTCTTCTAGTCTTTCAATTCGTCACTCGGTCGAGAAGAAATCTAATTCACCAATAGATACCAGCCATCCTATCATTATCCGACTATCAACAGCCAAAGACCTTCACCTGGATATACATTACCAAAAGGAGACAGTCGGGTCTTTGAAGGTGCGCATCTTTGAACACCCCGAGGCCAACATAACCCCAAAAACACACACGCTTCGATTGATCTACCTTGGCCGTATCTTGCAGGACAACATGACCATTGAATGTGAAGACGCAGAGGCATCACAAACTAAGCTTGAAAACACCTTTGCAAAACCCCATACTGTACGTGTGGGAAAGGCTGGGGTTATTCAAGCCTTGGTAGCCAAGAAAGACAACTAGTATCTTGTTTGTTTCTTTTACTCTTATAGACATCATCCACATTCTCAGAAGAAGAAGAAAAAATATATAGCAAAGTAATAATAGTCAAATCCCATTTCCATTGAGTCTCTATACAAATATGAATACTGTTTTCCCTTATTATTCAGAAAAATAGAAAGAGAAATCAATCTGTTGATAAATACTCGATCCGATGGCTTAAAATATATTAATGAAGATCACTTCAATTATTATAGTAGTAAAGAGAACAAGCGATTGAAAGAGAGAGAGAATACCTATTACGTCATTTGGATAATACATGTTCAACAACACAGCATTATGATACAAGCAAAAAATAATAATAATTATAATAAAATATGGATTGTAAAAAAAATCAAACTTCTTTTGATTAATCAATATGAGTCAACAACCTATTATACATAAAAATCTCGATAAGGTCGCCAGAAGATTCACTATTGCTCACGCAGAATCATCCAATGGAAGAATACCTAATTCCCCATCGAAACGATCCATTCCTACCGTCAATGAAACCAACAAGATCCATAGATCATCAGCTGACAAGAGACTTTTTGATCAAGATCTACATGAATCTTTGGGTCCACAACGTGTAATTAACCAAGACATGCCCCCACCAATATCTACCAGAAGAACAACCATCACGACGTTACCCGTAGGGTAGGTACTTGATCACCTATATACATATAAATACTGATCAGTCCATTACTTCCAGTCAAAGCAAAGTATCCGATCCAACCCAGGAATTTTTTCATGAAAGTATCCTTGCTTTTAATAATGGTGCACAAGGATTTGTCCAAAAGTTACACATCGATCCGCGTCCTATCAAAGATACCGAGTTCCAGCGTAAAGAACTTAAAACAATTATTGATTACCTGGCCAAGACAAATTATAAAGACAAAGTAACAACCAAGACGCTACGTGAACTAAATAATAAGAACTTCCAGAATATCTTTAAATGGCTGTACTATCGTATCGAGCCGAGATATGTCTACAGTCAACCGATTTTTGAAGAAGAGGCCATTAGTTTACTAAAAGCATTAGGGTATTGTAACATTCGAGTTTGCAACTAGATCTATTCTCATTTTTTTTCGTAAATTAGATACCCACTAGTAGAATCTATCAATCAAAAGGAGCTCCTTTCAATTGGTGCACGTCATTACTTGCCAGTAATATGGGCCATATTACTGTGGATGGTTGAGCTTTGTGAGGTATATAACGCTGTCAATTAAGAGTAGATAATCCAGAAATAACAAAGGTATGACAACAGGTTTATGACATGGATCAGGAAGAAGAATTTCCTTCGACAAAATCTGATATAGTCTCTAATCCGATGGACCCAGAGTTGCTACAAAACATATTTTATGATTATTCCGTCCACAGTTACAACCTGTTTATGGGTGGAAAAGATGATACTTCAGAAGCAGACAGTCAACTACAGGAGTGCTTTGGTAAGATGTACATTTTAATGTGCTCTTTATTTTCTAGATATTAATATGTGCAAACCTTTAGATCTACTTGAGAGACTCACTGGAGAGAAAGAAGAGATTACTAGCGTGCAGCTCAGGCAGCTAGAAGAAGAAGTCTATGAACTTAAAGAGGATGAAGTAATGTATCCAATTCCAAGTTATTGTTTCAGCCACTGGATTTTCTTTTATAACAACCATGGTTTAACAGGATCCTCTTTCAAGACTTCAAGCGATCCAAGATAAATTGAAAAGAGAATTGCAAAGGCACGAAGATTTCCAAATTACGCAAGAAAAAAAGATTGAGAAATACGAAGAGCTTATGTCTTCATCTGAAGATAATAAGGCTAGCATAGGTAAGAATAGTGATTATTTCAGTTAAATTATTTGTATTTTTTTTTCAATGGATCTTTATTGATTGATTTATTTTATTTTCATGCATATATTTAGAAAGAGAGCTGGAGGACAGACGGATTAAGCGAGACGACCTGATAAGACAAATAAAGGCACAGAATGTGTCCGAAGAACGTGTCGCCCAACTTGCACAAGAGCGTCTCACTTTGGAGAGTGATTATGGTATTACCCACGCAAAACTTTTGGATATTCAGAAGAAGGAGTTTGAAGCATCCCAATCGGTAGAAAGTGAAAAGGCAGGAGTAAGTATTTATTGAAGGGTGATATTTCTGACTTTGCTAACCAAATATTACGGATGTTGGTCATATAAAAGGTCAGTATGGCTATTTCAGAATATAATGATCTCGCTACCATGGCTTGGTTAATCCCTTCCGATGCTGCTTATGCAAACGGGGAGAATTTTCGAATTGAACTCTATCTCGAAGGAGAAACTATGGAAAGCATATTATCACAAAGCCTGGAGTCTGATATAAAGGTAAGAAACCATCATTATATATTTCTGTTATCGCCAAACTTTTTATTCTTATACCTGTTATTCATAGCCTCGACTCTTGGACCTTAAAAACGAATTAGATGATACACTTTTGATGTATAAAGAAAAATTGGGTCATCTCAATCATGAGTTGAACGAGAAATACAATGAATCGGAAGAAATAAGAGAAGATATCAAGAAGCAAGAGGAGATATATTCCAAAAAGAAGCTAGAATATGAGATAGCCAAGAAGGCAAGTTATAAAACAAAATCACACTAAAAAAATCTCATGTGTTTACTATAGGATTCAAAAGAAAAAATCTCGCGCCTAAATCAGGATGTAGAAGAGCGTGAAAAGACGATCAAAGCCATCCGGACAAATGCTTTATCTGAGCTTACCGAAGCGAAACAAAAGCACAGTCAGCTTTGTTTAGAGTAAGTGTTAATATTAAAACTTACCCATGGAGATTCGTTGGTGTATGATATACTTGCACATAGTTTGGAAGCGATGACAATACAGCACTCAAACGAAGAGGAAAGAGCAAGGCATGCTTTAAGCTTAGCCTGGAGCAATTATAAGGATCTGGCTAGCCATTTGGACAAAAGCATTGAGGAGTATACAGAAAAAGCTCAGAAGCACAGCAATACTATGCGCAATTTATAGGACGTTAAAGGCGATATAAGTATAATTATTAGCGCAGAAAAAAAATGATCAAATGGAAAAGATCAAATCTATTCCATTTACTTAATCATAACCTCAGAATGTAAGCTTTGTACCAGCCAAATTTGTATATATAAAAAATAAGTACATGCAGACCTTTTAGATATAATACAAGATTAAGATAGTCTACTGCATTTACCACATTATCCAGACGTTTGTACAATCCAACAATTTATATCATTCTTAAAAATGTCAATATTCATTTATTTATTTTTACTAAAAGAAAAAGAAAGGAAAAGAAAAGCTATACTTGAAAACATCTTCAAATATTTGATATTTGTTTTTTCTTTAATAAGAACTTGCATGTTGAAACAGGTTACCGAACAGTTCAATATTGCATCGCAACACATCTTCTGTGAACCTTCGGTTGTCCTTCGTAGGTCGATCCCACGCCATCAAAGTATAGCCTTGATTTTCTGCTATAAGCTTAAAGGGTCTAGCCTTTGGTAGTTGGACAAAATGACAATTCCAACATTTGCTTCCACAGATAGTGGAATGAGGAGGCTTGTGAGTCAGTAAGCGCATATTATTACCCTTGAAAAAACTTGGTGATGACTTCCAGAGCCAAACAGAAAAGGAGTTCTGGTACGCAAACTTGCAGAGGTTATCCACAAATACGTGATATTCACAGGACATTAATGGAACACTCTTGTCATATATCGTGTTGTTGTAACGAGACCATCTACGGGTTTTCTTGTAGACACGAGCTTCATTTGCAACTAAGAATGATTCATGTTTGTCTGTCTGAAGGCGCTCAATTGTCCAATCAAGGTGGAGAAGTGTCCAATCATGAGTAGTGTAAATGGCAATAGGCACTGGCTCCGTTTGATGTAGAATGCGATTAAGCACACGGAACATCTTCAGGCGATGAAACATGGGATGTTGTGAAACATAATAATTCAGCTGAGTGTTTGTTTGCAACAGAGCATGTATACAGTATGAGTTGTGCTGGGGTTTTCGGGTAAGAGTACTGTACAACTCGAGTTCATTGTCAAGACATGTGTCAACAATACGCAGGATGAGTTCAAGCGGTAACATAAGAGAGAGAGAGAGAAGAGAGAAAGAAAAAAAAAGACAAAAAAAAAGAAAAAAAAAAGTAAAGAGAGAAGAAATAGTCCTTTGTGTTTTTTATTCCTTTTATGATTTATCAGAGGCCATACTTTTCCACAGCAGCCTTTGATAGCAAGGTGGCCTTGAGTTGTCTACCACCGAACCATCGACCTTCGAGAATATTAAACGCCTTGTTGGTGGCTAAAAGAAGAAAGAAAAAGAAAAAGAAAAGATAAGACGTTTACAACGCAATTACATGTACAAGTACAAGTACAAGTCGGACACAAAAGATGGTGGGATCTTTCTTTTTTTTTTTCTTTCTTACCTTGTGCAGATCCAAATTCAACAAATATCTTAACATCGCCATCTCCGGTTTCTCTTCCAGTTTCCTTGCCGCCCAAGCCCTCTATGCTGCTTTCATCAGACGTGACCTGCACTTTGACACTTCGAACCAAGCCGTATTTGCTGCACTCTTCAGAGAATTCTTCGCCAAGACTGTCGTCGACCTCAGAAGCCTTGACTGCATTTTGGACCAGTAGTATCGTAGTCATCTGATAATATGGTTAGCTCTTATTCTGTATATATGCTTGGGATAGCTTACCTCTTCTCTGCTGGCTGCAAGTTTCTGCATGATAGCATATCTCTGCCGCGAGTTGATGCTAATGTTTTCTTCTTTATCCACCGACTCTACCACACTACCCTGAGCATTCACTTGTTCTTGAACCATATTTGATATGGTAGACAAGTGAACTACTTCTATTATGTGAGTACCCGCCAAAGAAAAAAAAACAAAGAAAAAAACAAAGAAGAAGAAAAAAGAAGAAGAAAAAAAGAGAGAAGACAATTATAAATCACCTTCAGGTCTTGGCTTCAATATCAAGGGAACTTCGACTTTCTTGTTTAGACCCAGGCTTTGTATGTTTGCATTCACCTTACTCATAACATCATCTTCAGTAGCAGTAGTTTTTTTTACGGGTAAAAGATCTAAAGCTTTCATCCCTTCACCTAATGGACCACCAACAATGCATGGACCAACACGTAAAGGTTGCCCACCCATCTCAAAGTTGTTCATGGCTTCCATTGCTGCCTCTGCTGCAGAAGCCTCTTCAAATTCGATAAAGCTGTGACTTGTTTAGACATACATGTGTTTACCAACAAGACGTATATATTGGCATGACTTACCCGTAACCTCTGTGGTTTCGTGTAGAAATATCTGGCTAATAAATTGAGAGTATTATTTTTGTTCCATTAAGACATTTATATATGTAACAAAGACATATATTTATATATCGAAAAAAAATGTTAATTTTCAAAAAAAAATAATGAATGATCTCACCATCAAAACGCATGCTCGTAGTTTTCCAAAAGCCTCAAAGATGCTTTCCATATTTTCTTGAGTGATCAATTGATTCACGTTAGCAATATAGAATCTACCAGGTGGTGGCAGAGGCTTGGCGACTGCTGCAGCCGCAGCAAAGTTATTGGGTCTTCCCACTTTGAGCTGTCTAATCTTTGGTTGGATCAGTCATGACTTTGAGGCCAGGGGGAAGATGGTGTCGGATTACCTCCCACCCAGATCAGCACCGTGCATCATCTTCACTGCTAGAGACGCGGCTTCTGGGGTGTCGAACTCAACAAAGCAGAAACCCTTGTGGCGCATTGTAGTGTAATCTATTGAAAGACTAATGTTTTTGACAATCCCAAACTGACCAAATACTGCTTTGAGATGAGCATCGTTCAGATCAAAGTGAATACTTCCAACATAGATGCGCGACAATACAGTCAATGTACGCACATCAACCCCAGAAGCAACGTGAGGCTGAAAATGGAGGGAGAGAAGGATGTCGTCGGGCTTCTCGGATCGGGTCTAGAGAATAATTTAGCATCCACAAGAGATGCTTAAAATGCTTACGGCCGGCTTCCATCCCCGTGCATAGGCTTGCGCCTGGGATAGCTGTTCTGCTTGAGCAGGCGACAGGTTCGGGAGTGAAAAGTCAAGCAACGGTCTTCGATCTATATTTTATAGTTAGCAAAGGTTTACTTTTTTTTAAATTTTTATTTATTTATATTTATTTATATTTGATTGGGGGTTACGTGGTAAATCTCTTTACCTCCATCGTCAGGACGTGATCGCTTAGCAGTTGAGTGCGGTGAGGTCTCCAACTGCCGTTTGTTGCGTCTATTTTCTGTACTGTGAGGACTTTGTGGATCGACTTTTTTCATAGCTGGAGATTCTGTCATGGATTTTTTTTTAAAAAAAAAGCAAAGAACTAGAAGAGACCCGCATGTGTCGTCCTGGTTTGGTTTCTTACAGTCACGTGATTTTCTCTACGTCAGACACTACGTCCCAGATAAGCTCGGGTGTACGGAGATTAAAATTATGCATACTCCATTATAATTAAAAAAGGATCTATGATTTATTGATGCATGCATAGAAAAATTACAAAGAATACAAGAAGGAAAGAGAAAGAGAAAGATAATATAAATAACTTATTCTGTCATTTTCACATCTTTTAAAACAAGTACAAGAGGAACATGATCACTTGCGCCCCATGCTTCATGGCGAATATCACAGGAAACCACCTTGTCAAGCAGATCAGGTGTGATAACAAAGTAATCAAGACGCCAGCCTAGCAACTTGTCGCGGCATGCAAATCGATACGAGTAATAAGTATAATGACCCTTTGTATCGGGATGTAAATGGCGCCAGGTATCAATAAGCCCAGGAATATTATCGCTGGAAGGAGCCAATACTTTTGAAAAGTCGGTACGCTCCTCAATTGTGAAACCAGCAGATCTGAAATGTGGATCCAAAGATAATATTTATAAACAAACCACTTTTGGATATCCATGGCTATAAACTAATTAGAGCTACCTTTCATTAGTCTTTGGGCGCGCAAGATCGTCGGCTGTGTGAGCAACATTCAAATCACTGTATATTTAAAGACACAGAAGAAGAAGAATAAAATAATCCATCATTCGTTTGTTAAATTCGGTTATGTAGTTATGATTGAGCACTTACCCACACCAGATGACAGATTTATTGTCTTTTTGCAATGCCCTGATATGCTTTTCCATGTAAGAGTTGAAAACTCGGCGTTCGTCTAGAGACTTAAGTTTGTCGCCTGCATTAAGTACATAGCATGCTATAATAACAAATGAAGGGAACGATGCTGTGATAACACGTCCACGAGACTTGTCCTCATATCCAGGAAGTCCGTATGTAACAGACAGAGGCTTGTACTTTGAGAAAATTGCAGTTCCTCCGTAGCCTTTTTTGTCTTCATATGACCAATAACGATACTTATAGACCTTGTCGTTGACAGCAGTGGACACAGGGGAGTTTACTTTGGTCTCCTGCAAGCACAAGATATCTGCATCTTCGGCATCAACATATTTGTTGAATCCTTTTTTGATGCTTGCATTCAAACTTGCGACGTTATAAGAGGAGATCTTGATAGTGCCCTCGGGTTTTTCGGGAAAATCAAAGTTTTCTGGAAATACTTTGTTATTTGGCAGGGAAGTATCAATGGGTCCAGTAGAGGTCTTCTGTGCTTTAGTTTTTGGAGAGCCTGTGGCGCTTTCGTCGATTGTCGAAGAATTCCTCTTGACACCCATATCGGTCGTAAATAAGAGATAAAGTGTCAACTGAACGCGTTTGGAAAAAGAAGGTAGAAGTTGTCCATTGTGGAGACCAAATGTCAGGATTGGTTTGTGACTGTATTTTAAGAGATCTGGATGGCAGGTATTCGCCGCTCTTGGCCAATAATATATGTGTCCTAGATCAGTACAGACTTTAAAGACACTTTTGGGGAAAGAGCTTCTGAAACCAATAGGCATATATTTCATTTAAAAAAGCCATAAAATATCCTTGACCCTGTTCATTTGTCTTTCAATGCTCAAAGATATAGACTTCTACACGTGACGGTGTCTCAATGACGTCGAATTTTCTTTCTTTTTTTTTGGGAATAGAAGTGAAAGTTCAACTTTGAGGTTTTTTTTCTTTTTCTTTAAATACATAATATATATCTATATATTTTAATTTCATACTCACACATTTCAAAAAAATAAGAACAAGAATAAAACATCATGGCATCACGTCCACAGCCAAAACAGCAACGCCCTACAAATCCAACTAGACGTTATCGTGCTGGTCAAGTTCCTGAGAATTATGTCGATGACCTATCAGATTCTGATGAAGAAGAGGAAGAAGAAGAGGAACAACAACAGCAACAACAGCAGCAACAACAGCCAAGAAAAGATAGAAGAGAAAGACAACAACCAAGTGTTCAATTTGCGCAAAAGGAAGTTGTGACGGGATTAAAACAAATTGAAATATCAGAGAAAGATGTTGCATCCGATCGAAGACTTCGACGTTTACGACAAGCTCAAGAAGCAGCAGCAGGAGTAGAGCAAGATGATCAAGGTCGAAGAAGACGACGGCCTATAAAGGAGGAGGAAGAAGAGAAAAGTGATGAAGAAGGTGGTGAAGAAGAAAAGGCTAGAGAGCGACTACGAATGAAACAAAAAGCACTTCAACAACAACGTGAGCGTGAAGAAGCCGAAGCTATTAGGATAAAGGCAGAGGAAGAAGAAGAGGAAGAAGAGGAAGAGGAAGAAGATGAGGTAAGTTCGTAAGCCATTTATAGAATGCGTACATCCCATTGTGCTGATCCACTCTAATGCTTTACAGAGCTCAAGTGAGTACGAAACGGACAGTGAAGAAGAGACCGTTAAAGCAATGCCAAAACCAATGTTTATACCGAGGTTCGATTTATATATATATATATATATATATATATCTATACAAAACAATTACTAGTAACTAATATTATACTATAATTTAATTTATTTGTCTTATGGTAGATCACATCGTGAGACAGTAAAACAACAAGAAAAGCTGAAAAAGGAGGCAGAAGATAGAGAGCGAAGATACCAAGAAGAACTTGAGGAACGCAAAAAACAATCCCATGATCTATTAGCAGAAGAGTTGAAGCGTGAAAAGGAAGAGGGTAAGTTGAATATATAAGTATACTTAAGATTGTATAGATATGTGTACTAATTATTATTTTTTGGGGGTGGTTTATGCTAGATTTGGATAAAGACATGACAGTTTATGAAGATTCAGTAGATGATACAGATGGTCTTGATGAAGAAGCTGAGTTTGAGGCCTGGAAAGTGAGAGAATTGACTCGTGTAAAGCGAGATAGAGAAGAGCGCATTTCGTAAGTAATATTTGATGGTGTATTAGTGTTGGACATTAATTCTGACAATTTTGAAAATACACATACACATATATTAGACGTGAGAAAGAGCAAGAAGAATTGGAACGAAGACGAGCACTTCCTGAATCTGAACGGTTGGAAGAAGACCTTGCAAGAGCAGCAGAGACTCGAGATAAAGAAAAGGGACAGCATGCATTTATGCAAAAGTATTATCACAAGGGTGCATTTTACCAGGTATAGTTGATTTGTTTGTTTGTTTGTTTGTTTTTGGAGGAAAGAAAAAGTAGGCTTAACATTTGTGTATGTATAAATAGGATCCAGAAAGTGAAGTGCTTCAGCGTGATTATTCAGCGCCTACTGTAGATGAAGTACGCAACAAGGAAATGTTACCCAAGGTTATGCAGGTCAAGAACTTTGGTTTAGCAGGTCGTACAAAGTGGACTCATTTGACAGCTGAAGATACTTCAAGTATGGATGATCCTTGGAACAGTGGAAGTAATAAGAAGCAGCGACGGAACTAGGGTTCAAATAAAAGTAGACCAAATATATAAATATAAATACAAACATAAGCATATATATATATACGGTGGATTATAACCACAATTGAGTACAACGAAGAATCAGATATTCTAACCATTGATGCGTTAAATCAAGATATATAAACCCATTAATCTTGAATGGTATATAAATAACTACAAGACATACGTCTATTGATAAATTCATGTAGAAAACAGTCGATCTACTTCTTGACATCACACCAGTATTTGATATATAAATCTACTCTTTTTTTTTATGAATTTTTCTTTTGAATATGTCGCCTCTTTATTCGAGATTCCAAATGAGTAAATAATATTCTGTACAAGGTCGACACGATTATGGTATTTGGAAACTAAAGATATTACGTTGCTGTCAATATTCTTACAAATAAGGAAATGTCTATTCGATAGGATATATATAATGGACATGGATTAAAATGATATGGACCTTGTCAGCTGCATGCAAGATTACTACAAGCGAATGCCTTGTCTGAATCCTACAATGTTATACGTTACAGAAAGGTATAGTATGCACATTTACAGATTAATCTATAAAGAAAAACCTTGCCATTTTCTCAACTAAACTGTTTTGTCTTCTTCTTCTTCTTCTTTGTCATTATCTTTATTTTCAATAGAGTAAGAAAGTATATGATACGCTCTTGGTTCCCATCTTGAACAACTTGGAAGCTCTGGCGAAGCTGTTTTGTTAATAATAATAAAATAATAGAATATAAATTTATATATATATATATACGCACATTTCTTTATATAGATGTCATTATGCTCTCCGTATAAAAGCCTCTTTGGTTATTCCCACAGTCTATGTGTGAAAGATCAATGATCTCATCTACATATGTCTATTAAAATATCTGATATAAAAAAAATTGCCAAGAAAATGCTCCTCTTTATTTTGAAACGAGTATCCTCCAACCCATTTAATGCCGTTAGCATATCTAACTTGTATTTTAACAAACATGACATATATATATGTTACTATAATGTATAATAGGTAATCTTGGCATTGTCTTTAAAAACAAGGTTGCTTTTATTCATGTAATGAGATTCTAGTCTGTTTGACTTTGGTACATAATAAGAACATAAAATCATGTACATATTACTTTCTGGTTTTAGCAGTATAGATAAGCTTGTATATCTTTACATATATTATAGATTACTTTAACCTTTGTTTTTCTTCTTTCTTCTTAAAAAAATAAAAATAAAGAAAGTGTATTCACCCTCAAATAACTTGCCAGCCACTATTTTAGTAGCTCATCACTCAAGGGAGAAAGAAAAAAAAGTAAAGGGAAAGGGAATAAAGAGGGGCTGCATCTGAGTGCACTAGTAAGAAAGAAGTAGCACCGTCTGGAAACTAGAAAATCGATTTGATCTACAAATTTATTAATTATAGGGACTGCATGGTTAACGCAGAAGGATTGTCCTGAAATTTGACGGGGACTTTTATATTATTGATTCCTTTGGTTGTTGTCTAAGTGTTATGTGTATATTATGTTAGATCAAGAAGTGTGCGTTGCTTTGAACCCTTTACTTTTTTTCATTTTATTCACTTGTTTCAAAAGCTGTAATTGACAATTTAATAGAAAACAGACCATTAATTAAATGTGGTAAAGATCTAGTATAAGATTTCCCGGTTTAAACAGGATATGTAAACGCACGTTCAGAGAGAATATTGGCTAAGCTATAAAGATAATATACATAGAGCGACAGATATATGTCTATAGTATGGTTAGCAGTATCGTTACTATTGATATTCAATATTTAATTCAAAAAAAATTAAAATTAAAAAATTAAAAGATATTGAAACCCTCTTTCTTTCATCTGTCGTACAGCTGACAATTGTGTTTAGCTTTCTGGTGTGATTTTCCTGCTCCGAATTGTTGTGTCCTGACTGAGAATACAGAATGGAATATACATCAACTCATACTTTCTTATACTTTCTTCTTTCTTCTTCCTGTTTTTCTTCTCAATTTATCCTCTTTTTCCTTTTCCTTCCCTTTACTTCTTTTATTCTTCCTTCTCTCTCTCTCTTTGTGTGCCTAGAATTATTTTATGCGTCTCTGTGGAAATTTCAATAAACCAATTCCACGTAAAGTAGTCATTTGTGGAGACGGTGCGTGCGGAAAAACATCCCTTCTCAATGTATTCATGAGTGGATTATTTCCACATGTAAGCTTATTTTTCTATTTGAAAAACAAAAAACAAAAAAAAATACTGATAAATTATGCCTGTATTTTAGAGCTATGAACCAACAGTTTTTGAAAATTATATTCAAGAACTAACTATAGACGGTGAAGATGTTGTGTTGTCAATGTGGGATACTGCAGGTAAAATATTAAACGATATATTTATCGCTTGTATTTAAGCATAAATATACATAAAGAAAAGAAAGGAAAAGAAAAATTAAAACATCAAATATATTGTATTGTGTATATTTAAAATACAAACCTTGTCCTATTATTTTATATTTTATTATATTATATTATTAAAGGTCAGGAGGAGTTTGATCGGCTAAGAGCTCACTCGTACAAAGATACACATGTTATTATGCTGTGTTTCTCAATCGATAATCCGGATTCACTCGAGAATATTGCAAATCGGTGGTTGAGCGAAATCCAGCAACATTGTCCACAAGCAAAAATCGTACTTGTGGCCCTAAAGTGTGATTTGAGAGATACCAAGACAAGCACGACTCCAGTATTATATGAGCAGGTTAGTTAAACACGCCATCTATATAAAAGACATATAGGATACATTTCTTTTTGTTATATGAGAAAGGCGTGGGATTGGCAAAGTCTATTGACACATGCTGTGTTTGTATAAAAAAGGGCCTTGAGGTGGCACGTCGGATTAATGCAGTTCGATACCTCGAATGCTCAGCCAAGCACAATAGAGGTGTGCGCGAATGCTTTCAACAAGCTGCCAGAGTATCCCTGACAGGTAAAAAAAAAATCAAATAGAATGGAAACATGAATAACCGAGTCTGACCAATAATACTTCTTCTTCTATCCTTTGTGTGTGGGTGTGGGTGTGTATTTTATTGGTACGTTTAGTTAACAATGGGAAAAAGTCCCATTACTCAAGAGCATGTATTATTACCTAATTTACTTCTAGTATAACCCGCCTGCTTGTTATCTTTATCTATATCCCTACTATTATTATTACTGTCTATAATTTTATATTTTATATATATATATATATTACTAATACACCCACCCATGAATACTTTCTTTTCTCTACGCATGGTTATTTTCTTGGATCAATTGTTCAATATGAATAAAAGCAAAAGCAAAAAATTGATTTACATTTTTTTTGTATGTATAAATAAATAAATTAAATAAATAAATATTTTAATATCCTTCTACACGTTCCTGGATCTTGAGCAAATCAGAGAAGATGCCATAGGCAGTGACAGCAGCACCAGCACCAGCGCCCTGAATGATAAGACCGTTGGGGAAGTACTCGGTAGTAAACTTGATAATGTTGTCACTACCTTGGAGAGAGGCAAAAGGATGGGAGGCGGGGTACCTATTGATTTATAGCAAAAAATAAAATAAAAGTAAATAAATAACTGATTTATAATATAAACCAGCTCAAAATATTTCTATCGTATCAATATGTTCTTCAAAACTTACTTGATCAACTTGACACCACTCTTTCCACCCTTCATGTCAACCAAACCAACACAACGCAAGACCTGGTTCTCCTTCTTCGCCTCCTCATTCAACTTTTGAAAATGTCCATCAAAGTTGGGCAACTGGGCCATAAACTCTTCAGCAGTAGCAACCTTTTGGAGGGGCTCGGGGACAATGTTCTGGATCTCAAGGGTAGAAAGATCGAGATCAAGACCAGCAAGACGACCACAGATAGTAACCTACATTATCATTATTAATATAGATATATGTATATGTATATATTTCCTTTTTGTGTTAATTTCAATTCAATGCATAATATCCTGTATTACGTCAAAACCAAAAATATATCCAGCTCTATATCCCACATATATACACATATATGCGTGTATGTATGTACATGTATTATAGTTACTAACCTTACGGGCAACATCCATACCGTTGAGATCGTCTCTGGGATCAGGCTCGGTGTATCCAAGTTCCTTGGCGACCTTGACGATCTCAGAGAAAGGACGGGCGGCTGTGGTCGAAGACAAGGAGGAGAAGTTGTTGAAGAGGTAACTCAAGGTTCCGGAAAAGATACCCTCAATCGAGATAACCTTGTCGCCGGTCTTGACCAGATCAGCAAGGGTGGAAAGAACAGGCAGGCCAGCACCGACAGTGGATTCGTGGAAAGCCAGGGGAGTCTTTCCACCCTTACCGAGGTTTGCGGCAGAGGCCTGGATGGCACGGTAAAGAGAAAGATCTCCCGAGAAACCCTTCTTGTTGGGTGTGACAACCGAAACACCAGACTGCAACCACGAAGGGTAGAGCTTGGCTACGGCATCCGAGGCAGTGCAGTCAACAATGACAGCGTGCTCGGGGGACTTGGCGAGGTAAGCAGCGAACGCGTCAAGCTGGGCAGTCTGTCCGTGAGTAAGGACATCCTGGGCGTTGGCGTAGGTCAAAGGAGCGTAGGAGGTGTCAGACAAGACCATCTTCTTTGAGGTAGTCATAGCGACCACCTTGAGGTGCTTGTTGGAGGTTGCCTTGAGCTGAGCAACCAACTCTGCACCAACGAGTCCGATTCCGACAATACCGATGTTGACCATGATGACAAGATTCTTTTTTTTTCTTTTCTTTTAAAAAGAGAGAGAGAAAAATAAAAATAAAAGGAAATTAAAAAATAAAATAAAAAACAAAACGACATTAAGATGATGGAAAAAGATAAAAAGTCATGTGACCCAAAATTGCATGCATTAGTGAGAAAGCTCACAATCAGTGTTGTACAGTAAGGCTGTGTGACTTGATTAAGTTCAGTAACATCAGGACGTTCTTTTGCACACCACATCATACCACGCTATACCTCACTATACTAACTTAATGCACGGCACTTTCTCTCTCTCTCTCTCTCTCTCTAGCTTATGTATAAACTTCTTGTAAAGGTAAATAATAAAGGTGGGTCTTTTTTTTTGGTCAAGAGTTATCAGATTTGGTTTCTCAGTAAACCAGGTATAATGACAAGGAAAATAAGTCCCGCCAAAATTTGACACCATTCAAAAGCTTCTTTAATAGTTAAAGAAAGCTTGTAGAGACAATATTTATTCTGCTCTTTTTTAAGAGCAATAAATGAAACAATTGACTGATCCTGGCGATTGTTACAATTTCTTTTTGGAAATACAAAAATGTATTCAAAGCAAAATACAGGGAATAAAAGTTTAAAATGTCAGTGAAAAAGGTAATTGCGAAGTATGATTTTCTGCAGAGTATAAAAATAAGAAGAAGAAGAAAGGGAAGAAGAATTAAGGGAATAAAAGAGTGAAAAATAATATTAGTGTAATGGCTGTTGTGGGTCATATTTCTTACTTTACAACAAGAAATCAACGCATTCCCAACAGAAAACTAGTCTAATTAAAAGTCCAGCATTCTGACTTGATTTCCAAGCCGTAAAGAGACAGAAGCTCGGTCATTATTTGAAAAGAGGGGAGGGTACCATAAATACTCAAAAATCACTCAAAAGTTCTTGTGGACTTAGTAATCCATAAAATAGTATGACCACCTTCCTGATGTTAAATGTGATTATATTATGTACCGAGCAGTTACCTTTGCACACAGTGAAAACTATCGTATTTAATAAATGAATACAGAACAACTATTATTATGATTAACTTTGAGGTTTTGGGGAGCTGCCTCCAGTCAGCTCTAATCCAAATATATATATATATATATATATAAAGGTTAAACCCTCTGCATTTTTATTTTTATTTTATATAATCATTTGCTCTTGTTATTTCAACGGTCCACCACTCCAAGCCAATTTGAAACTGTCTTTATTCTTACTGTTATTATTATTATTATTATTATTATTATCAAATACATGCTATATACACAAGAGGTCTTGAACATATGATCATTATGTACCTTTTATATCGTATATTGAATTAATAGCCATTTTTGGAAGGACCCTGTCAGATTTAGAGTAGAAAATGCTTTTATCTGTGTACTTTAAACTCAGATATATTGATAAAATCAACAATAGTGTAGTACTTCTTCTACAAACCAGATGGAATTGATACTCAAGTTCATATTCACCGAATTGATAAGAGTAGCTGCATAAAGATAGAGGGAATCCAAATACTTAGCGAGTTAATAAATAATCAGTAGAAATAAATAGCAGAAATAAAGGGCATATTTGTAAATTTGGCAAAGAATAAGCGAATGCGTCGAAAAAAAAAGAACACCGTAAGAAACTTTTTGCCAAGGCGTGGATACCTCGGTACCATCCTTTCTGTACCGTAATATCAAACGAACCTTATCTGAGAGATTTTCCGAAGAAATTTCCAGGAAAACTAAATCTGAAGGTAAAACAAAAAAGAACTGAAAAACAAGCTCCTAAGAGTATTCACAGCGGTTTGTCTAAGCCTAAAATCCCATTTTTTTTTACTGCTTGAATATTTTAGTGAAGTGCTAAATTTAGGAATCCGTTAAATATCATTGAAAAAATTGGTTGAAACATTTAGCTAGATAAACCGCTGTGGGATGCTCTTAAGCTGTGTTATATTTTGTGCCGCGCGCACCTCCTTCTTTATAACGTCAGTCAGATAATCGCCAAAAATTATACAACAATAATATATGACTTTTGTACACAAAGAGACGATTTGGTAGCCGCGTTGTAGCTCTGAAGGCAAACTTATAGTACCACTGTCAGTTTGTGAATGTCCATTTATTTAATATTAATGCTGTTTTTGATGTAAACTTCAAAATAAGCAGCAGATTGTGCCAATATGACATTCTCCAATACTTGTTGCTGAAGAACGTAAATGATAAATGAACTCCTGTTTTAAAACAGTTTGTAGAATATGGATCCATTGCTATGAGTTCAAATTGCTTCTTTCAAAAGCTATAGTGCAGGGCATATATTTCAGCTTAGTTCAGTTTAACTTTTTTTTCTGACATGCATTGCAGAAATGCAAATGCTATATATATACTCTTCGAGAATTGGCAAGAATATCACATCATTTTTGAAGAAGAAAAGGTGTTGGTTATTGACTGTACTGGGAATGTTATACGTACATCTCTCAATACACCCACACAAAAATCGAAACTAATGGCCTCGACAAGTATGTTCTGACAGATAAGAAAATAACGAAAAGGTTGTATTTTTTTTTATTGTATGTTCCCAATAATATAAATTCCGTCACTTATTTAGCTCTCATTCTCAAATTCCTTGTCTCTTTCTCTCTTGCCTTTTGTGCGCTTGTATATTATCACATAAACCTTGAATAATGAAAAACATATTCTGTGTGCCATAAATCCAATAAATATAAATATGTATATATTATGAAGTTTACTCGCATTTGAATGGACTGTCAGCCAGTAAAGTCTGTTTTAGATTCAAAGAAGTGAAAAATAAAGAAATGGTCATTTGGTAGTCTATTGATCTATCTTTCATTACAAAAAAAAATATTTCTCTCTTCACCATACTCCAAAAAAAATCCCATTCCAATTTGCTCTCACTACTGGCTCTGTACTTCACATATCTATTTATTTTTTATACTAATTTTCAATATATATATATATATATATATATTCCCAATACATAGTTTACTGGGCTACAGCGAGAAAACTCTCTACATACATACATACATATATATATTGTTTGTCCATTAAAGACGGGCCCATATCCAACCAGAAAACCAGGATGTTGGTTTTGGAGTAAATATACGACCATCACTTGTATCAACTGGCTTGCACTCTTCTAATCTACCTACGGCTGGATCGTAACTTGGATCCTCTACATTAATACTACTACTACTATCTGACTGAGACGGGGGTTGCAGCTGGATTACGGTGACAGTAATGTCATCGCGGTAATTGCGAGAAGGTTTACGGGTCAGGCGTTTGGAGAGTTCAAGGGTTGGGTTCGAGACCGGTGCTTTGATGTGCACGTTCTTGTAAACTGCATCGAACAAGAGTGCCTGTCTGATCATGTGTGTTGCAGGATTGGCGTCAGGTCCCTTTGTGGATATGAGCTCTGCCGCGACCTGGTCTCCATCCGAGCTACGGACATTATCCCAGCTGAGTTCATCCCACAGGCCATCGGTACCCAGGATGATGTACTTGTCTTCAGGAGTGAGCTTGTGGTGCGTCACGAGTGGTTTGGAGGACAGGTAAGGAGGAGTATGGTAATGCACGACAATACGATGATGATAACGGGCAAATGTGTGATAAATATCGTATGGAATGAATGGTAAGACCTTCATTTGATAAGGAACAGGAACCTTGTACATAATATCACCAAATGCTATAATATATAGATGAGTAAGTATGTGTGTGTGTGTGTGTTTGATTTATTTATTTATTTTGTACGTGTTGGTAGTAGCTAGATAGGACTTTTGGGCATTATATCTCTTTTTCTTCTTCTTCTGAACTTACATCCTCCAACAGCAATCAGACCAAAGATGCGCTTTCTCTTAACAATATCTTCAGCCTCATTAGCAGGGTGCTGAGATATCATGTATGCCTTCCAGTCTGGATGAGCAGGCGATTGTTCCTCGACTATTCTACGCCCAGTCCAAGATCCATCTTTTTCCTGTCTAACGACTACAAAACAAGTTATATACATACACATCTATTGATTATTACTAGATCTACGCAGACACACACATACACACACACGTATATATATATATACGCAAAATAAAGAAACAAATATTAAGAAAAACCTTGCCTACGACACGAGAATCACCGGTATTTGCAGCATAGAGATCATCTCCATCCAAATAAACAGCACATGCACATGAGCCAGTGATTGCTTCACGAATGTACAATTCAGCGGCGGCGGGGTTAGGGTGACGACTGACTGCGTCTCGAATGTCCTTTTCATTTGAGCGGTTGACGTTCTTTGGGAATAAGGCATAAAAGCGTTGTTGGATGTCGTCGTCAAGGGTGACAAAGGCCTTCGAGAGAGTTGATTCTACGGCCTCTGGGGTTTCTGGTTTGTCTGAGTCTAGTTGACGGGCGACGTACTTTGGCAACTGTGTTTTTATCATTCTTGAGCAGTCAGGACCAATATGGCCTTTTTGTTTGCAGATACAGATACAGATACAGATATTTAATTTAGAATTGGGTGAGTATGTATATGAATGTATTGCTGCTATTATTAAAGAAACTAACCATCATAAACACCAGCAATCAAACCCTGGGTTCCAACCAAGTTAACACTATAGTTGTCTTCGACAGGGTTGTTTGAGGCGACTTGACTGGTGTATACTGCCTTGACGCGGTCTAGTGGGGTGCGGGTGACAAACTGGTCGGCCCTGAGACGTTCGTTGATGGTCTCGGGAGACAAGAGGGTGTAAGGACGAGTGTCTCTGTTTGCATAATGGTCGATTACAGGAGCCTGGACTTGTTCTTTTTTGAGTAGTTCTTGCTGTTTCTGTTCAAACAGGTCTTGCTGTTGTTTGTAGACGATGTAGCCCACACCAGAAAGGCCTAGTGTGGTGGCTGTGGTAACTGCAGCGCGAAGTGGAATCGGCATGTGTCTAATGGACAAAGAAAGGGCATCTTTATTCCCTAATTTTTTCTTACGCCACCCAAACAAAAATCTCCCTCCCTTTCTCCCTTTCTCCCTTTCTCTCTCTCTCTCTCACAACGTGTGTGTGTGTGTGTGTCTGTCTTACCCACCCCACTCTACTCCACCCATTGAAATCATCGCTTTTCTATCCTTTTTTAGGTATGTTTGATGCTTACGGAGTACAACTTTGAAGTTAAACCCCCTCTCACTCCTCCTCCTCCACCCTCGCCCTATCAATTGCCATTTTTCTTGTTCTTTTAGTTTAGGATTGGTATACTATATAAAGGTCTCAATGATGGTTATTATTTGATATAGCTAATATATGTTTATTAACAGAAATTGAAGATTGTATGTCAATTTTGAAGAGGGTTGGTTGGGATAAATAGATGATTAATATTATTTGGCTTGAAGTGTTGCAACCGATAATTTGATATAAAGCCTTGGTTTGATCCTTTTGTGGTTTAATTTCCCCCTTTTTTTTAGTTTCAAAAGATTGATGAGATTCACTCTTATAATCATTTGTGTCCCTATTGTTATTCTTTTGTAGACGTCTTTAAGATGAAATACCGAAAGAAAGGAAAGGAGAATAAAGCAGAAGAAGAAAAATTTACTCTCAGGCACACAAAAGTCAATAGGCCAGTGTAATTTGCATTAAAGCCAATCGATAAAACTACTTTTATCTGAAGATCCGAGATTATTTTCTATTGGCTGAATGTTTTCTGGAAGCACTACATTTGTAGATGTCCAGACTTTCTCCCTTTCTCTCTCTTGGTGTGTGTGTGTATAATTAATTTGATGAAAATGAAAATGGCTTGGCTTGGCATGACACTTGAATAAGGTATAAATGTATTGATGTATATAGTACCTGTATTAACCTTGTTATTAACCTTGTATTTGACTTGTAGTAATTTTGATATTAGTATTGGCGTAATTATTGTTGTTGTTATTTTAGAATAACATGTAAGAGATAAGTAGATAAACTTTTGACTTTATTTTATTTTTTATTTTTATTTTTAATCAAGAAATGTATTATTTCCATTTTAGTCCTTATTTTATCTTTAAATCTCTATGTTTTCTAAAGTGGTTCTTAATAGTATTGCTTTTTATTTTGGTGTTGAACTGTTAATAGAAGAGGAAGAAGAAGAAGAAAAAAAGGTCTCCTGATTTTTGTGCTCCACAGATTATTTTATATATACATAATATAATATATATAAAAAGAAAAGAAGGTTTATGTGTGAGTGTGTTTATGTACTTTTGATTGATGTACTCTTTTGTGCTTAGAATGATACTAACATCCGGGTGCACACAACAGATACATATCTTTGATTGGATGATACAATTGACTAGGCCATTATTATTATTATAATTATTGTTTTAGTAACTTTATATTGATACATTGTACATTGATACATTGTACATTGTACATTGTTGAGTGTGTGAATAGATCTGTATAAATAAATAAATAATAAAATTGTTGTCTTGTTGTTATAGATACAGATTACATAGATACAAATTACATACATATATTGATACATACATCGCATATACATATATTATAATAAGGCTGCCTATCAGAATGTCTGCATGAATATCAAAACATCAGCAGGTCTCATTTAATTTATATATATATGTGTCCAACCTTCTGGAATCTTTTTTTCTTTCTTTATATATATACATTTTATACAAATATGTTTCAATACTTTAATACTTCTTTACTTACTTGAACATATACATATACATATACTATTATTTAATAAAAATAATAATAATATAATATACTGTATATCAATGTGTACAAGACCTAATCAACTAATCAACTAATCGACTAATCGACTAATCGACTAATTGATTGATTGACTAATTGACTAAAGCTATTAAAGAATAGAGTATTATATAAATAAAATTAAAATAAAAAAGAAAGAAAGACCGGGTTTTTTTTAGGTGAGCACAATATGACGTCATTTAAAGACACAATATGTTTCAATTTGTGGGAAAAATAAAATAAAGAATTGCGTATTAAGTTATCGTACTGTACTGCACTGCACTGCACTGCACTGCACTGCACTGAACTGAACTGAACTGAACTGTACTGTTGTGTTGTGTTGTTATGTATCTGGTATAGTGTAAAATATGTAAAGTGTGTAAAGTGTAACATGTAGTGTGTGTGTTTTTTTTGGGATACAACTTCTTTTTTTTTTATATTATATATATATATATATATCGGTGTTCTAATATATCTGTAATTTATTTATTTTTTTTTGGGGGGAGGAGGAGGAGGAGAGTTGCTAGGGACGGTTTGGTAGTCGGATAAGATCAATTTTTGTACCGAAACTTTATTCGGTCACAAAATAAAAATAAATATATAAATATAGAGCGGGTTGTTAATGAAACAAATACACACATAAATAAATTTATTTGTATTATTGTTTAAAGTGGCTGATATATATATATATATATCTTCAATTTGATTCAATTCATTTTAATATGTTTCTTAATCAAATATATCATGTTTCAATATGCTTCAATCATTTTATATATATGTATATATATATATGTTCCTTAATTCAATTTGTTTCAATTTTAATTTCAAATATATAAATATATATAAAAATCAAAATCAAAGTCAAAATGGAAAGAAAAAGAAAATCAAGGAATATGTGTGTGTATTAAATATCAACCCAGACAGTCAACATGCATTCTTTTTTTTTGTTAGGCAAAAAACAACAAAAAACAACAACAAAAATAATTAAGCAAGTAAATCCAAAAGAATAAAATAATAACAAAGAATAAATACATAAATAGAAGAGACAAAGAGATTTAATCTAAAAAAAAATATAGAGACATAAAGACAAAGACAAAGACAAAGAGTTCCAAAATTACCTATATAAAAGCCTATATTGAATGTATACATTGTGTAATATATATATAATTTATTCAGATATATACATCTTTATTCATTTATTTTATTTAGTAATAATTCTCTCTCTCTATCTTTAACTTTATATATATAAAAAAATATTTTATATATATATATATATAATTCGGTTGCCTTGGTAACCATTTGAGTTTAAGCTCAAACCGTCACTGCTTTTTGTTTTTTTTTCTTCTTTCTTTCTTACTTCATTTGTTACTCTTTCTTTCTTTCCTTCTTCTTTTCTTTTTTTTTTATTCTTTTTTTTTTATTCTTTAATTCTTTTATATCTTCTTTATATTTATATATTTATTTTGTTGCTATAGATACTATATATATATATATATATTATACTTTTTTTTATTATTATCTCGATTGATTTATTCTCTCCATTTTACACTTAAATTACTATTATATATAAATACACATTTATATATTTATATATATATAAAAATATATTGATTACCAAAGCAACAAGGAAAATCAAAATCAAATCAAAATCAAATCAAAATCAAATCAATCAAGTTTATTTTATAAAGCAACCAACGCACAACAGACAGCCTTTATATTAATAAGACGAATAAGAAGAATAAGAAGAAGAAGAAGGATAATAATAATATCAAAGCCTTTATCATTGCTATTATTATTATTGTTGTTGCTACTCTTGTGTCTTGTCAACTACGATGAAATCGCCATTGTAAGCTTCATTTTTATTTTATTTTATTTTACTTTATTTTATATTATATTATTATTTTTTATGATTCACCTGTCCAACGATACACTACACCAATCTACACCAATCTATACCATACCATACCATACCATGCCATACCATACCAATCTACACCACACCAATCTACACTACACCACACTATACTACACCACAGTGCACTACACCACAATGTGCTCTATTGCACTGTACTGCACTGCACTGTACTGCAATAAAACACAATACAATACAATACAATACAATACAATGACATTACTTTCTACACAAAAGAACAACATTAAACATACTTGACATATTTTTTTTTCTTACTTACATATTTTCTCTCTCTTTCTCTCTCTTTAAATATATTTATATATATAATATATATAAATATATATAAATATAATACACATACTTGTCCTTTTACAATCTCCTTCACTCTTTCTCCCTTTCTCCCTCTCTCTCTCTCACACACACTTTCTTTCTTATTCATTGTTTTGCCTCACTCTCTTTCACTCTTTCTCTCTCTCTTTCACTCACTCTCTCTTTCTCTTTATTTTATATATATATATATATACTTTTAATATATTTTGATATAAAATATATCTATTTTTATATTATATTATATCTTCTTTGCTTTGTTGCTATATTATGTGTAGACCACAAAACAGTATTCAATCAAATGGTTCTATCATCGGTCAAAGCGCCCGCACTACAAGAATCAGCAAGGCAACATCTACCCCTGTGTCCAACAAAAAAACATTCCGTATTGCCCTCAAATCTCACTCACCGCCAACCCAACCTATCACTTCTGCGGACATTCCCAAGAATAGCAACAATAATAATAGCCTTACTACCAAAAAGAAGAATCCTAAGAACGATACTCTATCCGTCGTAACCCACACCAAACATGACGTGAGTCCACTGGCTGCCAAGCTCAGACAGCGATTGTCAGCAGCAATGGCCACTCTAACCGTTCCCAGCTCAACAACCCACGTCACAACATCTCCGCACTCAAACCAACCTGTACCTTCACACACACCAGCATTACAACCAACCTCAAAATCAACCACACCCACACCCACACCCACAACCAAAACGTCAGATCAACAAAATATCTCTTCCGGTCTTGCCTCCGCTGCTCTCACCGCCACCACCTGCCCTACCACTTTTGCTGTCGATAATGATAATGATAATGATAATGACACTGATGCTACAATTGCTACTGTTACTGCTACTCCTAATGCTACTGCTACTGCTACCAGTACCGTTGCCGTTACTGATGCCGCCGCCCACCTGTCGTCCGCTGATTGGCCAACCGTTTCTCCTCACACTCCTCTTCCTGCCACTTCCACTACTAGTTCCACTCCTAGCTCTACTTCAACTGCCAACTCAGGTTCAAATGCTAATATTAATGATAATGATAATGAAAACTCCTCCAATTCTGATTTGAATGACAATAACAACGACAATTCCAATTCCAATCAAAATACCATCAACAAGACAGAAAATACTCCAAGATTGCGTAATTTGCGTTTATTGAAAGATTATCTGGCTCTTGTGGCAATTGAAGGCTGTCAGGTTGACATGGAATCAGATGCTATCCAGATCACCGTCTCAGATCAAAGTCACGCCATGTCCTCTCACCAAGCCATAGGTTACCAGGGCGCAGTCTGGATCGAAGCACTCGTACATGCACCCTCCGAAATGGAAAGTCGGCTAAAATCAAAGTCAATGGCATTGTCATCATCCATAGGTCAATCCAAAGCAATGGATATTGATATGGATAATTTATTATCATTATCATCATCTTCTTCTTCATCAATATCATCTGCATCTGCATTAGCATTAGCATCAACATCAGCATCATTATCATCAGCAGCAGCAGCAGCAGCAGCAGGAGTATCAGCAGCAGCAGCAGCAGCAACAACAACAACAACAACAGCAGGAGTATCAGCAGGAGACGTACATCAATCTCAAATCCAAGAACAAAAAGGTAAATAAATAAATAAATAAAAATAAAAGCTAATTGGCTATTTGTGTGCTCACATCATATTAATCATATTTTATCTTTTATCTTTTTTTTTTCATATTTGACTTTTATCTTTATCTTTGGCTCTGTCTATTATATATGTCTATATCTTTATTTTATTTTATTTTATATTGTATTGTATTGTATTGTATTATTTTATATTGTATATATAAATTTTTTTAGTGCTTGTCGGTCAAAGAACAGAATCAACCACCTCACCTTATACGGTAACCCGAGGCCTCGATCGCCGCCGACCAGGTCGACCGTCGAAACCCAAATGTTTCTTGTACGACGACGAATCTGCCACCTCTCATTCCAATTCTCATCCCTCGACTTCATCCACGACCTCTACCTCTACCACGACCACGACTCCAACCTTGAATTCGAATTCTCGCTCTCCTATCAAGAAACCCGAAGACAGGATACGTACCAAGCGTCATCAGCGACCTACTCGTAAATCTCTCGATTGGGCTGAAGAACTGAAAAGAAAGAACAGAAAATCAAGCACTTTATCAGCAGCTCGTTTAGCAGCAGCCCGTTCAGCAGCAGCAGCAGCAGCAGCAGCATCATCATCAGCATCATTATCATCATCATTATCAGCATCATTATCAGCATCAACAACAAAAACCAAAACATCATCCTCTTCTTCAACATCCTCTTCTTCATCTGTGCATGTACCTGTACATGGATCTGCATCCCTGTCTGCGTCTGCACCTACATCTACATCGCCATCAACATCATTGTCTTTATCATTATCATTATCCTTACCACATGGACCACGCCTGCCGTTAAATATCAATCGTAATGGTAGCAATGGAATTAGTGTTAATGGTGCTAATGGTACTAATATGAATGGTAACGGCAGTCTGGTACAATGCATCTGCAACACCCCCCATGAGGAATTTGGATCGATGGTCCAATGTGATGATTGTTCTTCTTGGCTACATGTCGAATGTCTGGCACTCAACCATACCGAACTCGAAGAAACTTTCCGGTGTCCATCGTGTTACATGTCTCTCGGTGCAGGTAAGACTGCAAAACTCCTGAGTGCAGTCACCTGGCGTTATGTCGCCCAATGGAAGAGCCGGCGTTTGGCAGCAGCCATGCATTGTGATTCAGGCAGCGACGACGACGACGATGAGGGCGTTACCACAAACACAAACACAAACACAAACACAAACACAAACACAAATCCAAATCCAAATCCAAATCCAAACACACACGCACACACTATGACTGCTACCACTACTGTTGCCAGTAGTACCAGTGGTGCTAGTACAACTACAAACAAACACAAGAAAAACAAACACAATCTCACTCTTACTACCACTGCCACTGCCACTGCCACTGCCACTGCCACTGCCACTGCACTTGACACCAAAAATACCAATACCAATACTGTTCATAGTACTAGTAAAAACAATGGTCAAACTAGTCAGACACATGCATCTATCAGTAGTAGCAGTGGGTATCCATCGCCAGTATTGTCTAGTGTGGTGATTCCATTCAATGAGACCTGCAGCCCACCTTCTTCTTCTTCATCTCCTCCTTTGGGACCTCTGGCCCTTATTCCTGATGCAAGGGGTGGTATGAATGTAGTCTTGCCTCCATCTCCGGCATCATCTCTGTCTTCTTCTTTTGTGGATTGTCCAGTTCCGTCTAGTCCTGCACACAGTGAAGATACCGAAAGTCCTAGCGAGGCCAGCACACCGGATCAGACTGGAGGATTTGATTGCTTTGAGAGTATGGAAATTGATAGCCACAACCATAATCATCGTCATCAAAATACCAACAACAACAACAACAACAATTCTGCTGCTACTACTCTTACTACTGCTGCTACTTCTAGTACTACTACTAGTACTAGTACTGCTTCTCATAACAACAACAGCAATGCCTACAATAATCATCATCACCAAGCACTCGGTTACTTTGCTCATTTTGGATACTTTGGACAGCCTGACCCAATAAAGGAAGAGATGTTTGGTCCCCTTGCCAGTGACGTGTTTCTCTGTGAGAATATGTAAGTATAAAATTTTCATGTATCTAGTATTATTGTATTGTATTGTAGTGTAGTGTATCTTAACTAAACCTAACCTAACCTAACTAATTTTTATTTTTCTTTTCTTTAGTGACAATGCTATTTTTCCTGTCAGTCCAACCACAATGGATTTTGCACCTGATCTTCCACCTTCCTACATTTGTTCACAGTATCTTTCGGAAATGTCAACCATTGAAGAAATTTAAACAAACTCAAAGGAACATTTTTTTATTATTATTTTTTTGGTTATTCATTTGTCCACACAAAATCTGCTTTGTGCTCTGTGTATATTTGGCTATCAAAACAAACAAACAAACAAACAAACAAACCTTTCACACTTACTTATTCATATATAACTCCCATGCACCAATTTATTTTTTATTTTATTTTTCAGTACCCCCCCCTCCTCCCCTCCTCCTTTTTTTTTTAATTTTTTAATTTTTTAATTTTTTAACTTTCAAAAACAAAAAACATTCATTTCTTATTTCTTATATAATTTTTTATTTTATTTTTTTATTTCTTTCTCTCCCCCCTTTTATATTTTTATATTTTTATTTTATATTCCAAAATTGTAAATATTTCTTAAAGAAAAACAAAACAAACAAACAAAAAAAAAGCTCTTTATTTCTTATTTTATTGTAACATATTTTTACTCTTTTATTTTATTCTTCTTTTTACTATATATTTTTTCTTTTCTTTTCTCATTATTATTTTATATTTATATATAAAAAAATATATATATATTTTATTTTATTTTATTTTTATTTGTAAAATGTAAAGAAAGTAACCAATAAAAATAAAGAAAATAACCAACAAATGATGATTCGTAATTAATTAATTAATTAATTAATATATTTATATATAAATATTGGTGTCAATTGTTGTTTGATTGATTGAATTTTGATTTAGTAGGAAGGAATGTTTGAATGCAAGGAGTCAATCAAATCAAATGGTTCAATTTTTTTTTAAAGTGTATATTAAATAAAGAACCCTGACAAAGATTCTTTTGATACCTTTTTTTTTTGAGGGGGTCAATTGTTATCATTAATCTATTTAATACTCCCTTTATTTTCTTGTGTGTGTGTGTCTTCTCAATTCACCCCCTCATACAATGACAACCATCACAATATTTACTGGTAAATAGTCAATAAGAAACTCAATCTGAATTCATTGGAATGTGAGGTACATTAATTGGCATTAATCACATGATATAAATCTTATTATTCTACTTCATTACCTATCTAATAAAAAATAGTATTATTATTATTATGTTTCAAATTTCAGTTTCAAATAATTATGGATCTTATTTTATTTATCCACCTTTTTTTTCTTCTTTTCTTTGCTCACTTAACCAAACAATTCTCACGTGATATTTAATAAAGGATTATCGCTTACATTATTTTATTTATTATTATTATTTTTATTTTTATTACCCCACCTTGTTTAATTAATCTTTTTTTTTCTTACTTTCTTATAATACAATGTCAGCAGTAAAGGCACCTCTCAACCCACTCGCAATAGCAAAGTTGCTCGGTCCATCAAACCCCACACTTGACCACCTCGTCCGGTTCCTGAACTCTGTTCGAGGCACCGACAAAGTGCTCATGGTAAAATAATTAACTTTTGTTGAGTCATCAAGTTGGAATGTCCATTGATCTCTTTGTGTCATATAGTTTATTCAATATTGGTCCAAGGTACTCATCTGGTGGCTCCAGTTCCGCTCTCCTGCCGTAAAATCAGTATCGGGCGCCCTGAGTCTGGTCAACCGCATCCAGAACTTTGCTTCACCTGTCAGTGACTTTAGAATCCTGTTGCGCTACTACGGTCTGTTGCCCTTGGTCCAGTATATGCACCACATCGAATACAACCCCCCAGCCAGCCCGGTGGCCTTGACAATCGAACGTCTGCAGAACTGGTGCAACGTTATCTACTACCCCCTCGAGCACATCTACTGGCTCGGTGCCCACCAGGTCATTCCAATCTCCCAGCAAAAGACTGATTTGATTGGCATGTGGAGCTGCAGATTCTGGGCAGCCTATGTCGTGCTCGAGTACGGCCGTCTTGCCGATCAGTATCTCGGCCTCAAGTCCCGCGAGACCAGTCTCTTGAAACGTGTCAAGGCTGGAGATATCGAACAGGACGAAGATCCCGAAGCAGAGATGGCCAGCATCAAGGCCGAGAGAAACTCGATGCTCATCAATGCCTGCATCAACACTGGGTAAATATAAATATAGATAATATATTAAGGATTTTGTGACTTGATCACCTAATTATATATATACACACAAATAGATATCTTCCTTTGACAGTTCACTGGTCATTGGCAAAGTCAAGCTTCCCTGATGTATTGGTCGGTGTCTTTGGTGGTGCTGCCTCTATCTTCCAAATCTACTCTGCATGGAAGGCTACTGCTTAAACTTGTCAGCGTTCTCCATACTACAAAAAAAAAGAAGAAAAAAAGAAATTATAGGATGGTGGTAGTAATGGGATGTAAAAAGAGTTTTATTTTTTTTATTTGTTTGTATTTCTATAAGTGTATAAGTATATCATATCATATCATATCAATAAAATAAAGAAAGAAGAAGAAGAGGAAGAAGAAGTGTAATAATACAATCTAGTAGTGGTGGTTTTTTTTTGGACTTATTTTTAAATTATTCAATTGAAAATATATATATATACATATGTAAATCAAGTCAATTATCTATCTCCTATAGTCAATTCACTTGAATCACCTTACTCCTCATAACTTCTTTACCTTTAATTAATATTATATATATATATATAAATTTTTATTTTGAATTGAATTTAATTGAATTGAAACTAATTTTTTTTTTGAAAATAAAATAAAATAAAATCCCATTGGTCGGTTCAACCTTGCTCTTTATCAATCCCCCTTCCCCTTTTCTCCTTTTCTCTTCTTTTCTCTTTTCTTTAAATCTACAAATGGGAATAAACGTCACAGATTATTTGCCTGTCTCAACTTTGGACTGTGGCTAATTCTACCTGCACCACACTACGTCACTAATCCGAATTTCTCAAAAATGCATGACGTGGTATCTGTAGGGCCTTTTTATTTTATTTTATTCTATTTAAAATATATATATATATATATAGAAAAAGACCGCCAAGCAAAAAAAAAAAAAAAAAAATTAAAAAAAAAATAGGAGCCACTCATAATCCAAAAAAAGAAAAAATTAAGGGACAGAAATGCTACACACAGACAGACGAATTACAGACAGACAAATATACAAGCCAATAATATTAATATTAATAATAATAATACAGCAGACAAAAGACAAATATATATATAGAACTAAAACGTATAGGATAGATAGGTAAGCGGACAGGGATACACTACACAGTAAAGACAGTACAATATAATATAATATAATACAAAGAAAGGGAAGGGAAGGGAAGGGAAGGAAGGAAAGGCGTACAAGCCGATAAACCGATAGGACTGATAGGCAAAATCCAGAAATACCAAATTTCCATTTCTTACTTTGTACTTTTCTCTCTTTCTCTTTCTTTCTTTTATTTGATTTTATTTGATTTTATTTGATTTCAATCTTTGATATCCCTCTATATATTATACATACTTCTCTATTCCTTTTTTTTTGTTAAGAAAAAAAAACAGTCTTAATCTTCAAACTATACAATGGACGACATGATGGGAGAATCAGGCGAAGGACCAGCCTATAATTTGTTTGTCCAGAAATCTGCCTTTGAGAGAGTAAGCTACAAACATCACTTTAAATTCATTCACTTTTACTTTCTTTCTTTCTTTCTTTCTTTCTTTTTTAAATAAAAAAAAAGCAAGAAAGGAAAATATTGGGACAATAGAACAATAGATATGCAAAATGATACATGAAATGAAATGAGACAATGTTAGAGAGGGATGAGGACAGATGAGGTCTGGGAAATGGATGAACACAAAAGGATAACAACAGTACAACTATTTGTTAATTATCTTGCTTTGTTTGTTTATTAATAATAATAAAAAAAGAGGTGGCAACAACTCTTGGATAGATCTACACCTTATGTCTATCAACGTTGGACTGGAACAGGCATCTTGTTAACATTGTTTATGATTCGTATTGTTCTTGCTGAGGGATGGTACATTATTTGGTAAGTAAATAATACTTTTATTGATTTTTTTTTTTTTTGGTTTTGGTTTTGGTTTTTGGAGTTTTACTAATTCACAGGAATGTGTTCCTTTAATTTTTATTGTTAATTCTAGTTATGCTCTCGGTAAGTATTAGCGGCTTTAATATATATACATACATAAATTATTATCGATTTCTATTCTCTAATTTGGTTTGATTGGTTGGTTGGAATTATATATATATAATAAAGGAGAAAGGGGGAGAGGAGGGGGGTTTGGAAATTGAAAAAAAAAAGTTCAAGAAAGAAAGAGAGATATATGTATAAAGGACTGACCAAATATATATACATATTTTATAGGTATCTATCTTCTCAACATGTTCCTTGCCTTTTTGACACCAAAGATCACACCTTCAATGGAAATGGACAACCAGGAAACAGAAATGGAAGAAGGTCCTTCTTTGCCATCAAAAGCCGACGAAGAATTCAAACCATTTATTAGAAGATTACCAGAATTTAAGTTTTGGTAAGTTGTTTATTTATTGTTTGGGAGAGTGAATGTGTATATATATATATATATATGAGCATTGTTTCTAATGGTTACTGTGTGTAAATAGGCATGCTGTCACTCAAGCGACCGTTATTGCACTGGTCTGCAGTTTCTTCCGTATCTTTGACGTCCCGGTATTCTGGCCTATTTTGTTGGTATACTTTATCATACTATTTGGTATCACAATGAGAAGACAGATCAAGCACATGATCAAGTACAAGTACATTCCCTTTGACCTCAACAAGAAGAGCTACACCGGAGGAGGAGGAGGAATTGGAGGAGGACATGGTAGTAAAGGACGATAAAGAAAGAAAGAAAAGACAAGACAAGAGATGATAATTTCTAAAGTTATTACCTGTGTTTTATTCTTCTTCTTCTTCTTTATATATATATATATATATATGTAAATATATATAAAAGAAGAAACAAAAATACATATATATCGCACATAGCGAAAAAATCAACCAACCAATCAACCAACCAACCAAATATAATAAATGTACTTTTATCAAAAGGCAGAGGATTAATGTGTTCTCTCTTTCTCTGTATATGCATATGCATATATCTGTGTGTACAGATAATAAGCAAGTAGAAATATACGAAAAATAAATAAATATAGATAAAGAGATGTATGGGTTATAGTCTAGAAATAGCGAAATTCAATACGCCTTTTTATTATTATAATTACTACTACGACTATTGTTCTTCTCCAAACAAGTCGACCTTTTGTTCCAGTGCGTCTGACAATTCTTCATTGAATAATTCATCCAGAGTGTGGTTGTCACGACTATAGAACCACTTTCCTGACTCAACATCATAGTCAAATCTCTTGGGTCCACTAGATAAGAAAATTTTGTGTTGGTTAATTTGTTAGCTCATGTTAATAATCTTCTTGCTTGGTACCTTTTGGGGGAAGAGAACCAGATTTGACGGTTTGGAGGCTGTTTGTTCAATACATATGTACCCTTTTCACCAAGTTTCAATGTCATTACACCTTGCTATAATATTAATTAATTAATTCATAAATTCATAAATTCATTCATTACATATATATATATATATATATGTATGTATGTACGTTTTGTCTATTTGTTTATTTATCCACATAAAATAAATGAATATTCAATCAACTACTCTAATATATCCATTTTCTTCTTTCTTGTAGAAAGATAGTCTATACTTACAGAATATTCAACATCGTATGCGTCCATGTCAATCTCATCACCAATAGCTTCCAATCGTTCAACCATCAAATCAAATGTCTTGTCAGCTGCTTTATGGTAATCTTCAGGGGAAAGATCACTGACAATATTATTATTGTTATTATTTTGAGAAACGATAAATATGAGTCGACAGGCATGGCATTCACTCTTTCTTCTTCTACTTCTTTTTAGCCTTTTGCAATCAAATAAAATAAACTCACGCAATGTGATATTGTGTGCTGTAGGTTCGCTGAATAGATCCAAATGATTGCATGAGACGTGCAGGTGCGGTAGGAATAACAGCAGCTACTCCTATGCGTCTTGTGGCCACTGTCGAAAGGGATCGGCGAGTGATGACTGGGAGTATTAAGCGTGAGGCGATTCGTGCGGTAAACATTGAATAGAATAAACAAGGTTTCTTATAGATGAATTTTAAATAGCCAAAAGTATACTATACAAACACACACACACACACACACACAACATCCTTCACCCCTTTGACAGCTTTTCAACTCCGACATTAATCCCTGTGTGTGTGTAATATATATATATTTTTTGTATTTTTATTTGAGACTTTACATATATTACTTTTTTTGGCTTAATATTTGTTTGATGTATGGCATCATATGCGCAAGAAATTTCAAATGATTTGAAACGCCTGTAAAAGAAAGAAGACCAAAGAGCTTATTCTGGAAGAATTTCTATTAAGCAAATGAAAGAAAATAAAATAAAATAAAAAAAGTAATACCATAGTAATCATTACTCTTTTTTTTTTGTTGATTTCAAATAGATAATCAATTCTTGGGTTAATTGTAATGGAAAATGATAATAGACTTTCGGTAACTGTTTGTCTTGAGCTCTTATAGTTTCATTCAAATAAATACATCATAAAGAGTATATATATATATATATATGATTAACAAGATAAGTTTATTTTAATATCAAGTGTTTTATTGATTAAATACTTTTTTTTTTTAAAAAAAAAGAAATAGTTGTTATAATTCATAAGCATTTTGTAATAACATCACCGAGTCTTTTTTTTATTCTTCTTCTTCTTCTTCTTCTTCATGTACTTCTTGTCTAGGAACCTCTTGTAAAGGTACTTTTTTGATATTTTACTGAACAGAGCACACGGTCTTTAGTTGCCAAACAAGAAGATGTAGATTAAAACAACAGAAGAAGAAAAAGAAGAAAAAACAATTATGTCAATTATTAAACAGATTTAGTTACGCCTTTATTATTATTATTATTTCTCCCTTTCTCTTAATACTTTATACTACTCTTCTTTCTTCTTCTTGCTCTTACTTTATTGTAAAGTCACGTCCTATATTAAATTAAACTCAAATAGTATCAATAATAATAATAAGATAATCAATCAGTCTGTTCATTGTCGCCCATTATAATATAATCATGCCCGACTACCCGGTCAATGTCAAGACACTACGCGCCTATAGAAAAGATCGAACACCTTCTGTGGAGGCTATAAAAGATATGATGAAAAAACTGGCCACCATTGAAGAATCACTATCTTTTATGAGTCTACAGTTAAAAGAGATTTGCTACGAACAAAAGGCTCCTCGGGACCCAGGCGTGATTTCCATGAACGACGATTTGAATACCAAGAAGGCATGGGGGTTTGATATGGAGAACTACCTGATCAGCTCTCATTTTACTGCCTCTCAGAGTAAAATTGCTGTCATTCCTCACATGGATTCTAGCTATCGACAGTGGTATCGAGTATACAGAACAACTAGCCAGCCAAGTACAATCCACCAACTTGTTACTGATATAGTGTTTAAAAATATATACCAATCATTGAATTGAACGGGAGGGAAGCATAATTTTTTTTTATTATTTTCTTTTTAGTATTTGTACAATGGGAACCAATAATATGCAGTCGATTAATAACAGACTTTATATTATTTTGTTTATTATATTTATGTTTATCATTTTATTAACAGCTTTATCATACAATATTCTTTAGTTATTTATTCCATAAAAGAGATACATACATACATATATATATCTAAATCTTAATGTCAGTTACAACAATTTCTACCATATATTTGTCTGTTCCTTGGATAATGCTCTTTTGAAAACCACAAAATAATAATAATAATAATAATAATAATATAACCAACGATCTACATATATAATTTTTTGGATTCTGGATACTAAATAGGTCGGTTGTACGTCTTTAGATAATATTCACCTCAAGAGTCTCTAAAGACCACTAATGATATCAGCAGCGGAAATGATTATCAAAAGAGATACTGGACATATGAGATATTTTCTATTCTGTCCTCCAAATTATAGATATATATATATATATATATATAGTTTAGGCATTTTGTAAGGTTTAGCTCAAAAGTAGAACTTATTTATTTTTAATTTTTATTTTTTAAGCAGATAATATCTTTAGAAATTTAGTGTATTTTACAATTGTGCCCATGTATATTTTGAAATTGCTTTTGACAAAGGGAAGGCTTGAGAAAAATGGTTGAATCTAAAGAATTCTATAGTACTCGTTTTTTCCCCCCTCTCTGTCTCTTTACAATATAATACAATTATGAATAATGTGTATATATATTTGTGGTTGTATGTATAATAGAATTAGTTGTTAATGACCCTTTTTTGTGTTTTTGGAAACATTTAATACTAAATATGCTAACTTCACAAAATAAGGTAAATATCATAAGAATATAGATGTAAATCATAGCATATTATATATATATATATATATGTGTGTGTGTGTGTTTATGATATGTTAATAAGTAATGCAAGATTCTAAAATATTCTAGAAAAAACGCCTATCATAAATGGTAAATATTATCAGAAAGTTTGATCTTTATCATAAAAATCTGATGAAATTAAACTTCAAATACGTACGCGCTCTCCATGTCTTTGGAATTATTGAAATATTGGAAACAAATAAACATATGCATACTATTCTGTATTAAAAGAATAGTTTAATATTGCGTCATTCAATTACTATTATTTTATTTTATTTTTTTTAAAAAAAAAAAAACTAATTCTGTTATCTATAAAAAGACTTCAAGAAATTTGCCTGCCTTACATATACATATAGTATTCAATCTATTCTCTGATAATAATAATAATAATATATATATTTGGTAATGGATACCCAGCCTGATAACGTTACTCCAGATTCGCCCGATGAACTACAAAATCGTCGTGAAGACGCCGAACCTTCGGTTATAAGACTTTTGGAGAGATTGAACAATTCAATGGACATACTCGTCCGACAGAACAGAGAAATGTTGAGTCTTATCGAGAGCAGAGGCGGCGAATTGTTCAGAAGAAAAAATGGCCCCCGTTTCCAGACCACCGAAGTCGAACCACCGACAACCATCGCCCTTTCGGATCCTCCGCCAACTATAAAGGCATGGGCCTGTGATATGGAACGGTATCTAATGTTTTACGGGTACTCTGTCGAACAAAGTCTTTTGGTTATACCGAGTTATATGCGCATTTGCTACAAAATTTGGTTTTATGACTACTGTAAAGAGAACACCCCAGTAACAATTCAACAGATCGTATCTGATATTGTTAAAGTAATATATGAGAATGTCATAGACGACGAAGTATAAACCCCTCTCAAAAACACAGACACACAGACACACAATAGTAATATTGTACTATTTCTTTTATATTTTCTTTTCTGGTTTTTCTGTATTGCTAATAACCATAATAATGAAAGGTAGAAAAAGAAACCAAATAAATAATTATCATATTAAATGGCTTGTATCCCTAAAGAGCAAAGAAAAATAAAAGTCATACATACATATATGTATGTATGTATGTATATATGTCTTTAGAGATTATAAGATATAACATTTAATCAGATATGGTATAGTAGAAATCACCATATTATTAATAAATTTATCAAAAGTTTGCTCTCTATCAAACGGTGTCATGGTGAACCTAAACAAGTATCGCATTTGTTTACTTGTATATTTTCAAGACAATTTTATTCACACTCTAAGCAATGGATCGTTAAAAATGAAAGGATTTGATCTGTCTTCTATCATTGAACTTGATTTCTAAAAAACAAATACAATTCCTACGGTAGTACTGGTCATTGTTCATCTTTAATAGATAAAAGTAAATAGTGTCGTGCTTTAGTCTCAATGAAATTATATTTAATAGATCAATAAATAAATAAATAAATAAATAAAAAAATAAAAATAATAGTTTAATTGCTTGTGTGTCCACTATATTGATACACATACCTAATCATGACGGTCTATTTGAATACAGTCAATGCCTTGAGAAGAATGAAAAGCTAAAAGGACAGGATTGTACTATGAATAGACTATAGGGCAAAATCGAAATCGAAATCGAAATGAAAAGAAGTAGAGGAGGAATTGGTGTTAAGATAAAAATGAGGATAATTGAAAAGCTTATACTTCCATGTAAACTTAATTCACTTGGAATACATTCATGTGTATCTACTATACATTTTGTGTTGGACAGGTAACAATCATTTTTCACTTGTTCTTTTGTGTCGTCTTGGAGTTTTTTTTTTTTTTTTTTTTTTTTTTAATGACAGTGAGAAAATACATCTCCCTTTATTCCTGCTTTTTTCTTTGTTTGTTTGTTTGTTTTTTGCTTTAATTTTGATAAATTTCCATGTATTATTTTGGTCGCAGAAGAGACAAATATGCTGGTCATTTGTCATCTGACAAAAATAAATCAAATTACTGCATACTGGCTTTATTCCCATTATCTGGATTTTTTGTTTTTGAAATATTGAATGTAATATTTAAGCATTGGTTGATTTGTAATCAAAAGAGCAATACATACTTAACTATATACGTGCATACCCAGATACCCAGATACCCAGATACCCAGATACCCAGGCATATGCATAGGCAAATGCAAATGCACATGCACATATTTGTATAATTAGGTTTGATATATATATATTTATTATATTATATTTGGAGTATTCATTTTTCAACAGGAGGAGAAAATGTGTTTTCAAGAGTAGACCAGACTTTCCAGTAATCTTCCTGTACCTTTCCACAAGTCTTAATACCCCATGGTGTGATAGACAGCATATAATATGTTTCAAACATAAAAGATTGTGTATTTTTTCCCATCAGCAATGGCTTAAGCTCACTTTTGGAAGCCATCTTAAAAACATTAGCATCCGGTCCTATTCCAATATGATGCATTAGTGCCGTTCAAATGAAGTCATGACCGTTTGGTCTTGTACATATATATATATGCGTTTATGTTTTGGTTTCAACTAGGCACAGGCTTACCATGAGGAGTCATAATACTGTGGAGAGAGCCTCCTCCAGGAAGAAACCCATCAGATTTTCCATCATAATCGCCTGCAATTAAACCCATAAATTCTGACATGCAGTTACGGTGGAAGTAAGGAGGGCGAAACTAATTTATTTATTTTTTGCCAAAGAATATGCATGAATATGCATTAGTTATTTTTATCTTATTTAAATAAGAATTATAATATATTTTAAAGAAATAAGACAGAGTAAAGAATTAGTTTACTTACCGTATTCTCAGTAACAGCCCACCTAGGAGGAAATATGACAAAATCTGCTACTGGGTAATGAGCAGAGTCTGATTTGGCTGTCAAGACAGTAAAGATAGAAGGATCCTAATGTGTTTTTTTTTGGCATTGTTTTGTAGACAAGGTCAGCCTACAGATCTGTACTTGGTATAATACGCTTTTCGAGATGATCAAATATAACCACAGAAAGATGTATGTACATGTATATATATATATATATATACTTACAATATGGTCAAAGGATACTGAATTTATGACACAGAATTTGGCAAGGTTGTACTTGTACGGCGCATAATTTCCATGCCAAGCAACCACATCAAACGGCGTGTGATTTTGCTGAGCTTTGAATAGCCTTCCGTTGAACTTTGACACAATTTCCCACGCTACATTTGACTCTTCTTTGAAAGTAGCGGTGGGAGTCTGGAAGTCTCGGGGGTTAGCAAGACCATTGGATCCTTGAAATTATTATATACACATATAGGATATTTTCAAGATAATAATACAATTTAAGTACATAAAGTAAACGTGGTACTCCTGCTGCTTGGTAGGATGTCTTACCAATAGGTCCTAGGTCAGGCAATTCAAAATGACCATTGTATACTTCAAGGATGTATCCACGCCTGCAGGGGTTTACAAGTGATGTTTAATTAAGTGCGACTCGAGGTTTACAATCGTCCTATATAACAACAACGCTAATGATAGTAGTAGTAAGTACTAAACAGCTTACGCTTCTTTTTCAGGCAAATCAACCGAGAACCGAATACCGCGTTGGATAACGCATATTTCGTTGGGTGAAACCAACATTGGACCAAATTCAGTAGTGATATCAAGTGCACCCTTTTGAGGTACTAAATAAACATAGACACGCACACACACACAGAGAGAGGGATGATTGTAACTCAGTAATAAGCAATGCCATAATATGACTATTATGTTGTGTATGTATGTATACCAATTAGATAGTCGCCATCAGAGTTATAGAAAGCAGACTTATTCATGTCTGTATTGGCAGTATATATATGCACAGCCAGACCCGATCTACAGGCAGGATCTCCTGCGCCTGCCAGGGTTTTGATGCCTTGAACAAAATTGACCTGTTCTTTATTGGATGGTAAATCAAAGGGACTCCAGCGGATCTGAGTAGGTGTAACTATGCAATTGTCATCGAACTTTGAAACCAGGTCCTGACTAGTCTTTGCAGGCTCAAAAGGTGAATGAACAACTGATGGGCGAATGCGATACAGCCAACTAAAACAAAAAAGTCCAAAAAAAAAATAATGTACATATACATATCGTTTGAGTGACTTAGTTAACTTTGATCTTTAACACAACTATTGTTGCCTTTGTTGATACTACTACTACTAATAGCAGTAATCTAAAGCTTGATTTGATTTGGTTCGATTTTTTTTTTAATATTACCTTCGTTGGTTGTGAGTTCTAGGAGCCGAGAAAGCAGAACCAGAAAGCTGCTCAGCATAAAGGTTGAAAGGACAATTCTGAGGTGTATTTTGACCTATGGGTTTAAAATTCTTGTGTGAGTATTATGTATATATATGTGTATATGTATATTTTAAGAACCTCTTTTGGAGCCTTTACCTTTTGGAAGAGAATCCTTTATGGCCTCTGATGTAAAATGATTTCCGAAACCTTCTTGGTATGTGTATGTGTCTGCTGTCATTTTTGAATGAAGGGCAAAACAAGGGAGGAGTATAGAGATAGGTAGAGAAAGAAGAAAGAAGAAAGATGATACAATGCAATAAAAAAAATCAAGTTAAAAAAAAAAGGGGGAGGGGAATCCTTAATTTTTTTTTAAAAATAATATAATATATAAAAAAGGGCTCTTGTACCGTGGGAAAAAATGAGACACCAAAATAAAAAAATAAAATACTTATGTAGGGCTCAAGTGAGTTTATTTGTCACAGGTGCAATTAGATAATAAATAAAATATATATATAAAAAGGGTGATTTTGCTTTGTGGTAGACAGATGATAAAAAAAAAGATCAATTAAATATGAAACAAAAGGTCATAATGAGTTTATCCATTAAAAAAATTCATTTCTATCTTTCTGCATCGTTTTCTTGATTTTTAAAAATAATAATAATAAGCAAACTTGGTTCAAATGCATATAAAATAAGAAACCTCAAGTGCTCATAATACAGTCTCTTCCATCAAGTATGAACTTATTCGCAATCTAATTGACAGTTGAAAAAAAATACCAGGCATTTAGAGTTGTTTGAACTTTTGATCCTAATTTTGAAAGATCAAAAATCAAAGATTCTGATTTTTTTTTCTAAAAAAATAAAAATAAAATGAAAAACTATAATCCAATAATATGTCTTGGAATCTTTGTCTGTTTTTTTGTGAGTCTGTCCACCCCAATTTTTATGTCGCAATTAATTAAATCTCAAATGTACCCTGATTTTAGAACTTGTATTTTGAAAGACGCAATTTGTTGTAAAGGCCAAGTCAGTTTGCTGCCAGTTCTGGACTCCCCCCTCCTTCAATAGTGTCCTTGCTGAATCTTTTCTTCAATTACTTTCTATGGGGTGGGAATATGCCTGCTTAAATAGATTGCTCGTCTTTTATAAAGTTAAAATAAAATGCCAGTATATATATATTATATATTTAAGTAACCAAGAGCCATATCACATGCGAACACGATTTTATATGTACAATATTTTTGTAATTTTTGCACCAAATTGGCTTTTATTATATTTTTTGGACCAATAATTTATGAAAACAAAAAAAAAAAGGTGTATAATGCTTCCAAACTTTCCTTTTCCCCTTCTCTCTTTTCCTTCTTTAATTTTTTTCCCAAAAAATAATAATAATAATAATATATATATATATATATATACACATAAATTCGTTCTCTGAACTTGCTTTTCTCCCTCTTTTTATTATTATTATAAATTATACGCAAGTCTATTGATTCCTTGTAGACGTCATTAAACCCCATGGACAAACCTTCCCACACCAATCTATACGCAGGACTTCTGATTTATCGAGTGCAACGCAACATTGAATTTTTACTTTTAAACGACTCCTTTACAAACAAGAAATATTGGTTTGGTCCAAAAGGACAAGTGCTCGGATCTGAAGACGAAATAAAGTAAGCAAGGAAGCCTAAAAAGAAGAATAAGAAGAAGAAAAAAAAATGTCAAAACATAAATCACATCTCCCTAATCAAAGCAAGCAATTAAGATTCAGTAATTCATTAACACTCTTCTTCTTCTTTTGTTCTTTTTATATATTACAAGATGCGCTCTTCGCGAAACCTTTGAAACAACTGGATTGAGCCCCAAAGACCTTCGTTTGGACGAAGGCTTCAAAATTGAAGTAACCTATCTCTCAGGCACAAGGCAAGTATTATTAGTATTATTATCACTATTATAAAAAGAAAGAAAGAAAAGGATACAAATATAAATAAATAAAAGCACGCCATTAATATAGTATAGTATTGTTTTTTATTTTATTTTATTTTAGACCCAAAAAAGTCATTTATTATTTAGCACAAGTCATAGATGACTATGTACGTGTCATTCCCAATGCAGAAGGAGTCAACATTCAGTGGTGTGTCCAATCGGTCGCCATGGAAAAGGTTGCTTTTAAGAACATGGAGGAGGTTTTCAAGACTGCCCAGGCATATATTGAACAATCCAACCGCAAGTTGAGTCAATCTCGCAATAAGACTAGCCATCACAATCACAACACTCGTCACATTGCAAGAGATGACCTCTCACCTCGCACACACTATTCACGCTCGACAGCTGATGATTCTCAAAAAAATCAGTCATATCAACAGAACCACAACCAGCAGCAGCAACACTACAACAACAACAATAACAACAACAACAATCATAGTAATCATAATAACCAGCAGCAGCAGCGAACTTGGACAAATTCGTACGAATCTAGTCCACTTTACAAGACTCGCCTGTGTGAGCGCTACGATACCGAGGGAGCTTGCCCTTACGGCCCTAAATGTACTTTTGCGCACGGTATATCGGAGCTTAGAGAGAGAGTCCAAGACTCCGAGGATCAGCAGAGTCAGCAGAGCCAACAGCAGCAACAACAGCAGCAGCAACAACAATTGCAACAACAACAATTGCAACAGCAACAACAGCAGCAGCAACAGAGACTTTCAAAGTCTTCTGCCTCGCCTACTATTGCCCAAAATGACAATCGTTTATTAAAGACCAAGTTGTGTGAGCGTTTCATGAAGGACAAATTTTGTCAATATGGCCCTAAATGCCATTTTGGTAAGCCCCTGTCTCTTTTTATTTTATTTTATTTTATTTTATTATTCTATTAATTTATTAAATGCAAAATCGTGTGAGAACAAAAAAAAAAGATAAAAGAGGAAGAAGAAGTTAGAGGGGAAAAAAAAGGGGGGTGGGAGACTTGTGACCAATTTGACTTGCTGTTGATGCTAATGATTTATTTATTCATTAGCTCATGGAGAACAAGAATTGAAGGAAAGACCAGTATTGAATGGACGCCGTGGTGATGACGCTGAGCCTATTGGTCGTTTCAAGAGTTCATCTCAAAGATACCAACGTGAAGGAGGAGGAGGAGGATCTGATAGAGAAGACTATGGATATGAACGTACCGACTCATCGGACCAGAATTTGTGGCGCCGGCATGGAAATAATGGAACGGGCAATAACACTAACACTAATGGCAACAATGGGGAATATACGTCACGTGGATCTCCTCCTTCACCAGCCTACTATCAAGATAGATCCGATAGAACAGATAGATCCGACCGCTCCGATCGATCCGAACTGCAGGATAGACAAGAGAGGCAAGAGCGCCAGGATAGACAAGATCGTCAAGAGAGGCAAGAACGCCAAGAAAGACAAGAACGCCAAGAAAGACAAGAACGCCAAGAGAGACTGGAGCGCCAAGACAGACAAGAAAGGTAAATATATATATATATATATATATTAAATAAATTATATTGGGTGAGGAGTGGGAGGAGGAGGAGGAGAGGGGGATGAAGAGGGTAATTCGATAGGGTTAGAGGGGCAATGCAATTGGAAGGGTGGGAGAAAAAGAGGGGATTCTTTTTTTTTGTATTTGGTTTTAGACACATGGTAATTAATATACATGGGTTTGATACTAAAAACACACAAAATGATTATCGGGATTTAGCGTGGAAGAAGACCCTGTCGAACAACTTCCTCAACAGTTTAATAAGCTCAGTACCACCACTACCAATGCCATCAAGAAAGTAACGCCACCTAAAGAAAACAGCCGATTCAATGCAAAAGTTGGTCCCTCCCCTCCTGTTAACAAGCGTGTACCCTTGGACACTGTGAAGAAGAACGGATCCAATAATGTAAGTTGTATAAACCAGTCGAGTTAAAGAGAGAGAGAGAGAGAGATATAAAGAAAAGATATAAGATGTCTAATAATAATGAGGTTGGTTTGTAGGATACTGACAAGTCGTGGATGAAAATTCTTCACCTTTCCAAAGAAGAACAAGAGCAATTAAAGATGTAAGTAAATTTCTACTTTGTATTCTCGTCCGATCTTTTTTTTTTTTTAAGAAAAAAAAAGTGTTAAACACAATTGGCTGATTTAAATGAAACAAATGAAATCAAAAGGGTACCTACCACAAAGGCACCCACCATCTCACCTAGCAAGACTGCCCAGGAAGAAACAATCATTACCGAACTCAAGAAATTCTTCAAGAACCAACCTCCCACTTTGCCATCCAATGGTAAACTGTCTGAGGATGTCAAGGAAGTGACGAAGTTGGAGATGCGCAACGATCTCTCAAAGCCCCAGTTGATTTACATTCTCCTGTCGAGTCTTTTGGAAGATTCTGGAAAAGAAGGAGCTTCCGGGTCTGTTAATGTGCTCAGTGTACTCAAGGCTCGTTCTTCTCTTTTCAATACCGTAAGTCTTGTTTTATAGATATATAATCTGGATAAATCTTTGGGTTTAATCTAAACTTAAAACCAATTAATTAATTAATTAATTATACAAAACTTTTCTCCACTTATTGCAGTTTGTCAAGACAACCGCCGACCAGCACATCTTATTGAAAGCATGGTACAAGTTTGTTACTCAGCGCAATGACCAGATGTTGGGTAGATCTGCAACTGTTTTTGCCTACTGGTATGATGAGGATTTGGTCGATGAAGAAGTATTTGTGACGTGGTACAATGACCTCAATGACTGCGAGCTAAAGAAGAAGAGTGCCAAGTTTATTGAATGGCTCAGTACTGCTGAAGAAGAGGATTAAGAGTAATGAGGAATAAAGAGAAACGTATATATATATATATATATATTTACTATTTGCTATTTGCTTTTTTTTATTATTTTATTTTTTATATATATCTTTTTCTTTATATATATATATATATACAAAGTTCTTGTTGCTATTGTTACCATTGTTATTCAAGTCTTCTTTACCTTTCCCTTTCTTTATACACCCATATATATATATAAAAATAAATATATATTCAATTATTAAATGTGTGTGTTTGTGTAAAAAAATAAATAAGCGATAATTCAGCAAGTTTGTTAAAGAAGTATAAGTTAGTTTGTTGGTTGGGGAGGTTTTTTTTTTGCGTGACGTCCTACTCTTTATTCTTCAACTCATTAAAGCTCTACTATTATTTATTCGTTAGTCTTCGCTTTGTCCTTTATTCTTTATTTGTATTTAAGATAATAAAATAACAATAAAATAAATTCATTAGAAATGGAGTCAATTCAGAAAGAACTTCCATTCCTCTTGGATGATTATGTCCCAACTCAACCAAAGAAAGTCATTCACACCCAAGCAGACATTGAGCCGTTTTTGCATTCAAAAGCATTTTCACGCATCATGACATTTGTGTTTCTATTAAATGGGAATGTCACCAAAAAGAAAAACTCGGATCCATGTGAAGTCTCAGCTGTAAGCGAGGAGGCGTTTTTCTTTTGACAATGTTTTGTAATTAACTAATGTTGATTCCACACTCACACTCACACACACCTCAAATACACGCATACACATACCTATGCATAAACATGCTTATATATATATATATATAGCAAACTGAAAAGGTCCTGGAAATGTTACAAACCCTGGATAGTTGGATAGAGGAGTTTCCTCCTCTTGATAATCCTCAACGGTTTGGAAACAAGGCGTTTAGACTCTGGTTAGATAAATTAGAAAAAGTAAGAAGGGAAACAATTGGGGTGTTTATTATTATCATTATTATTTGATTTGTTGATGATGTGTGTACTTATATTTAGTGTGGACCTGAACTTTTACGCAAAACACTTCCAGAAAAACTATACATTGCTATCCCCGAACTGCATGATTATTTACTTAATGGGTTTGGAAATGGAACTCGAATCGATTATGGATCAGGACATGAGCTTAGTTTCTGTGCCTTTCTGTGTGGATTGACAATGCTCGGTGTTTTTGAGCCCAAGGACTATCAGGCATTGGTGACAAGAGTGTTTGTAACGTAAGATACACCAAAATACAACCATTGACCTGTGCGTATGTTTATACATGGATTTTGATATATATATATATATATATATATTTGGTTTAGATATTTGGAATTAGTACGGCACATTCAGAGAGTTTATTCGCTTGAACCGGCAGGTAGTCATGGTGTGTGGGGACTAGATGATCATCAGTTTCTGCCTTATATCTGGGGTAGTGCACAATTGATAGGTAAGTCAGAAAGATAATAGTAATGAGAATATGTTTTTTCTTTCTTTCATAGAATAATTAATATCTATATGTGTGTGTGCGTATGGTTTGTTTGTAGATCACCCTAGATTGAAACCAGCATCTGCTATTAAGCCCGAGATTATTGAGATGTATTCAAAAGAATACATGTATTTGAGATGCTTGGAGTACATTGGAGAGGTCAAGACAGGTCCGTTCCATGAACATTCTCCGATGCTGTTTGATATCTCTGCAGTAGCGAATTGGAGCAAGGTCAACAGCGGTATGGCAAAGATGTATATTGCAGAAGTACTCAAAAAAGTGCCTGTTGTTCAACACTTTCGATTTGGATTCTTGTTTCCATATTCTGGTTAAGCTTTGACAGCAATCGAACAATAGAGTATATATATACATATATAATTTTTACTTTTGACAAAAGAACAGACCGATGTAATTCCCACCAATTGGATCCATAATCCAAGTCAAATTTGACAGATAAAACAAAATTGATCTATTAATATCTAGGCTTGCATTAAGCACCATGAAGTTGGCTACTTGAAAAATTTATATGGTTTTTTTTTTAAAGAAAAGAAACTTAATGACGATCATCTTACATTATGAATGCCTTGTGCCCTTTGATAAACAAGACCATATATATATATATATATATATATATATTGGTTTATTGTTATTTGTTGCCTGCTACTTTTTGTACTTGTTCGGCATTAAACATGTTGAGCATATCAAGCATATTATTTACTGCTCTGATAATTATGCACACATTAATGATGATTACATTTGGCTTTGTTTAATTAATTAATTAACAAGTAATATATAGCTCAGGTTGATTTGTGTTTTTTTTTTCTTCTTCTTCTTCCTCTTGTTGACCAGCTCTTAATATTCCTCACACAAAGTTCTTAGGTTTCCTGCGGTGTTTTGACATTTATGTGTGTGTGTGTGTGTGTGCGTGTGTGTATTTATTTCTTTTTACCCGCCTTTTCCGCTCAACTGCCACTAGAGTTTTTATTTTTATTTTTATTATGTAGCTAATAAAGTGTTTTGCTTGCTTGATTATTTGTGTCTCTAAAATTTGTTGTTGTGGTTTTTTTGTAAAATACATTATACTATTGTATCTTGCAGTGGTAATAAGGCTGTGATTAAGGGAAAAGGTGTTCCACAATTGAAATACATATTTTCTTATTTGTCTACTTTTTAAGTACTATATCTATATAACGTAACTGTGATAATAAAGGTTAAAAATACTATTTTAATCTCAGCTATCGGATGATTTGAAAATATATATATGTATATTTATGCTATAATAAAAAAAATGGTGTCAAAAAGCGACCACTATATTATTATTATTATTATTTTTGGCTCAGATAGATAAAGAAAGAAAAGGTCCCTCTCTTGTCACAAACTTTATTACAGCTCTTAATTGGCCAATATGTTTGAACCTAACTTTGTATTTTTACAGTATTGTAATTCTTATATAGATATAGATATAGATATATATCTTTTAAGGTTCATCAAGTAGATGCCATTGAAGATACACGATACACTGCTTGATGATAATTTTATATTATTATTATTATTTCAGACTGTACATTGTCAATAGTGCAACATATGCTAAATTCTGCTATATAAAAATATACAAGAGGAAAAAAGAAGAGGAGATTTGAGTGTATAGAATCCCACTGTGAATATTATACGTACAAATGAAATGTATCTATCATGATTATTGAAAAGAAAAAGGGATCTGGGCAGTAGTAAAAAATAAAATAAAAAATTATTTATTTATTTGGCAATTTTTACACATCCCCCCCCCAATATATCTTAATATGGATTATTAGTATCACACTCTACTAAAAGCAACTTTTCGAGGAGTTGCTTTTTATTTTTTTTGTGTGTATGTGTGTGTTTCTAAAATTGACTTTTAAAAATAAAATTGACTATTATATTTTTATAATAGTATGTATAAATAAATATTAAAAAAAAAAAATTGTGTTATATACATATATGTGTAATGATGTACAGAATATCACGTGATTTGCACCTTAAAGTTTAATGTCCCGCAATCTAAAAATGGTGATCACTGAAATCAGTCATGAAAATAAAAAAAAAATTGTATGTATATTATGTATTATAAATCAGTTATCGTAATCTGTAGTCTGTTCTTTTCCATACTCTTTTTTTTTTTTTTTTTTTTTGGTTTTACTTTACTCCTCCTCTCCTCTCTCTCTTTAATACACTTCACTATTCTTCCTACTCCTTCTCTCTTTCTCTCCCCCCCTTTTTTTTTTTTTTTATTATTTCTATAATTTCTTAATCTCAATTTAATTTTTTTTTTCTTTTTTCTCTCTTTCCCTTTTTTTTTTTTTTCTTTTTTATTTTATTTTATTTATATAGATAATTTTAAAAGAAAAAAAAATATAGGCTTACAACAATTAATTATATATAAAATAATATTTTTATTTATTTATTTATTTATTTTTTCTTACAAGCACACACAAAATACACACACACACACACACACACACACACACATAATATACATACAACACATACATAATATACATACATCTTGTACACGAAAAAAAAATAAATAAATATTTTTTTATATATTTTTTTAAAAAAAAAATAAAAATAATAATAAATGTCGGTCTACAATCATCGACCAATGGTACCGCCAACCCAAGGCCGTCTCATCGAACTACTGGATGCCGTCAAAGCCGAGTTTGACCAATTGACCCAAGATGTCGTCACCGTCAAGGCCCAAAGAGACGACTTTGAACACAAAAGTAAGACCATCAGATAGACACATTCACCTATATTGGATCTTTTATTCATCATTCATCTATAGTGAATAACCAGATTCAAGAGATGTCGGCCTTTCAGCAGAACCTCATTGATCTAGAGAGAACCCAGCAGATCATCAAAAAACAGCAAGTAATCTGTATTTGCTCTATAGGATTCCAGCCAAGATGATAGATGAAAGCAACAAAAGATAATAACCCTTTTATTATATGCTTTTCTAGATATGAAGAAGAGATTGGGCGCCTACGTCAACAACTGGAACAAGTAAGTCATCACTATCATTATTATTATTATTATTATTATCGTTATTTTGGTTATAAATCGTCTTTATGATGTGTGTGTGTGTGTGTCTATATAGATTCATTCCTCTCCTCATGGTGCACCAGTAACCAGCAGTGCACAATCCTACAGTGGTAAAGATATCATTTGATAATACAACTAATGGCCAATAATATTAAACAAATAATAACAATATCAGGTTATCCTCCACCAATGTTGGACTCAAAACCGCCTGTTCATCACTCAGCTTATCCTGGACCTTCTCCACCAACTGGTCCCCACACTGGATCACCTCACCCAGTCACAAACCCTGCTTACATGAACGGCAGCACCCCTCTACCCACCAGCGCCCAACCACCACCCCCCGGCCCTCAACGTAAGAACAAAACCAAGAAAACAATAGAGATCATCAAAACTTTATTTATTTACAAAACAATATATATATCTATAAAGTTACCCCAGGTCGTAGCGCCCCACCCCCAGTCAAGTCTGGCGTACCATCAACCACAGCAATCGTACCAGCCGTACCTGGAGCCTTGGGTGATATTGACCCCGAAAGTGTGCCACCAAACATGAGAGTAGAAGGCCAGGATTGGTTTGCATTGTAAGGAAGACAGGAATCATAATATGATAGATAGCATTATTGGATCTTGAATCTTTAAACAAGAGAGAAAGAGATAAAAAAGCAGAATAACATAACATAGAGAAAATTAAAATCAAACAAATAAAGACTAACCAAGAATAACTTTTTTTTTAAAAAAAAAAAACAAACAAACAACAGGTTCAATCCAAATGCCCAGAGATTCCTCAAGGTCGATCTTTTACACAGCTTTGAACACGGTAGCGTCGTTTGCTGCGTAAAGTTCAGTGCAGATGGTCGTTTCTTAGCAACAGGTTGCAACCAAGTCACATACATCTATGACACTACAAACTCTGCCAGAATCGCGTAAATATTCCATCTTTCATTAGTACGTAAATTTAAATTTAAATTTTTAATATTTCTTCTTCTTCTTCTTCTTTTAGTGTTTTGCAGGATGAGACTACTGGTAGAGATGGTGATCTCTACATCAGATCTGTCAGTTTTAGTCCCGATGGCAAATACCTCGCCACTGGTGCCGAGGACAAACAGATTCGTATCTGGGATATCGCAAAACGCCGCATTCAGAGCATCTTGCCTGGCCATGAGCAAGACATCTATTCTCTTGAATTCAGTCGCGACGGTCGCATTCTGGTATCTGGCTCAGGCGACAGAACTGCCCGGATATGGGACTGGATTGAGGGCAGATGCTTGCACACTCTGCAGATCAAAGACCTTGACCAAAAGGATCCCGGTGTGACTAGTGTTGCCGTCTCTCCTGATGGTCGTCTGGTGGCTGCTGGAAGTCTGGACAAGGTGGTCAGAATTTGGGATGTTGCTACTGGCCAGATGCTTGAGCGTCTGGACGGTCACAAAGACAGTGTTTACTCGGTAGCCTTTATGCCCGATGGTAAAACCCTGGTGAGTGGCAGTCTTGACAAGACCCTGCGTATGTGGCAATTGGGTACAAACCAGGCATTCGGTGGTGACCGTGGCAAGAATGCATGCAAGCAAGTCTTTTCAGGACACAAGGTAAATAAATATATATATATGATTAGCTTTTAAATGTGTATAGCTTGGCTGTATATCATATTGCTGCTATTTGATATTTGATATTTGATATTACTTTAATATTAATATTATTCTTTAATTTAATTTAATTTAATTTAATTTAATTTATTTTGACTTTATTTAATTTAAATACTTGTTATTTATTTATGTTTTATTAGGACTTTGTATTGTCTGTTGCTACAACCCCTGATGGTAAATGGATCGTATCAGGCTCAAAGGATAGAGGTGTTCAATTTTGGGATCCACGGACTGGTCAGACCCAGTTTATGCTCCAAGGCCACAAGAACTCTGGTAAGCTTTTTTTTTATGTATAATATATATTATTCCATATACTCATTTATTCAACCTTTATAGTCATTTCTGTGGCCACCAGCCCCGGAAGAAGACCAATGTTCGCTACCGGATCTGGTGATAACAGAGCAAGGATTTGGAGTTATGAGCCATTGAACCAGTCTTGATTTATTATTCTTATTTCTTCTTCTTTCTTCTTTTATTTTTCACAACATCGTATATCTCTCTCTCTCTCTCTCTCTCTCTTCTTCTTCTTTTTTTTTTTCAAAAAAAAATTCAACCAACCAATCAATCAATCAATCAATTTAACAAACAAGCAAATAATAACATTTTTAAACTAAAAATCGAATAACTATAAAGGAAGAGAGAAAGAATTTAGTGAGCATATATGTATGTCTATGCATTTATACATAGAAAGAGTCCTGACTTGCTTTCACATTTTCATAATAACACCCGCTCACTAACAATAACAATAATAATACTGCTTGTCTGTCTGTTGATACAAAGTCAATTTGGTTCAATTTGGTTCGATTCGGTTCGATTCGATTGTGCGAAAGTATTGCAGATTTATAATATGTATATATACATGTTCTGTGTGTATTTCTTGTGTAATGGTTGTGTTACGTTTACCTAATTTTATTCTTTAGTAGACAATGCCTTTTCTAGATTGTTTGTGTTTATGTGTGTGTAAGTGTCTATTGAGACTCCTATATGTATACATTACATTACATTACCTTACCTTACCTTACCTTACCTTATAATATGGCATGGTATGGTATGGCATGGTATAATAAGCATTATCATCACTATACTTACCATTAACTATAGCTTGTTTATACTGTAAATATTTCTAACAGTAACAAATACCAATATGTATATGTATATATATGTATATATGCTTATATTTGTAAATGTGTATTAATATATTACTCATAGTGTGAAACATGCTGTACACAAAACAAACCTAAATAAAATAGACTCAGAGTAAATAGCCACTACCACTACCACTACCACCAAAAAAAAACAACAACATTAATAATAAGTACAAAGCTTATGAGACAAGAAGAAGAGACAGGAAGAAAAAAAATGGAAAGCCAGATAGTAAGTGAATGTATTAGATAGATCTTATATTTAGCTATTTGCTATTAAATACTGCGGCTCAATGGGAAACCCGAATGGTCTGAGCAGCTGTGAATTACCCAAAATAAAGTTTGTTCTTTTGATTATGGTTCTTTTTTTTTGGGGGGGAGAGTAATAAAGGGGTGGAATGGAAAGGGTGTGTGACAAACTGTAGCAGGTAAACAGATTTCCCTCGTTATTTATATGGGCAAAAGATGGACAGAATCGAAAAATATAAAAACGGTATCCTAGACCCTGGACTACATAAAATCCATCTATTTTTTATTTTTATTTTTATTTTTATTTTTATTTATTCTTGGTTCCTCTAAATTCTTATTGGAGGGCAAATAAGTAAAAGATGTGCAACATATTGTTTTCTTAATATTTTATCATTGGCTTGGTACAACAAGAACAAAGGGGTGGTCATAGAAACGCATCACAAAGAAAGAAAGAAATATGAATATGTAAATTCTCGATATGTATATATTTGGTTTAAATCAGTGAGTAGTGGTAGAGTATATAAAAATAAAAAAGTAAAGCTTTATGATAAAATCTGATTTGATACAAGCAGTAATTAAATAAATGTAATTGAAAAAAAAAGGAGGCTGGTGAATAAAGAGCGGTGATCAACACAAGATATCTCAATCAGGAAAAAGAAATAACCAGAAAGATAGAAATATTGAACTGTAGTGTAGACTTGTCAACTGCCATTCGATGGAAACCCCAAACCAACATAGATAATATATTTAATGATCACGATCTGTTCTAGTCAGGAAGACCAATATAAATTGACTGTTAGATGGTATAATAAAATACGATAGAATGCAAACGAAGAAGAAAAGAGAGATAGACAAAGCCACAAGCTGTATGAATAGCTCTTCTTAATGATTCAAAAAGAGAAAATGCACATGAAAACTTTTGTCTTGTATAGTCGGACAGGGCACATCAATATGGATCTCTTGCTGTCAGAAAAAGATAAAATAAAGAAACACTGTTATACACATACAAGAGAAAAACTATATACCGACACCGATTTATACATCAAGTAATCATTTACACATTTGCACGTTTTTAGGTTGATGTGTCACTATAATAAATCTTAAAGAGGAGCACTCTGAATTATATAATATATATAAAAGACACGCCACACCCACACACACGTCCAAACAGTCTTTCTTATTTCTTTGCATGTAATCACAATCAATCAAATACTTTACAAAAACAGTCGAACATACCAATCTATCAAGACAGTTTGGTTTTTTGCGACTAACATTAAAGAAGTCTATTCAAGACAAACCACTGCATTATTTAGTGGAATTATCGATGGCATTTCCAATTCTTCCCATATAAAAAAAAAAACATTTATGGCACCAGGTGGGAGCACGCGAGAAAACTAGGAAATACAGGATATTAATGAGTCCTTGGTTTCAATATCTATATAACCTTATGGTTTTGCTTAAACATACCTTGGTGCTCATTAGGTATTGAAATCCATATAAAAACGTGTGATAAAGGCTTGTCTATAGAATACTCTGTGGCTGACAGATAAAACTGTAATAAAACACACACGTATATGTATATATATAAAAGAGTTGCAATCTGATTTTATTTTGATTCAAATTGGTTGGAAAAGCAGAGATAGAAAGAATAAGGGCAAAAAAGAAGAAAAGACCTGTTCTTCAACTTGACATTCTTATCAAAAAAATAATACCAACCAAAGAAAAGCACAATCGTTGAACGGACATTTGTAAAGAGTGGCTGAAATATAATATAATATAGTGTTGTATTATACTATACTATACTATCTTTTTTTTTTTAAAAAAAAAACAAGTGAATGGATAAATTAATTAATGGGCATTTGTGTTGCCATAGAAACCATGGAATAAAGGCCCTTTTTTTTTTCATCTCTTGTTAAATAAATCACCATGGTTATGGTCGTGTCCATCAAGACAATCCTCGTGTGTGAGTCCGTCTTTCTTTAAACATTCAACACCCTTTTTAAGAAAGATTTATTTTTTATATGCGCGTTTTTTTTTCTTTGTTAGCCATAAAGCTTAGAACATTTATAGAATAAAATAGAAAATAAATGATTATGATGCATATATTATAAGCTTGGTGATATCTTTGTGTCAGAGAAAACCAGGAAACCATTTCCATCCTCCTCATCTTTTTCTTCTTCTTCTTCTTCCACTTCTTCACCCTCCCCTTTCTCCAACACCCCCCAATAAAATATATAATACCATAATTTATTTATTTATTTATTTAGAAAAGCCTTTGACGGCGAGACCTTTTTGGCAGTTTACAATTTTTTTTTACCAGCCGAGATAAAGTTTACCGGGATTTTAATGTTAAGCAAAAAAAAAAAATTAAAAAAAAATTGAGGATAAGATTCTGCCTGTCTTGATTGGCCAAAAATCAATAAAACCAATAAAATCAATAAAAATAAAAAGTATACGTGGCAGTTCCAAAGTAATATATGTATACGATGATCTCACAGAACCTTTTTGCTTGGCGGTCTTGGTCTTTTCAGCACCAAAAATTAATAAAAAATAAATAAAAATTAAAAAATGGGCTGCACTTGTTGGACAAATAATACACACACATACATTAATATATGTAAGTGCTCAATAATGTAGTGTAATGAGCCCAGGATACGGTGACCAAGAATTGATTCTATTTATTCTATCTAATGGGTTTACGTGCATTTATCATCAAAGAACAATGAAGTCAGAAGAGGTCTCTTTTGGCTTTGGCAGCTATATATTTTGTATTGTAAAACCCAATATATACTTGTTCTTGTAATGGAAAGAAGAAGTATAAAAAAGAGAGATAGAGAGAGGAGAGAGAGAAATGAAGCACTGAATTGTACACTGGAAAACCGAAACAAATGACGGCTATTTTTTTTTTGGTTGGTTGGTTGGTTTTGTACTACATAATCCAAACAAAGGAAATCAGTCCCCCCCCCAAGAATAACGTTTAATTCCCGAACACTTATAATTAAAATAAATAAACCTCCGGTGCAAAAAAGGAAGTCTTACTTTCTTTTTTTAGATCTATATGCGCTTTTCGAGAACTCACATTTTAGCCAATCACGGCACAATATATGCTGCACTATATCACATAAACAAAAAGTAAGTCTTTTTTTGTCTTGTGTGTAATAAACCTTAAAAAAAAACACAAAAAAAAGGGAGGGAATCACAAACACAAACACAAACACAAATAGTATATTATTATATATTCTCTTAAAAGCCTTCAAGTACTATACATTTTTGTATAAATTTTTGTATACATTTGCATGTATCTATCTATGTCAAATTACTAAAGTTTGTTTCAATAAAATTAGACAAATCAATCAGTAATATTACTTCTACATTCACAATAAACTATATTTATTGTTAAATTACTACCAGATTTTGCCTTTCATTCATATCTGCATACAGATCCTTGATAAACAAGAATATATAGCATGTGATATTATCAAAAACAACAGCAAAAAGAAGAAGAAAAGGTCTTGATTTATCTTGTATTTGACACTTAAAGAAAATCAAAAATAAAATATGTATTATTAAGATCCTTATCTTTCTTGTTTTCTTTAGCAAATTTGTTACAGATTTGTCATGCTTGTTAAAAAAAATATTGTCAAACTTTTTTTCTATATATTTTTTTTTGTGACGCAAGTTGTTAGATTTGAAAAGGCGCGCTCCTAACTTTTCAAAAGGACCAGAAACAAAATGATAAATACATTACACGCAGAAAGAGAAATATATTAAGATATAAAGAAAGTAAAAAAAAAAGCAATCCAATAAATAATCCATAATAATCAAAAGCCGTCGTTGTTCCCCCAAATCATTTGCACACTACACACATTACACCATACGATGAGGTTTAAATCAAAAGCCTCCAGATTTCCATCAGATGGAATCAGGTCTTCTACCCCATTCAAACGCAATCTACAGCCAATATTGAAGGAAAAGAGCGAATACAAGGATATCATCAAGGCTATTGAACATCAATTAAATAATTACAGAGATTACAATGGCATACTAGATTTCGATCAAAGTAAGATTGAAATTGATGTTGTAATTACAGATAATAATAATTTTTATATTCTACATATCTACATATAAAACAGACACGTTCAGGGTCAGCGAGCTCCCCGATGGCTATCAATTTATGGCAAAATCTACAAGAACTCAAACTTTGAAGAGCTCCTTTAACCACATTAGAGGTACCCGGGATAACTACCCTTTCTTACATGCAATAACAATTTCTTTTTTTTTTAAAAAAAATTCTAAATCTAATGCTAATTTTTCCTTTTTCTTTAAAAAAAAATACTACTATTACAATCATTATTGCAGGCCATCCAACTGGAAAAAATTATAGTACAACAAGTAAGATCACACGTATAGACTCACACGCAATACTCTAGAGAATTGAATGGGAGTGATAAAGCTTGAATTAAAGACAAACTTACTCAACTCATTGAATTCTTATTAGACGAGTTTGCTCCCCATTTATATTGGTTACGTACACAGCATATGACAGGAGAACCGTGCTACTGTCACCTGTGCACGGGGCCTCGCGGTGTAGCTACCTATACCTCTGATCAGCTAGTCAAACCAGTCCCCAATTTTGTCAATCAAGAAGATTCGGATAGCGAAGGGCGCCTTTCTATTAGCCTTGAAGATATTACTTCATATGTACCATTTGTTAAGATAAAAATCAAGAGATATCTAGATATTAGTGAAGCCACATTACCAATATCCAATATTGACACCAACAAATCTAATGCACAAAATGAAGCTACAAAAAAACCCCAAGAAGAACCGTCCCCGAGAAAAAAGAGAGGAAGAAAAAGTGCGCGTATTGGAGAAGGATCTCAGGGCGAAAACAGTACGAGTAACAGCGATGCCAATGCCAATACCAAGCCTATCGCCAAGCCTATAGCCAAACCTATGGCCAAGGCTAAGACCAAGGCTAAGCTCAAACACAAGTATAACGATGGCAAGAGCGGAAGCGAATATGAGGGCAATGACTATTACGTGAGGGAAAATAAGAAAAAGAATAAGGACGAGAACGAAACCGGAAATAGAGAAGGAGATGAAGATAGTGATTCAGAACAAATGTCCATCAACCTTGTACCTATTCGCCGGGTGGTTGGGTTCAAGATCAAATTTTGGACCGGTGTCAAAGTTGAATCTATACCGATTATTCCTATACCAGAGCTGGTCTTAATTGGAGATGCTATTGGGAATTTACCTGCCATAGAAGTTTAGTTTTATCAAGTAAATACACCTACAAACAAGCACACACACACACACATACACATACACATATGCATGTATATGTATAAATTCAATATTGTTATACCAAATTGTCCATTGAATTATTTAACCATATTAATCATTCAATAAACCACCGGAATATTACATATATAAATATAAATATAAATATATTGTATGTAGATTATGAACATACAATTTGTATTTTTAATTAATATGTAATAATACTACACATTTCCCCTCTTCATCAACAGAAGAAAAAAGCAAGTGTAAGCTATAGTTTTATTATTTTAGACGGAGAAGTCAAAAGTAACACAGGGTTCCACTAACAAAAGTCAATCTTTTATTATTATTATTAGTAGTAGTATTATATATGTAATAATTAAATAGATATATAGACTCTTGTTCGTATTATATTTTAAACCTTTTGTATTTTATTTCAAGACTCCAAGATATAGCGACAATAATTATACTTACAGAACATATAGACGACAAATAAAGGTTTGAATGAATGATGATTTTTACGCTGAACATCATAAATGTCGTGTCCTGTTTAGTCTGTGTTTAATAAGGAAATAAAGAAGAGAGAGAAAAAGACTAAAAAAAAAAAGAGTCATTTTTGGAAGAGGCCCGAAAGTATAAAAAAGAACGATGGCCCAAAGTGGTGTATGAACCGATTTGCATTTACATATAAAAGCACATCTTGTCTTTCTATTCCTTTCTCTCTTTTCTCTCTCTCTCTCTTTCTTTTACTCTTATACCATTTTAGACTATTATTATTATTTTTAGAAGAAATATAGAAGATAGATAGATATCTTTTTTTTTTTCTATAGACATACAAATACACATATAAAAGCAGTCAACCTACTCTTGCAACCAAAACAAAGAAAAATGGATAAATCATCTATAAACGAAGACGTGGATCCAGTCTATCCAATTGCCGAACGTATGCTGGGAGACCACAAAGCGAACGTTGAAGACATTGTCAAATATGAAGAAATGTGGGAGTCAAGTATTAACACTCCCGACATATTCTTTGGAGACGTAAGAATAAAAACAAGAAACACATACAAATACAAATACAGATACAGATACAGATACGAAGACAAAGTCAAAGACAAGGACGAATATACACTAGACGCGTCTCTTTAATTGCTAGCCTGGAAACAAATATCAGCAATATATACACTGGGTGGATATCAATTTACTAACAGCTCATATATATATATATATATATGTATGCATTTTGGGTATATAAATATAGCTTGCACGTGAACTCTTGAGTTGGACAAAACCTTTTGAGAGAGTTCAACAGGGCAGCTTCCACGAGGGAGACATTGCCTGGTTCCTGGAAGGAGAGTTGAATGCGTGTTATAATTGTGTTGACAGATATGCTCTCGAAACACCAGACAAAGTAAGATACTAGAATAGTCATCTTCCGTTTGACCTTTCAATGTTCTTGCAAAAAATAATAATATATGCATTTATACATATACATCATTTGTCCTTCTTTATTTGGCGAATATTATTCGTGTGTGTGTGTGGGGGTGTGTGCTTTTTTGTTACTATAGATTGCCATAATTCACGAAGGTGACGAACCAGAGAATGTTCGTAAAATAACATATGGAGAACTTCTTCAAGAAGTCTGTCGATTGTCCAACGTACTCAAGTCAATGGATGTCCACAAAGGAGACAAAGTAATAATCTACATGCCCATGATTCCAGAAGCAGTCGTAGCCATGCTGGCATGCGCCCGTATTGGTGCTGTCCATTCTGTCGTATTTGCTGGGTTTTCATCAGATTCGCTAAGAGATCGTATTGAAGATTGCGGAGCTCATGTGGTTTTGACATCTGATGAAGGACGTCGGGGTGGAAAGAATATCGCGACAAAGTTGATCGTGGATGAGGCCATCAAAGGCACCACAACCACCACAAGTACAGTCCGTCACGTCTTGGTTTACCGCAGAACAGGCTCAGATGTGCCCTGGACAGAAAATAGAGATCTTTGGTGGCATGATGAGATGGCCAAGGCACGCCCTTACTGCCCATTAACGACCATGAGTTCCGAGGACCCCTTATTCTTGCTGTACACCTCTGGATCTACCGGAACGCCAAAGGGAATTGTGCATACTACTGCAGGATACCTTATAGGAGCAGCATCAACAGTAAAATATGTGTTTGACTATCAGCCTGGTGACATCCACGCCTGTATGGCCGACATCGGATGGATTACTGGTCATACTTACATTGTCTACGGCCCTCTTGCTCTCGGTGCCACCACAGTCTTGTTTGAATCGACTCCCACCTATCCTGATCCCTCCCGTTTCTGGAAGATGGTCGAGAAGCACAAGGTTACCCAATTCTACACCGCTCCTACCGCCATTCGAGCCCTTCGCCGTCTTGGCGACAAATGGTTGGAAGGCATCGATCTTTCGAGCTTGAGAGTTATTGGGTCTGTCGGTGAGCCAATCAATCCAGAGGCATGGGAATGGTACAATGCACAGATTGGTAAAGGAGAATGTGCTGTGGTTGACACATACTGGCAGACTGAGACGGGCTCGATTATTATCAGTCCTTTGCCAGGTGTTACGCCCACTAAACCTGGATCGGCCACACTTCCTTTCTTTGGAATCAAGCCTGTGATTCTAGATCCTCAGACTGGTGCTGAGCTAGAGGGTAACGACGTAACGGGTGTGCTGGCCATTTCCCAGCCGTGGCCATCCATGGCTCGTACTGTATACAACAACCACCACCGGTATCTTGAAACATACCTCAACCCTTACAAGGGCTTTTACTTCACCGGTGATGGAGCCAGTCGAGACAAGGATGGATACATCTGGATTCGTGGTCGTGTCGACGGTAATTAATAATAGCACTAAAAGATGTAGAGAACACAAGTATATATATATATTAAGGGAAGACATCAACTAAACAACTCCTTTGACAATTTTTCTTTTAGATGTGATCAATGTTTCTGGCCATCGCCTGTCTACTTCCGAAATTGAATCTGCACTGATTCACCACGAGTCTGTAGCTGAAGCTGCTGTTGTCGGTGGCCATGACGACCTAACTGGCCAATGTATCCATGCCTTTACTACATTGAAGCCCAACGTCGAGATATCAGAAGGACTTGAGAAAGAACTTTCTCTTCAGGTTCGCAAAGTGATCGGGGTAAGATCCAATTTAGTTTTAAGGTTAAGTTTGAGTTCGAGTGTACCGTAACTCGAGTTCTCCCCAAAAAAGGAAGTTCGTTAAAGAGAAAGAGAGTTATTCTTAACTCTTTTGTCATTATACGTTTAGCCATTCGCAACTCCTAAGCGTATCTATGTTGTTTCCGACCTACCAAAGACTCGTTCCGGAAAGATTATGCGCCGGATTCTGCGCAAGATCGTTAATAAAGAACATGACGACCTTGGTGACATTTCCACGCTAGCAGATCCTTCGTAAGCTGGTTATTTATTATTATTATTTTATTATATATTTAACTAAACCATGTACAAAATACGTATATGTGGAGCAGGGTTGTTGATACACTGATTTTCAAAGTTCTTGGCCCGGATGCCTTGATTAACAAAAAGACAAAAGGCGACAAAGGTAATACTCATTCTCTTACATTTTAGGGTCAATGAAAGAAGAAGAAAAAAGAGATAGTTACTCATTAGAGATTTAATCGGAAGAACTGATGTTTATGATACGATATGATATGTTGTGAATATTTTGTAGCACCTAAAGACGATGCAGCCACCCCAAACGAGTCTGGTACGACTACTGCGCCCGACGCACCCAGATCACCTAGCGATAATGGCCCTGAAAGAAAGCCTGTTGAATTGAAAATAGAAGGCGACGACTGGTTTGCATTGCAAGTACTCTAAATAACTTTGTAGGGTTGAAAGAATACCTCCTTGCTTGACTTCTAACCTTTTGTGTGCATGTATCTATTATTATCCAACAGATTCAATCCAGATGTAAATAGACGCCTCAATATTGACCTTGTACATTCCTTTGATCATGATGGTGTAGTGTGTAGTGTCAAGTTTAGTCCAGACGGATATTTTTTGGCGACCGGTGGCAACAAATTGACAAAGATTTATGATACTACCTATGGTGCATTAATAGCGTAAATTGATCAAAAATTGATTGGTGGAGGGACAAATGTATATATTTATCTGTCTAATCGATTGTCTAACATTTTTAGGGTTCTTCAAGATGAAAATGCTGGTGAGAATGAGTCGTACATTCGTGCACTTAGCTTTAGTCCAGATGGCAGATATATTGCAACCGGTTCTGAAGATCAGAAAATTCGTGTATGTAAATTTTAATTTTGAATCCTCACACCAAGAAATAATCATAATCATAATAATTAATGTTTATCATGTGTTTGTGTTTGTGTGTATGTGTACTGGTCTAGATCTGGGATATCGCAAAGAAGTGCATTACACGAGAGTTGATTGGACATGAACAAGACATCTACTCGCTTGACTTTAGCAAAGATGGTCGTGTATTGCTGTCTGGCTCAGGAGACAAGACTGCCCGTGTGTGGGATTGGGTTGAAGGAACATGCCTCCACAAGTTAGAGGTCTTGGACTTGGAAGATAACATAAATAATACCAGTGTGACAAGTGTCTCTGTCTCCCCAGATGCTCTTCTAGTTGCCACCGGAAGTCTTGATAGTATGATCAGAATTTGGGACATTCAAAAAGGAGAATTGGTTGAGGAATTCTCAGGACACGGCAACAGTGTTTACTCGGTTGGATTCATGCCAGACAACAACAGCGTAGTGAGCGGTAGTATTGACAAGACCGCATGTCTATGGAAACTAGGATCAAGCCGGGCATCTGGAGATGAGGAAGCTTGCAAGCAAAAGTTTGTTGGTCATAAGGTAAAAATAATAATAATAATAATAATAATAATAAATTCCCCACCACGGACACCTTAACTTTTGGGTTTGAGTTTCTTTGGTCGTTGTGTTCCAAGAGTCAAAAATAGACGTTTTTCCGTTATTAACGTAATCTTTGTCCCACTCTGTGTAGGACTTTATATTATCTGTGGCTACAACTCCCTGTGGAGAGTGGATTATATCAGGCTCGAAGGACAGAAACGTTCAGTTCTGGGATCCCCACACCGGAGAAAATCAATTCTTGCTGCAAGGACACAAGCAATCGGGTAAGAAAACCAGAGATGATACAATCTCTGTGTTCAGGCTTACTTTTCTTCGTAACTCACCCACTCGACTACTTCATTTGTAGTTCTATCCGTTGCTGCCAGTCAAGGCAAGAGACGTTTATTTGCCACTGCTTCTATTGATAGTAAAGCTCGTGTTTGGAGTTACGATTTATTGGTCTAATTGGGCTTCTTTTACAATTAAATACAATAAAACAAAAGTAATAATAATAAGAATAAGAATTACATAAGTTGGTTATGTTATAACTCATTATACATATACTTCTTGCCATATCCATCTGTGGGGATATCATGCAAATGTGGGAACCTGTACTCCCAAATATTGATTGTATTGGTCGATTATTCCAGCTGACAAGAACGATAGAAAACGAGGAAGTAATGAGACGATTGGCTTCTGATCTTTTGCCCCACCTTTTTGTCAAAGCGTTCGTTTGAAACCCATTTGACTCGAAGCTGAGGCGGAGATATGGAGCAGCCTATACAATAAAAGTAAAAATAAAAATAAAATAAAAATTCTAGGCGTGGGAGGTCCTATGAAAATTGACCAAATGGCTTGGTTTAACCATTGACCCATTTTACTTGTATGGCCGCTTACATCAGCTCACTGTGTCTGTGTATTTTAGATCTTATGGTAATGTCACCCAATGGCTTCACGACCTATTGTTACCAGAAATGCCGCCAAAAAGAATTAAAGAATTCCATTTGATCTTCAATTCTTTTTGGATTCTGAACACATTTGGCTTACGTGAGCCCAAAGAAATGTACTTTTTCTCTCCTATTTGCACCAAATTTCTCCACAACTTTGGAGTAACACAAAAAAATAGAGCAAGAGAAAAAGGAGGGAGAAAGTAAGAGAAAGAAAGAAAAAAGAAAAAAAAGAAAAAAAATCGTGTGAATCCGTGGTGCCTGTAATTGGGTTACATAAAAGCATACCTATAAATACCTCCTCCATTATCTATTCTTTCTTTTTCTTTTCACTCGTACATTCACATACTTTTCTCTCAATGACTATCTCAGACTCTGTTCAGGATCCAATCTACCCCGTGGCCGAGCGCCTCACCGGAAAACACAAGGCTAATGTCCAGAGCATGGCTGAATATCAGTCTATGTGGGAGTCAAGCGTGAACAACACAAACGAGTTCTTTGGAAAGGTATGCAATCAACCGAAGCAAATCGAAACAACAGCACCTTTATCCAACCCCATCACGCACAAGAGAAAAAAAAAGAATAAAGTGCTTATATTTTCTTCTTTAAATAGTTGGGTCGCGAGCTCTTGAGCTGGTCCAAGCCTTTCGAGACCGTACAGCACGGAAGCTTCTATGAAGGCGACGTAGCCTGGTTCCTTGAAGGTGAATTGAATGCCTGTTACAACTGTGTTGATAGACATGCTCTTGCCACACCAAACAACGTAAGTTTAGATAGCAAAAATACCCAAACTGAATGAGCGAGTAAATAAATAAACATATTCGGATTCGATTTTCTCTAACCTTGACTCCACTTACAGATTGCCATTATTCATGAAGGTGACGAGCCCGAGAATGTTCGCAGAATTACCTACAGAGAACTTCTCCAGGATGTTTGCAGATTAGCAAATGTCCTAAAGTCCATGGATGTCCGCAAGGGTGACAATATTGCCATCTACATGCCCATGGTTCCTGAAGCCGTTGTGGCCATGCTGGCATGTGCCCGTGTCGGTGCCGTTCACTCTGTTGTCTTTGCTGGTTTCTCTTCGGACTCTCTCCGTGACCGTGTTATCGATTGTGGAGCCCGCGTTGTCTTGACTGCTGACGAGGGTCGCCGTGGTGGAAAGAACATTGCTACCAAGCGCATCGTAGATGAGGCCATCAAAGGCACCACCACTGTCGAGCACGTCTTGGTCTACCGCAGAACCGGATCAGAAGTCCCCTGGACTAAGAACAGAGATCTTTGGTGGCATGATGAGATGGCCAAGGCACGCCCTTACTGCCCTGTTACAGCCATGAGCTCCGAAGACCCCTTGTTCTTGCTGTACACTTCTGGATCAACCGGCACGCCAAAGGGTGTTGTCCACACCACAGCTGGATACCTTCTCGGTGCTGCTTCCACTGTCAAGTACATTTTCGACTACCAACCCGGAGACATCCACGCCTGCATGGCTGATATCGGATGGATTACTGGCCACACTTACATTGTCTACGGTCCTCTTGCTCTTGGTGCCACAACCGTCTTGTTTGAATCTACTCCTACTTATCCTGATCCTTCCCGTTTCTGGAAGATGGTTCAGAAGCACAAGGTTACCCAGTTCTACACCGCTCCTACCGCCATTCGTGCCCTTCGTCGTCTTGGTGACAAATGGTTGGCCGACAGTGATCTCTCAAGCTTGCGTGTTATCGGCTCTGTAGGTGAGCCCATCAACCCAGAGGCATGGGATTGGTACAACACCCAGGTCGGCAAGGGCAAGTGTGCTGTAGTGGATACTTACTGGCAGACCGAGACCGGATCGATTATCATCAGTCCTTTGCCAGGTGCTACCAAGACAAAGCCTGGATCCGCCACATTCCCATTCTTTGGTATCAAGGCAGTCATTCTTGACCCTCAGACTGGTGCAGAGCTCAAGGGCAACGACGTAACGGGTGTGCTGGCCATTTCCCAACCATGGCCATCGATGGCTCGTACTGTCTACAACAACCACCACCGCTACCTCGACACCTACCTCAACCCCTACAAGGGCTTCTACTTCACAGGCGATGGTGCCAGCCGTGATAAGAATGGATATATTTGGATTCGTGGTCGTGTCGATGGTAAAGTATTATATTTTTGTTGGGTTTATTTTATTGAATTTATCGGGATTCTTGTGATTGGAAAAGAACGGGAAAAAGGAATGAGATTTTTCTTTCCACTTTCCATAAATGTGAAGAAAAGCGCAAGTTATTAATTACAGCCAATAATCTTCTTTAGATGTGATCAACGTTTCTGGTCACCGCCTGTCTACCGCTGAAATTGAGTCTGCATTGATTCACCATGAGTCTGTAGCCGAAGCTGCTGTTGTCGGTGGTCAAGATGACCTGACTGGCCAGTGCATCCACGCCTTTGCTACATTGAAGCCTAATGTCGATGTGTCAGAAGGACTTGAGAGAGAACTTTCTCTTCAGGTTCGCAAAGTGATCGGGGTAAGATAAACCTATATATAAAAAGAAAACGAGCTAGTTTAAGGTTTACAAAGTCTAATCTCAAATATATTGGTTACGTTCTGCCCCTACTCTTTTCATTGTTAGCCATTTGCTACTCCTAAACGCATCTATGTCGTTTCTGATCTCCCCAAGACTCGCTCTGGTAAAATTATGCGCCGTATTCTGCGCAAGATTGTCAATGGCGAGCATGACCAGCTTGGCGATATTTCCACCTTGGCTGATCCTTCGTAAGTTTACTCCCTCTCTTTTTTATTTTATTTTTTTCGGATCTTTATTTATCTGGGGCTGATCGTTTATCTTACATTGTGTGAATATTTTAGAATCGTTGAAGGTTTGATCGTAAAAGCACACGGTCCCAAGGCTGTGTCTAACTCAACAACCAAGACAGTTACCAAGGAAATTACCAAGGAGATCACTAAAGACGTTAAGCCAGTATCCACATCTACTTCTGTAAACAAGTCTTCTTCTGTTGATGCCAAGACTGGTGCTACTGAGAGTGTTGTTGTGAGCAAGGAGACCAAGACCGATGCCAATGGTTCAACCACAGTCACCACAACCACAACCACTACCACAACCAAGCCTGGATGCCCTCCCGTGGTAGCAACCACCATCTCCAAGGAAACTACTGGTCCCGTCGTAAGCACTATTACCAAGACTGCTTCCCAGCCCATTGTAACCACAACCACAACCAAGGAGTCCTCTTCCCAGCCCATTGTGACAACCACAACCACCAGGGAAACTTCTTCCCAGCCTGTTGTGACCACTACTGTCAAGGAGTCCGGAAAGCCTGCTGTGACCACCACAACCACTACCACCACAAGTAAGGATGCTTCCAAGCCAGCAGTTGTTACCACTACCATCAAGGAGGGATCCAAGCCTGGTGTTACTACCACTACCACTACCACAACCTACAAGGAGTCTTCCAAGCCAGCCGTAACTTCTACCACTACTGTCAAGCAGTCTTCTTCATCATCTGGTCCAATTATCACAGAGGTAAAGACCGACAGCAAGCCTGCAGTCATTACATCCAAGCCAGTTCAGGTTGAAGCCAAGGTGACTTGCCAAGAGACCAAGACCAGTTCCTCTCCAAAGGCTGAGGCTAAGAAATAGTTCCCTTCTTCATTTATCATTATATTATATATATATATATATATGTATTATATATATTATATTTCATTTTCTGAAAATATCGTTCAATAAAAAAAATCAAATCGCGTTTTTCATCACATAATCTTGTGTTCCTTTCTTTTACATAATACGAAAGAAATACAGTCGTAGGTTGAATAAAGAGCAAGTTCTCTCAAGAACAGAATCCAATGATCTTTCTACTGTGCCTGTATCCATGTGAAAATGAGCAAGGCTTTACCCTTGGATGTGATGTCACCTTCCCACCAATCGGCCTCCGGGATGGGCAGTCCAAGGAACCCCGCCCATCTTTAAGCAGCCCCTTTCTTGAGTCTTCCAACAGCTCGTTCTTCTCTCTTCCTCCCCTATAATGTCTAACCCTCTCCGTATCTACGTCCCCGTTAAGCGCGTCATTGACTATGGTAGGAATATAAAGTCCATTTAATGATTTCAAATAGCAAAAACCTTGCTTTTGAAAAATAAAATAAAATAAAACAAGAAATAACCCCTTTTTGTTCTTTTCTAGCTGTCAAGGTCCGCGTCAATCCCGCCAAGACCGATGTCGACCGTAGCGTAAAGCACAGCATGAACCCATTTGACGAAATTGCCATTGAGGAGGCCGTTCGCATGAAGGAGAAGGACAAGAAGATTGAGGTTGTCGCAATCTCTTGCGGTACCACCAAGAGCCAGGAAACTCTCCGCACTGCTCTTGCTATGGGCGCTGACCGTGCTGTTCACGTCGAGGTTAAGGACGACAGCACCCTCCAGCCTTTGGCCGTTGCTAAGCTTCTCCAGGCCTATACTGCCACCCAGGAGAACAAGCCTGATCTTTTCATCCTTGGTAAGCAGGCCATTGATGACGATGCAAGCCAGACTGGTCAGATGTTGGCTGGTCTGTTGAACTGGCCCCAGGTAAAGACATTTGTGGGAGATGAAAATAAGATCAAAGGGAAACACAACCAAATCTACCCTTTGCATGGGGGTAGTTTGTTATTGTTTTGTGTGGAATAGTTTTAAGAAAAACAACAACAGCATAGGAAGAGAATGGGTTATTTTTCCCACGCTCATAGTAAAACACGGCCTAACTTTCTTGCTCCAATCCTCCCCCCCCTTTTTTTTTTATATATATATTTTATTTTCACTTGTCAATAGACCACCTTTGCTTCCAAGGTTGAGTTGGAAGGCCAGACTCTTAAGGTCACACGTGAAATCGATGGTGGTTTGGAAACTGTCCAGGCCAAGTTGCCAGCTGTTATCACCACTGACTTGCGGTAAGATTTTCTTTTCGTGCTTAAATATTAGGTTAAAGAGTTAAAGATTATAATGGTATAAATTCGCGCGGATATATATATGCATGGATTTATGTATGTATACTTATTCTTATGCTTACTATTAGTCTTAACGAGCCCCGTTATGCTTCTTTGCCCAACATCATGAAGGCCAAGAAGAAGCCTTTGGTCAAGTTGACCCCTGAAGATCTCGGTATTGATATCTCTCCCCGCATTTTGACCCTCAAGGTTGAGGAACCTGCCAAGCGTGTTGGTGGTCGCAAGGTTGACAGCGTCGATGATTTGATTGATAAGCTCAAGAACGAAGCCAAGGTCCTCTAAAATAATATATAAATATATAAATATATATACATATATTTATAATGACAAAGCAAAGAAGAAGAAGAAGAAGAAAAAGAAGATATCAATACAATGCTGTTTTGTAAGCAGCAATAGGATCATTATTAATGTATGGAATGGCAGAACTATTCTTACATGAAAACCAACTTTTTATATCTAAAAAATGTTAAAGCTTAGAGTCTTTTCTCTTTTTATTTTATTTTATTTTATTTTTATTATTTTATTTTTATTTATTTTTTAAAGAAAATGGATATATAATAAAAACAAAGCCACTCCTCCCTCTCTTTCTCTTTGTCTCTATCTATTTTGTTTACTTTATCGTCTGTCAATGGCTAGTCCTCTTCAAGCATTATCACATACTTCTTTCGACACTGGGTACAGTGCTGATTGTACTGAATTCTGCCCTCTTGTCGACTCAACAGACTACTTGGCGTGTGGAACATATCAGCTTACAGACGAAACAAAGAACGACGCTCAGGTTCGCAAAGGAAAGCTTTACTTGTTCACAGTCGATCCCAAAAACAAGAATGGATTGCAACAACAACAGGTCATTGAAGGACCAGCTATTCTCGACATGAAGTGGAGTCATGCACTTGTTGAGAATCGCAAGGTGCTTGGTGTAGTAGATTCAATTGGTGGACTTCAATTGCATCATTTGACAGATGCTGGAGAATTGGAATCTCTTGCTCATTGTCAAGTTAGTGAGCCAGACGTACTCTGTCTTTCACTTGACTGGGCTAGTCGAGTTAACAAGGACGATCACCGGATTGCGATATCTCATTCGAATGGTGAACTGTCAATAGTCGTACCTTCCGAGTCAGAGTGGAAAGTAGCAGATCAGTGGCATGCACACGACCTTGAAGCCTGGATTACAGCCTTTAATTATTGGGATACCCGTACACTTTATTCAGGTGCAGACGATGGTCTGTTTAAAGGCTGGGACAGTCGGTCTCAAACACCTCAGTTCACCAACAAACGACACAGTATGGGCGTCACCACCATGCAATCTTCACCATTTCAAGAACATACACTGGTGACAGGCAGTTACGATGAAAATATCTACTTCTGGGACACTAGATCTATGCGAATGCCACTCAAGACTGTTCAAACTCCCGGTGGAGGTATCTGGCGCCTGAAATGGCACCCGACCGAGGCCAATTTATTACTATCAGCCTCTATGCACGCTGGTGCCTTTGTCATTAACACAAATACCCATGAAATTGTCAATTCGTTCCTTGATCATACTTCGATGGTGTATGGTGCAGACTGGTCATACGTTCACAAAGACTGGGTAGCGTCGTGTTCGTTCTATGATCATACAATGCATCTTTGGGATGCTTCGACAACAGCCTAGGATACATACATAGACCCACACACAGCCAAACTATACAAGCTATACACACAATCACCACACCCATACTTTTTTTTGTGACAAAAGAAGAAAAGAAGAAACACGAGCTTGCTTATGTGTTCTTTTTCTCTTTTTTTTAAAAAAAGAAATATTTATTCCATTACAGGGAGTATCTAACGATAGAATATATGCTCCTTCTTAATGGTCCTTCTTGCCAGCAGCGACTATAATAATTAATAAGAAAAAAAATTAGAGCCAAACTTCATTTATAATATATATATATATATTGGAATATTTCAGTCAAAATGTGTACTTACCAGCAGGGTTTCTGGGGTCGTTCTTGTATTCGTCAGCTATAATAACAAGAAAAAATAAATAAGCAAAGGAACGCGTTAGGAGAGGGATAATGCTGAGTTTACTCACAGTTGATCATGGCGTCTTGCATCTTGGCAACAAGGTAAAAGACAGCGACACCACCAACGATGAAAGGTCCAGCGGGACGGAGGACGGGAGTAGACCACTTGCGTAAACCGAACATAATAGCAAAAGGTAATAAAGCAAGAAAGCCAGGGAGGATAGATAAACAATAAAGTTTTTGGGTGCTCTTGTCCCGCATGGTTCATTAATGCTCCGCTGGAAAGGTGGCGTCATGAGCCAGGCGTGACGTTTTCTTTTGTAAAGCCATGGTAAGAAGACAGGCAAAGAATCTTGAGCCAATTTAGAGCCCAAGAGATTAATATCTGTTATAAATTATAGATATATATTTTTATTTTTTATTTTTATTTAAATATTATGACAGAAAAATAAAATAAAATGTCATAAAAACAAGAAAAGACTTTATAGCTCTCCTGATAAGGTTGTCATAAAAAACGAAGAACTCAAAAATTCATTGGATTAAAGATGTATATACCGACTATAAAATACCAAAAGTCATTTAATTGCTTTATTTCGATTATGATTAAATTCTACATGAGGTTGGCCATGACAAAAGATATTAATATTAATATTGTTTAAAATTTTAGTAGGATCATATACACTCACAATCAAAAACGTTTCGACCCCCGCAAAAAATGCCTAAAAAAAATCGAAAAAATAAAAAAAACATTGTTTTCTCCCAATATTATTAATCAAATCCAACATGCAAAACGCAAATTCATCAGAAAACACCCACGGACCATATGAAAAGGCCGATCCCTATAAATACGGATGCATCATGTACATGCATTTAGCAAATTACGGGGCGACCCAGATTTCATTGGTGGTTGGCATGAGTCTGTCAACTGTCAAGTACATCATTAAGAGAGTGGACGAGACAGGATCGCCCGAGCCAAGAAAAGGGTCCGGACGACCTAGAAAGATTGACGAGAGGACAGAAAGACACCTTGTTCAAATAGTTCGTAAGGACCCCTTTGCCTCATTTTCTAGGCTAAGGGCTTCCTTAAAGAACATGGAGGTATTTGTCTGCAGAAAGACAATAATCAGTTGTCTGAAGCGTTTGGGCTTCGGATCATATATCGCAGCTCACAAGCCAGCTTTAACCGAAAGCCACAAGAAAAGAAGGCTGGAATGGGCCCGTGAGCATGTGAATTGGACAGATGACCAGTGGAGAGGTGTAGTGTGGTCAGATGAATCACGGTTCACAGTTGAGTGTAATGATGGAGGAGCTAGAGCTATCAGGAAAGTCGATGAAAGGTTCAAGGAAGAAAATATCATCGAAGGAACCAAGTGGGGGAAGGGTAGTGTGATGATCTGGAGCTGTTTCTGGGCCGGTGGTTTTGGCCCTTTGGTGTTCCTAGATGGTAACGTAAACCAAGACCAATACGTGAACACTTTGGCTCAGAACTTCCTCCCTTGGTTCCAAAATCTTTCGCGGGAACAAACCAGAAGCTTCGTGTTCCAAGAGGACAACGCCAGCTGTCATACTGGGTCGTACTCGAGGTGGTGGAAAGATAGCCATGAGATCCGAGGTTTTGACTACTGGCCCGCTCAAAGCCCGGATCTCAACCCCATTGAGCATCTCTGGTGGGCTCTCGAGAGGCGCATGAGTGACGAGAGGGCCAGTACTAACAATGTTGAAGATCTGAAGGTTGTAATGCAACGAGAGTGGCGAAGGATAGGTCTCGAACTTTCGTCAACTTTGGCCGGAAGCATGCAGCATCGATGCCAGGCTGTAATTGAGGCCAAAGGAGGTCATACAAAATATTGATCTTTTATTTTTTTCTATATTTCAATAATAAACATATATATAATCTTTTATTTGAAGTTTGAATGCTTTAGCTTTTATTACTGAGGAGCAGTTGCATGTTGAATACATGCCATGATTTCTCATGCATTTTTTGGGCTCAGAGGTCGAAACGTTTTTGATTGTGACTGTATATATACGCAAAATCATTACATACAAAATAAAATGATAGTAAAACCATGGCTCTTCCCGCTACGACTCCGCCACCCCTACCAAGGGACCCCTCACCACCTCCTGGCTCACCCACGCCATCACTCAACACTCCATCTACACCAACTGGCTCACCACCATTGTCTCCATCTTACGTAGCTGCGGCTGTTAAGTCTGTAGACAATTCTTGTACATCTCGCATCATCGACTCCATCGCTGGTAATGGCGCTCCACGCATATGGAAAGAAGGCTCCTCTCCATTTTCTGTTTTCTACGAGGTCCCTGCTGAGGGAAACCCTCTCCGTCCTTTGTTCTTTGAGGCTCTTAACACCGCTTTCCTATTGGGTGTTGGCCGCGGCCTCACATATGCCTCTCGTACTTCCCGCACCTCCTTCGAATTCCATCTAGTAGGCCAAGAAGCATGCTCGCGCGCATGCCAAGTTGGCTTTCCTTTTAATGGACGTACTGTCTTCGCTTCTCCTGCCATTCCTTCGACGTTTAAGCTCTTGCGCTTACGTGTGTCTCGACTTCCTCTTCACGGATATGCGGATTTTGATGAACTTGCCGAGAATCTTCGCCGCTGCCTTGCTATATACGGACAGGTTCAGGAAATATCCTTGAATTTGAAATATAACTACCCCGACGGCACAGGCACCATCCATATGCTACGCCCACCTAATCCTGATCTTCATATGCGTCACTTGGAACATGAGATCAAGTATAATGAAACTACAACTTTCCTTGCCACTTGGGCACGTATGGGTACTCATTGTACTTTCTGTAAAGAGATGGGTCACGAGAAAGAAGCTTGCACCAAGCGACCCAAAGAAACCCGCACCTGCTTCCGCTGTGGTAAGGTTGGTCACCTTGCCCATCAATGCCCACGAAACGAGGAAGCCGAATCAAAACGCCCTCGCAAAACTGCTCGCTCCCCAACCCATGCCCCTGCACCCCCAGCCGCTCAGATGTATCATGGTCTTCTACCCTCTGAAACAATCTACGGCTCACAGCACGCCCCGCAGAACATACCCCTACCTCCATTGGCTACTGAATCCCTTTCTAGACCACGCGCGGCCCCGGGTGCCATTCCGGGTGTTCTTCCCGCCAACCATCCTGACTTCCTGATAGAAGCAGCGGCTAGTACTGGCATGGATGACAACGTCCAATTGGTTAAGACCAGTGATGGCGAACTTGGTAACGAAGAGACGAAGAAAAGCGACGATGAGGAATACTACAGCGACGATGACATCGATGAGGTCGCCAAGTATTTCGCTCAAATGGAAAATGATCCCATGGATGGTGAAAATGACGGTGGACAAGATCCTCCAAATCCAGCTCTTACTTTATGATTAAAATCTCCACGATAAACTGTCGAGGCCTGGCCAAATTGGCCAACCCCACCTTACGCTCATTATTTATACGCCACCTACGCTCTCAGCATGTCGATATACTCGCCCTGCAAGAAACTCATGCTTCCTCTATGGATATACAGAACACATTCAATATGCAGTTTAGGACTACTTCCTCAGTTTGGTCCCAACATTGTGGTTTAGTGTGCCTAACTCCTATGATTTCTATTGTCAACCCTTTAACCTCTGTCTGTGGCCGATGTATATCTGCTACAGTTGAGCATGCCAACAATAATTTTTCCCCTTTTCAGATCTGTGTGGTATATGCCCCAGCTACAGTTGGACAGCGGTATAAATTCCTATCTGCCCTGCTTGCTAACTCTTTATTATTGCCCACTCATCCTTCACGCTTCATCCTGCTGGGAGATTTTAATCACTCCTATCACACTCGTTCACCTCGGCCCCGACTTGCACCTCATACGTGGCTCCAATTCCTCTCTGACCACCTCTTTGACTGTGTCACTATGCCTGATTCTACCCCTATGCCTACCTTCCATCGCGGCACAACGTCCTCCACCTTGGACTATATATTCTCCTCTTCCGATATGTTTTCCCACCGCATTTCGTCTTCCGTGGATTATATTCATCCGCAATGGTCAGACCATTTCCTACTTTCCGCATCTTTTCTCTTTGATTCAGGCACTGTCTTGGGGAAAGGCCTATGGCGTGCCAACCCACGTCTGTCCTACAACCAGCATTTCTGCCTCCAGCTTGACTCTCACATTCATTCCCTCGTCCACTCTCTACCAACATCTCTATCTGTTCAAGAACAGTGGGATAGTCTCAAAACCGATGTCATCCATTTTATCCGCTCTTATTGCCGTCGCCTTCGCCGCAACCTCACTACGATAGAAGCCCAGTTGCAGAGCAAGCGCGCGCACCTGATACAAAAGTACCGACTCAACCCCTCCATTAACTTCCAGCTTCCTTTTGTGGAACGACAGATTCAGGACATACAACACGAAAAGGTAGAAACACAGGCATTGCGCGCTGGAAAACACTGGCGGGAACAGGGTGAGACCTCTGCCGGTTACTTGAAACGTACGATTGAAACACGACAAGTCCGTAAGACGATCTCTGGCCTACGCCACCCCTTCACCAACGTCCTTTCGACACAGCCTTCTATCATGACCGATTCCGCGGCTGCATTTTATAAAGATTTGTATTCCCCCGATGACATTGAGCAAACCGCTGTAGACGACCTTCTACATAATCTTCCGACTCATATTGTTCTCTCTGACGCTCTTGTAAACAAACTCACTTCCTCCTTTTCCATCGTAGACATACGAGAAGGTGCGCAGCGGTCTCCTTCCGCCAGCAGTCCCGGTCCCGACGGGATACCCTATGAAATCCTTCGTCTCCTTTTTGACCATCCCGCGTGTGCTCATATCTTGGAAAAGCTTTAAAATGACGCTCTCACCACTAGAGTTTTTCCTGCCTCTTGGCAATCTACTTGTCTCTCCTTGCTACCGAAGAAAGGAGACCTTACATCTTTGAAGAACTGGCGACCTATTGCCTTGATTAACACTGATGCAAAGGTCTTTACTCGACTACTCAATGCCCGTATGATTCCTGCTGCCAGCTCAATTGTGTCTCAATATCAAACCGGGTTTGTGAGGGGAAGGTTCATTGCTGACAATGGCATGCTCGTCAAGACCATTATGGAACAGGCCCGGCTCACTCAATCCACCAGTATTGGCTTGCTCTTGGATCAAGAAAAGGCTTACGATCGTGTACACCCCTCGTACCTGCGACAAGTCCTGCGCCATTTCCGTTTCCCTTCCTCTCTCGTCGATTGTATTTGCAACCTATTCTTCTCTACTCGAATACGAGTCAATGTGAACGGTCATATCTCCCGAGAACTTGTTCAGCACCGCGGTCTCCGACAGGGCGATCCTCTGTCCCCCGTTCTCTTCAATCTCGCCTTTGAGCCTCTTCTACGCCGCCTCCAACATGACCCTGAATTTTCTGGGTTTCTCCCACCTATCTCGCCAATCCTTCCAGCCCCCCCTCCAGTCAAATGTCTTGCATATGCGGACGATGTCATTGTTTTCCTCTCCACACCCGAATGTTTCACACGCCTCCACACACATCTTGCCACTTACTCTCGGGCCTCCAATGCCAAGATCAACATGGCCAAGACGGAGGCCATATCGCTTTCGGGACAACCACTTCCTCACTGGATCACGTTCCTACAGGCCCATCAAATAACATCCTGGCACGACCGTTCCTGTCCTGACTCCCTCCGCTACCTTGGCTTCCCTCTTGTCAGTTCGATTGCCCAACGCGATGCCTTTTGTTCCTCATTGTTAACAACCATACAATCTTCCTGCGCCATACACCTCACTCGATCCTTATCGATCCGGGGGCGTGCCACCGTTCTCAATACTCTCATTCTCTCCCGTCTCTGGCATGTCCTACGCGTGATCTCTGTTCCTGTGTCGTTTCTCGATAAAGTGAAGTCAGTCATGGGTCAGTTCTTGCAGCACCGAATGTTTCCTCCCATTAAGCTGTCCACTCTTTGTCTCCCTCTTCGTTCTGGCGGCCTTGGAGTATTAGATCCTTCTATACAACAAGGTGCTCTTCAGCTGCGCTGGTTACGTCCTCTCTGTCTCTCTCCTCACTCCACCTCTGGCTTAGTTCCTCCTTGGCTGTCCTTTCTCTTACGTTATCATACGTCTGGCACCGACCCCCAATTGCCACTTCTCTTCCACGATCTTCGCCCCCCCCCCCGATCTAACTGGCCTTGCAGGTTGCTTCCGCAACATATTCTCTGCTATTGATAGGCTCCCGCACGACTTCTCCTCCCTTGCCCCCAACATTGCTACGTGTTTAGCACTTCCCCTCCGCTCAGTATGCCTACCAGCCACAAGCACTACCTCCTTCCCTCCCTCCTGGCAACACCTCCGCGTTGAAGATGCCTTTCTTGTTGACCCTTCTTTCGACGTTCTCTGCCGTCGAGCGCCGGCTGATTTCCCACGCAACCCGCTCATATTGCGCAAGTTTTTCAAGAGAGTTGACTCTCGCGACATCTTGCTACAACCTTTCCTTGTTCGCGCTTTCCTCCCTTCTCATATCCTTCAGCTCAATTACCCTTCCATTCCTTCCCGTTCAGGTTCATCAATCAATGCTAGCCCTTTTGTTTGCGGCCTTTTACCTGGAATACCGTGGTCCAAGCTGAAACCTCGTATGTATCGTTCTCTTTGTTCCTCTTCTGTTTCTCCTCCCCTGTCGTCTACACTGTCCAGCTCACAATGGCGAATCTTTTGGAACCTTCCTATACACCACCATGTCCGCAACATCTGGTACCGAGGTCTGCACCACAAATTGTCATCCCGCTCCCTGTTGCATCGCATACTTCCTGGCCCCTTCCCCACCGACTCTTGCCCCATTTGTGAAGCCTCTACAGACACACTCGACCATTTCCTCTTCTCCTGCCCCCTCAAAATTGACGTTTGGTCTACATTCTGGCAAGATGTCTTTGGATCTAATCCTACTCTTCCTATACTCCATGATGCATTTTACAACCTGTCTTTCCCCTATACCCGCCCCTCTGATATTCACGCCGCCTCTCTCTTTAGCTGTGCCCTTCTGGCGATCTGGCGACATCATTGGTCCACGGTGTTCGACAATACACCTTTTGTATCTTCCACCGTCCTATCTACCGCTTCCCGCTTGGTTGCCATATTTAAGGCTGAAAAATCTCTTGATGACCTTGCCTGTTCTCTTGCTACTTAGCTCTACCTTTAGTTTTCCTTCTTACATATACACCTCAAAAAAAAAAGCAAAAACCCAAAAACAAATTTTGTGACGTGCGTCCTTTTTTTTTAGCTAGTGATCCTCACAATAAAAACCTGAGCTCTAATTGCTCCCTACAAAAAAAAAAAAATGATAGTAAAATTGAAACAAATTATACATCTTTAATCCAACCTATTATTTTTTTTTGTTTTGTTTTTAATTGTTCTATTTTATCATAGTTTTTATTGTAATGTAAAATTGGTTATAATTAACTATAAAAATAATAATCATTACGTATATATTAAAGGCTTGTTGTATCTTTCTAATCTTGTTTTGCTTTAAAGCACCATAAGAAGCAGTGCATTGCATATATTACCTACCGCGCAAATATTTAAAATCCTATTATTTGGTTTGGGCTCTCTTCAGAATTTCAACACCTACTTCTCATTAAGCACTGTGTATATCAGAAAATAATAGTAGGCTTATCCTAAGTTTTGCTTATTCAACGTTACAGGGGATATCAATAGTGGTCCTTTTCTTTTTACCTATCGATAAACCATGACCTTGTTATTATTTTCCCAGATCACCAGCATTTTATCAAATGAACAATTAATGTACCTAAATATGAAAGCAACCACTTCATATGTATATATATTTACCGGAATCAACTCTATAAAAATGGTACCTTTTGTACCAAGTACATATAATACACCAATTTTGGTTATAGCAACACATTTCATAAGAGTCAAAGTAATCAAGGTCTCATTCTCTGTTTTACTAATAGTCTGAGATTCATCAAAATATCTATTATTAAGCTTAGTATTTTCGTAATTGTATTATTACCACGTACTAGTTCATTATTCATGTACATATAATTCTTATGGTCTAGCACTATATTGAAACCATATTTTTGGTAGCTTTATATTTAATTCAAATTAGATTAACCCATGATTAATGCTTGCTGATGAAATAAATTTAATCGAATGACAGAAAAGAATCATTTTGTGTAATCGTCTCGCGTCTTTAAATCGCCCTAAAATAACAGACACTTCTTGTATAAAATTGATTGATGACAAAATGTCTTTGATATAGGGTATTGTTCTTTTGGTAAATAATGCCACCTTAAAAATAATATAATCTCCTCAAGAGCACTTTTATTTTTCTGGTTTGTTGTCTTTCATAAATGTCTCATGGCTGTAAAGTTACCTTTTTTTAGGATTCGATATTCTTGAAGAAAAAAAAAATACAATGACCAGCCTTGAATAAAAAGGAAAAAGGTGTTGTCTTATTGAAAACAATATACTCCTTTTTTCTCTTTTCAGTATGTCAGTATCTAGACTCCCACACGAGGTTCTTGTTAATATCGCATTCTACTTGCCGATAGAGTGCTGTAGCGAGACTGCATTAGTTTGCCGAGCATGGACGGTACCTTTCATGGAGAAAGCATGGAGTATAATCCAAATATCAACAGAAAAAAAAGCAAAAGCTCTATACAACCTACTTTTGAATGAAAAATCCCTTGTCCACAGCCATGTAGACGACGTAAAGAGCATCATTATCAACGGGGACGTCATCTTGCCCGAAAATGTATTTCTCTCTCTTCAAGACAATTTCCAGTCAGTAGTATATCTTCAGATCACCTCCAGCACTTTTCAGAACTACTGTACTTATCCATACCACAACTGGAAAAAATGGAAATCTTTGACCATACTTTACCTTCATGTTCTGAGCGATATATTCGGCATAGAGGATATCGTACCTGTGCTCTCATACCTGCCTAATATCGCCGAGCTCAACCTCGGAAATAGTCATGATCTCAGTCAATACAGTATGCGTTGGACACATTTAGATCTGTTACAAGAGCAGCTACCCAAACTCGATACCCTCATTCTGTACCTAGATCTCGAACCAATAGATACCACAGATTTTGAGACAATATCTTCAGGTCCCGTACATCCTAGGTTAATTTCTTTTTCCTACTATGGAAAGCCCTTTTCCATGACATGGCTTTATTATTGGGCTAAAAGATATCCACAGCTATGCGAACTTTACAGCATTTGTCGCCCAGTCGAGATACCGAAAGTCGAAACCACAATATCTGTACTACAAGCAATGCTGAAACTGAAGGACCCACTAAACCACTTGGAAACGGCTTTCTTTAGAAGCAATCCGCGTGGTGGAATTATAGACCCCTCTTTTTTACAGATACTCTTCTTAAATACAAACCACTTGATGGATGTCAACTGCCTCGTTTCTACACGAGACGAAGATTCATCCAACACAACTAGCGTACTAAAAGCCTTGATGCGATCATACAAGTCTCTTTTAAGACTTACACTGGAAATTAAGGAATACAGCTCATATCCAACCTCAATAATCAATTCATTCAAGATTTGTCCTTCTTTGGTAGTCTTGGATATCAAGTCCAGAGGAACTGTATTCAAGCTTGACCAAATCTTAAACTATTTCCCGGTTTTGGTGACAATGAAACTCAACATTAAAAAACTCTGCCTCAGTCAAAGTGCCAACAAACTTCCGCCAAGCCATTCTCTGCGAAATTTTGAAATTCAAAATGCTGATTTTGATTTCAGTCTGTTCAGTTATCTCTCTAGACGCTGCTACTTCATAGATACGTTCTTTATGTCTCAAGTACTGATAACCGAATCACCCTATCTGTGGCATGGATATATCTTTATCGACATGCCGTTCAGTTCATTTACATCAATAAAGTTTGATCGCGTATATGTTCGTGGAGTAAAAGGTCCTATCAACAATATGAAAAATGTGCTGCTATCGATTACCCAGCTTTATGACCAGCATTGTCGTATAGATTTGTTGCCTGACCTCAAAGCCAAGATCAAGGGTACTATCTTATTTAAAGGATATATAGAAGAGAACACCGATTCCGATATAAGGTGGGAAAATATTGCAGATAAAGATTCAAGTGAATTTCTTGCAAATTTCGAAAGCATTGAAGCCGGAAACAAGATCCCACTTCGCCAATTTAAACCCAAAGGATGGTTTGAAATACTTACTTGCGTATCCGATTGTGAAGATACTTTAGATATAGAAGTCATTCCGTTGAATTACATCAAAATTCGATGCGAAGTTATTGAAAGCTTTGATCTTACTTATAAAAGTTCAATATAGACGTGTAATCATACTCTTCTTAAAATAAGTGTAATACTATCAATAAAAGAAAAAGTACATATTACAAGAATAAAAATAAAAAAATACTTTATTTTTTAAAACAGATCGAATAAATCATCATCATAGTTTTCAAGAATAACTTTGTACATTTCTCCAGATGTTCTACAATTAAGTAGCATACGACTTATGGTTTTGTCTGCTGAAAAATTATGAAACAAGACAGGAATTGCGTTAATAGCATCCTCTTCGCTGAAAAGATTAAAGTGTATGAAGCTTTTTGTTTTCAGGATCCAGAATGCAACGTCTTCTTCCGGAAATAGGTCAGAATGGAACGGGTAGTCAGAGAATATTCTTCTTGCTGCATTGCTATTGATTTCAGTGCATTGTTTTCCGGTTTCCTTTGACTGCCTTTGGTCCCTATTATCTATGGTCTTGATTGTAATTCGCTTCGTGTCGACTTCGTGCCTGAAGTTATTATTAAAAGCCAATTTCGAGAGCTCCTCAGGAAAAGTGCTTTTTCCTGGCCTTTGTCTTTCTACTTTCATAATTTATATTTTATACTCAAAATGATTTCTGAGGATGACTGGAAAAGATAAAGTAACAAATAAAGATAGATAAACGTTTAGTTCATTTTATATAATATATTCACCAAAAAAAAATAGGGATACTTCATGTACTTCATTATTCCCCCCAAAACAACTTTTACTGTGGTCAGTGACCTGCCCAATCCTGTTTTTATCTTACCCTAGTATATCATATTGTTGATAAATGGAATTTTCAAAAACTTATAGCAGTATATAAAAGCTGAAACTCTTACCTATGAACTCTCAGAGTGCAAACTAGCCCCAGAAGAAAATAAGAAAGTGTCTATTAATACCAGCGCACAATTACATATACTGTGGTCTTATTAGCTACTCAAGATTGCTTGGCATAGCAAATTTGAGCAAAAATCAGGATCAGGTTTCATACATGTTAACGTTTATATGGGATAGCTTCTGTTTAATCTCTTATTTAAATATACTGCAAGTTTTCAATATATAGATATATATATATATATATGTACTTTTATTATTATATTAAGATATCATAATACGATAAGCATTCCAAAGCACTAGATTCAATATCTACAGACACACACACAATCAAAAGCTTGTATAACTGTATTTTATAAAGCTGATCCAGCAAATTACCAAGTAAAATATAAGATAAAAAACTCTACTTGTATTATTTGAAGAAAAACACACTAAAAGTGCCTCGAACATAAAGTAAAATATTATCTATATAGTCTGCCATAGTACAAACTGATTCCAATAAACACAATTAATAGTGTATAAATGCATGTATATTAAGCAAAAAAAAAGCGTTGTAAGCTCGTAATATCAATCTTTTATTCATTTTGTTTGCTAATTTTATCTTAGGATAGCGGACTAAACTGGCTTAAGATAGCTTCATACATTTCTTTAGAGGTATATAAAGGATTATGTACAATATGACGGTCATACCAAACTCTGACCATTCCAGAAAGATGAGCAGGTATAATATACAAAGCATCTTGCTCATTGAATTCGTGAAAATGAATATACATTTTCATATCGTTAATCCATGAATCGACTAATTTGCAACGGCCAGAAAAGACTGGAGGTGTCTTGTTCAAGATAGGATTGTTTCTTATAGTCTCTTCCTTGAGTGTGTATGGAGATGTTTGTGACATTCTTTCTAGGACATCGGTGGAGCTTGAATAATTTTCACAATCTTTAAACTTCGTAAGTTTGGAAATGTATACTCTGATTTCCGCCAAAGAAACTGCTATAGATTGAATATAGTGTTTGGCTATCTTGCTGGGGCTCATGATTTACAATTAGTTAAAGTAAAGAAGTTTGAGAATGTATGTCTAACGCTATTTAAATATAATCAAACATTATTTGTGATACATATGAGTTGCGTTTTATCAGCATTGTTCAACCTTTGTTTATTTGCTCAGAAAATTCGTTACAGAAACGCCTACTTAAAAGTATTACAGGTCCCGGGATATTGAACGCCTGTACTGACTTGGACCTTAAGTCAGCGAAAGTTGTTGTTGTTGTTAGTTGTTGTTAACCTGTTATATATATATATATATATATAGTTTGATAGATTGGGTAATAGCACAAATGTATATTCTGGTAAAGATGTATACAAATGAAGACTACTCCCCTTACTTCTTTATTTACACTTAAGTTATAGTATTGAGATGGTTCACTGAAAAGATGATAAGCCAACATTTTAAAGTAATTTGTTTTTCTATTATATCATAAATGTAAAACATGAAAGCAATATTTATACGCATGCTTCTTTTTTAACAGAATATAAATCTGTGTTATCACCAAACCTGCCCCACTGTATATATATATTTAATTGAAAAGCTATGGACCGTGTACTTCATGATATATTATTCGTCTAAAAATTAAGGCCAGACGGCTTACCACACAACAATCGAGCTTTTAATTAAACCATTTAGAATTATGAGGTTTTGGGCACATGATTTTTTTTAAAAAAAAGACAGGCAAGAAAACTATGAAGCCATTTCGTTTTATTTATTTTTCTTTTATATATAATGGTTAAGCGATATTTCATGAAAAGAATAACCTGAGCTGTTAATATTATAAAACGAAAGCATGCAGCATAAGGAGCCATGTATAAGAAATATGATAAAAAGATATGGTATTCAGATGAATTTTATGTGCAAAGCCTGCTAAGCTTTAATGGCTCTAAACTAATCCAATTTCATTCTTTATTTTTGTGAAGGCGAAGTAGGGCTGTAGCTTGGCGAAGTAGGGCTGTAGCTTGGCGAAGTAGGACTATAGCTTGGCGAAGTGGGACTGTAGCTTGGGCTAGTAGGACTATAACTTGGCGAAGTAGGAGAGTAGCTAGGGCTGGTTGGCGAATAGCTTGGTGAAGTGGGGCTGTAGCTAGGGCTTGTAGGCGAGTAGCTAGGAGAGGTTGGACTATAGCTAGGCGAAGTAGGTGAATAGCTAGGACTTGTAGGGCTATAGCTTGGTGAGGTTGGGCTATAGCTTGGCGAAGTTGGACTGTAGCTAGGCGAAGTAGGCGAGTAGCTAGGCGAAGTAGGGCTGTAGCTTGGTGATGTCGGCGAGTAGCTAGGCGATGTGGGACTATAACTTGGTGATGTAGGGCTATAGCTAGGCGAAGTAGGCGAGTAGCTAGGACTTGTGGGACTATAGCTTGGCGAGGTTGGGCTGTAGCTAGGACTTGTAGGACTATAATTAGGTGAGCTAGGCGAGTATGATGGACTAGTAGGCAAATAGCTTGGTGATGCTGGAGAGTATCCAGGTGATGTTGTATAATTTGGACTGGTGGGGGAGTAGCCTGGAGAAGTAGGGGAGTAGCCTGGACTATGTGTACCAAATGGTGTGAGATCTCCACGCCAGGGGCTTGATCCTGATGGACTTCCAGATCCACCAGAGTTGCCCATCGGTGAGAAGAGAGGTTCAGAGGGTGTTCCTGGTTGAGAGAAATCTACCCAATCCGGAGATCTTGTATCATAAGGTGTGGCTAAGTTAGGTGTCATATATCCTGGACCAGGTGTAGCGAATCCAGCAATATCGCCTGCTACGCCATTGGGCATTAACTGGCGGTTGTCTTGCTGAACAGTCTTCAGCATCTCCTCATCCAACATAACATCGAATTCACCAGTACCAAGGGGTGCCATCTGACCGAGCATAATGTTCTCAGCAACACCTCTGCAATCATCAAGTTCACCAACAGCGGCAGCCTCCATAAGAATTTCGACAGTTTCTTCGAAAGAACATCTCATAAGTGCACCAGTTTCAGCTCTGTTAATACCGTGTCGAGTAATGGCCATAAGATGTCCACGGTTGGTCATTACATCACAAAGCAAGGCCAAATGGCGATAGTTTACGTAAGAGCCATCAAATTCAATGACGTTACGAAGTTCCTTGAGAAGTGCCTTGCGGGTAGCCTCAATACCGAGAACCTCCATGATTTCAACTGTGTTATTAGAGTATGTTCGTCGTTCATCAACACCATGCTGACTCATAACCTCCTGCAAGTTAATGCCATCGGTATCAAGACCCCACTCCTGGGTAGTCTCAAATTCACCCTTTGCATTCAGAATAGTTTCTTTACGTTCCACAATATACACCTTCTTGATACCAGTAATACCACGAAGATTGATAGAGCTTAGCAAACTAACTTCGAGCTTACGCAAGAAAGTGTCTTCTTCACCCTTTGTCTCGTCATCGTCGTCCTTATCTTCGTTCTCATCCATCATAACTCTGCATCGAATAATCAACTTTTCAGAGTTCTCATCACTGCCAATAACGTGAAGATCGTGACGGAATTCTTCAGAAATCTTCTGTACAACCTCGGTAATGTTCAAACGCTTATCGATCATCATACCACGGTTGAGTTCGAGACGCAACAACCAAGGCGAGACACGGGTAACGACTGGTGAGTTATCGTCTTCCAGCTGGTAGTATGTATCGACAAAGTCTGCATCTTCTTCAATAATAGTGGTGCGCGGGTCAGGATCGTAGTAAATCTCGGCAGCGGAGGTGACTCTGTGCAAGGTTGTGTGTTCCAAGTTAACCTGAACTTCCTTGGCCAACTCAATGTTGCGAGATCTCTCAGCATCCAGCCAGACTTCCAATCGAGGGGTCTTGATGTTTTTGGCAACGTTGATAATTTCCTTAAGACGAGGTACACCAAGAGTTACATTCTTACTGGACACACCAGCATAATGGAAAGTATTCAACGTCATCTGTGTAGCAGGTTCACCGATAGACTGAGCAGCGATGGTACCGACCATCTCACCAGGTGCAACTACAGCAGTTAAGAATCGAGATTCAATCTCTCCAATAATCCTATAAAAAGTTCGTTAGTGGTTATGTGATTAATGGACGCGCTTTTGCTTTTCATACCATTCGAATGCTTGCGATGTCAGGTGGAATTCTTCTACTACTCTCTTGGCAGCAAATGTAGAACGGAGAAGAATATTGAAAAGGGTCGTTGCATTTCTTTGTACTTCGGCAGTAATCTTGTCATTTCCTCGAATTACCAGTAAACGCTCTGAAAGTGCTTTGAGACTGTCAATTACTTGAAGAGGATGTACGTCTGATGGCTTTCGGGGATCAATATGGAAAATTTGCTGTGAGTTGGTGACCAAGCGGTGAAGATTGACAGGTAGCGGCCATTTGTCCTCTCCGTTCTTGAAAATAAATGTTCTCAAGAGTTCACGATCTTCGGAAAGTTGGTTGAATTCTTGATCCAGCAAAACCTGACTATCACCACCCTCAATACGTTTGAGAATGTTATAGTTCAGAGAACCCTTTCTGAAACCACCACTCGACATATCTACTCTGTATTTCTTCACGAACTGAGGAGGAGAACATCTAAGAGAAGCAAACTTCTGTTTTTCCACAAAGCATGCGTCCATTCCATCTTCACCATAACTGAACTGGATAATATCACCAAGCGAGTTACGAACAGTACCATCATATTTAACCATAACATCTTCCAATGCCTTGACAAGACGACGCTGAATATAACCAGTCTCGGCAGTTTTTACAGCAGTATCAATCAAACCTGAGACATTATAAATAAGTACGTTGTTTAGTTATCTATTTATTTTTCTTACCTTCACGTCCACCCATAGCGTGGAAGAAGAATTCTGTGGGTGTAAGACCTCTGAGATAAGAGTTTTCCACAAAACCACGACTTTCAGGAGTGTGATCATCCTTGGAGAAATGGGGAAGAGTACGGTTCTTAAAACCGAAAGGAATACGTTTACCCTCAACATTCTGCTGACCGACACATGCAGACATCTGAGAAATGTTAATGAAAGAACCCTTGGAACCAGCAATAACCATCTGTTTGACGTTGTTGTCATCTTTCAAGTTGTTTTGCGCCATTTTACCAGCATCATCACGAGCCTTGTTCAACGACTGATTGACCTTGGCTTCAAAAGATTCACGCAATGTCATACCAGGTTGAACTTCTAATTTATCTTGTTGGGCTGTGATAATGATCTCGTGCACTCTTTGTTTTGCGTGTGAAATGATGTCCGTGATAGTTGCCATTGTAACCTTATCAGCAATAGTATCTCCAATACCGATACTAAAACCATTTTGTAGCAGCCAGTAATTGACGACCTGCTGTGTTCCAGTTAAGAAGTTCTTTGCGGCTTCAGGACCAAGTTCGTTAACAATGGTATGAATCAAACCACCACTGGTGGTACCTACTGTCTTTTTACAGACAATACCACACAGCAGTTCTCCGTTCTCAATTACCACACGTGTATCTCCGGGTGAAATATAAGTGTTTTCCTTGTCTGGATGTGTAGAGTGGAATGTTTGACAATTGATACCGCGTGGAATAACCATACTGACGATTTGTTTTCCAGTCCACATCGGTTTCGGCTTCAAGATTGCAGGAGGTGGGATATAACCATCCCAATCGGGGACCCACATAACGATATTCATCACAACATCCTTTGTAATAAAGCAGTCTCTAAGAGTAAACTTGCGGATACCACACAGTGTATCCTGCACAATACCCATGACGGGTTTGTTTGACTGCGGAGATACGATCTGCTTGGGAACCATACAAATTTCTGTGACTTCAGCACGGGTCTCAAGTGATTGAGGAACATGCAAATTCATCTCATCACCATCGAAATCTGCGTTGTAAGGCGATGTGACGGAAAGATTAAGACGGAAAGTAGAGTAAGGCATTACACGGACTCTATGACCCATCATGGACATCTTATGGAGAGAGGGTTGACGGTTGAAAATGACTACATCGCCGTCATTGATGTGTCTTTCTACTCTGTAGCCGTACTGAAGAGGAATTTCACCAGCACGTTTGCGATAGCGTAAATCAATGCGCTCTCCATTGTCACGAATAACGTATTTGGCACCAGGATGTTCTAATGGACCGTTTCGGACCAAGACCTGGAGTTTGTCAATGTTGTAAGGGGTGACAATTTCGGGGTATGTCAAGTTGCGTGCAATACTACGAGGTACACCAACTTCATCTAGTGACAGGTTGGGATCACCTGTAATAACCGTACGTGCAGAGAAATCTACACGTTTACCCATCAAGTTACCACGGAGACGACCTTCCTTTCCCTTCAGTCTTGCTCTGATGGATTTAAGCTTTTTTAAAAAGTAATGTATGTTTTAACCAAAATGTTCTTGAAAATCGGTATATATATATTTGTTTATGCAAACAAATACTTACAGGTCTGCCTGATTTTTGTAATGCTTGAGGTTGTCCTGCAATATCGTTATCCATATATGTAGCAATATGGAACTAGATTATAAAATTTAGCGTTAAATTGTACACGAGTGTTATATATATATATATATATATATATATACCTGTAACAATGCTTCAAACTCTTGAACGACGTGGACTGGTGCACCTTCGGACTCGCATCGTCTAACGTTCGCATTGGCTTTCAAGATATCGGACAGTTTATGGGTCAAATCATCTTCACCTCGACTGGTGCCGTCCATTTGAATACTAGGTCGGACCTGAGGAGGAGGTACAGGCAAGACTGTGGTAATCATCCATTCAGGACGAGCGAATTCTTCCGAAAGTCCCATATCACGAATATCTTGATCCGTGATATTCTTTAAGATCTGCAAAACTCTACTTGCTGTCAACTGGGTGCGTCCCTCTCCTGGTGTTTCCTAAAACCGATTGAAAGACATATCAATTAGATTATATGAGTAGCTAATATTTGATGAAATAATTACCTCACTAGCAGTAGAACGGAACTGGGCATACAGCTTAAGACCATCCTTACGAATGGCAGGCTGTTTGTAGCCACACCCACCATGGGCGTGCTTGCGCTTTCCATCCATGGTTTCCTTCTCCTCCATACCCTCTTCGGCTTCTTCACCACCGTCACAATTCATCTTTGCCTTTGCGATATCCCATACTGCTCGCAACCTTGCCTTGGGATCTCTAATTTTTCGTGCTCTAACAAAGCGCGGATTTGACTGTAAAAACAAAAAGAGATGTAAGATTTTGCTTTCTGATTAAAGCTTTCTCTTTCTCTTTCTCGACTACGCACGTCATCGACTTTAAGTTTTGAACAATGGAAGCAGACGCATTCTAAAATCTTCTTCACTTTTGTAAGGAAACCTATAATCCAGGATATATCAGCATTACATCATCAGCAACTGAAATTTGCTGATAAATTACCAATGTGGTAGACGGGTTTTGCAAGGTCAATATGACCAAAGTGACCGGGACATTCAGCCATGCCTTCACCACAAGTCTGACACTTGTAGTTACGGTCAATAGTACCCATCCGAGGGTCAAGAAGACCTCCTGCTCTGGGTTTCTGACTGCCTTCATCGTACAGTTCGGGGAACTCGATTTTGGCGACAGACATTGCTTTCTGTAAATCAAGATGATAGTAGTTAGAACAACGATCTTGTAACAGACATGCCGTAGCGATCATTGCTCTTTTCCTTTGACATGCAAAGGATCCGAGTAACACATACAATCTCATCGGGGGAGAGAATACCAAATTGGACCACGTCGACACGTCGCAATGGGGCAGATGAGAATGCAAAAGTATGCCCACTCATTCTGTATATTTATGAATGTTTGATCAGGAAAGATTGTTTAAGAAACACAAAGTATAATGCAGAGCAATTGATATTTGCGTATTAAAAAGAAAAGTTATTTTTTTGTTTTTTTTTCTCTTTTTGTTTTTCTGATGGTCAAATGCCGTATATGTGTTTGTATATATGTCGTTGTTAAAAGATGTTAGACGGTGACGGCCAGAACAATCAGGTAAGCGTTCTAGAATCACAGGAGATACTTGTTGTTCGAACAGATGAAAGGTTCGAACAAAAGAGCTAAAGGGCGCGCAGCAGTGAACGTCAGCGTATAAAAGCGAGAGAATCTGCTATATGCACCACCTCTAGTATTGAAAACAACACTTATTGTGACGTAAAATCTTTAAATAAACCTCCGCCTCACCAATAGGAACCCTCAATGATTTTCCTAACCCGTGCTTCTGCCATTTGTTTGATTTAGCTTTGAACTTACATCATTGGATATTTATAAAAGCTCTTGTGGATTAAGTATATAAAAGATTATCTCATTGACTTTTGAAATTTCTAATGGGCAAGCATAATTATGAGAGCTTCAGAGAATCTTTCGGAGATTCTTGCTTATTTAAGATCAGCATCTTAAATGGATTATAGTTAATGAACTTTGTCTACAAAATTCTTGAATATTATGTTCTTTTGTATAAATACATAGCTTCTGTAATTTTATAGAAATTTTGTATTATAAAAACTAAAATCTATTACTTATAAGACAGATAGATTAATGTAAGCTTTACAATGTGTTTACTAGGCTCATAATAGGCTGATATCTGCCCAAAAAATAAGCTTTATAAAGCAATTTACCAGTTTATTCTTGCATATGGATGGTTCAACTAAATTATTCATATATTGTAATAATGTAATAATTCCTTTCTTACTCAGAAAGCATGTCAATACTTTGGGCAACTAATTAGCTATAAGCAGTTTTTAGGCTCAACACATTTAGATAGATCAAATTAACTAATATACAAAGTAAACTTATAGTTTCATACCTTGCGAAAAAAAAACATATAAGCGCACGCTTATATACCCATTTATACATATTTTAATCTTCCGAGCTTTCTCGCTACTCTTCATACTTCTTTTAATGCAATGTTAAAGCCTTTGTGCCATATTTGTGACTGTTCATGGACGTTTGATCGCCCAAAATATTTTCGTTACAAGAAGCTGAACAAGCACGCTTTGTAACAGTAACAATGCGCAGTCTTCCTCTTCTTAATCATAGTTGCGTCTCATTAGAGCGCAAGCCATTGTCTACAGCACGCTCATTTATCGCAAATGATCCCGAATCCCAGACAATTTATGTTGCTTTTGAAGACAATGAATCGTACATTGAGATCATGGCCACGGGTCTCTCTCCTATCGATCCTTTAGCATTCGTTCCTATTGCTCGCATACCTTTGGCATTCCAGGAATATTCTTCAGGATCTATTGTTGATTTTACTTTCTTGTCTGATCTTCAAGTTGCCTGTTTAAGTACTCGTCAGGGCGATATTATGTTGATCAGCAAAGAACGCTTTGAAAAGGGCGAGGAAGCGGTAATTCATTTTTTTCTCTTCGAGAAAAACATAATACTTATGAGCTATTATTATAGGTAGAAAATGTCGGTACTGTCGATGCAGGCATCAACGCAATGACATGGAGTCCTGATCAAGATTTAGTGGTGTTGGTAACAGGTAGGACGAATACTCAAAATATGGATTGTAGCTGTCAATCAGAAGCCAAAATAAAAATACTAATATCGATTTTATTTCTCTTAATAACACCAGGCGAAAAAAATGTGCTTGAGATGACCCAAGACTTTGACACAATCACAGAGTACCCCCTTCATGTGGAGGAAGAGGGTGAAGGTAATTAGATTTTTAAACAAATTGCTCAAAAATTTGAATGAATTGTTTACAAAAATTATCATAATAGGTGTGCAACAAAGTGTTGGCTGGGGTAAGAAGGAAACCCAGTTCCACGGATCTGCCGGAAAAGAGGCTGCACAACAGAAAGTGGATACCAGCAAATTCACGGTTTCCGAGGATGATGATTGTAAACCCCGTATTTCATGGAGAGGTGACGGTAGTCTATTTACAATCTCTGACATGGATCCTTTGAAGGGTAGGTGGATACTGCATTAAAACTTTAGAAAACAAAGTTATTAATAGCAAAATAAAACAAAAAATATAGATGCTCGAGTTATTCGTATCTATAACCGTGAGGGTGTGCTGCAAAATACAAGCGAGCCAGTTGATCGTTTAGAACATGTTTTAGATTGGAGGTAAACTATATAATGTTAATTAAAGTACTGTAGCTTATATGAGAGCTAACCATTTTTTTGTTGTTGTTGGAATTTGGGGTATAGACCATCTGGAAACCTTATTGTTTCTAGTCAAAGACTTCCTCACCGCCATGACATTGTCTTTTTAGAAAAGAACGGTTTACGACATGGTGAATTTTCATTAAGAGAGACGGGAAAACATAGGGTTCTGGAGGTTTCTTGGAACGCAGATTCGACTGTCTTGGCTGTATGGATTGAAGCTGAATCGGCATCTACTGGAAAAATGCAAAAAACTGGTAATTTTTGTTTTATCATAAGTATTACTTGTAATCAATATTCTCACTATTCTACTAAGTTCAATTCTGGACATCAAGTAACTATTACTGGTACATGAAGCAGCATATCGTTCTTTCCGAAGGTGCTGATATTGTTGGATTTAAATGGGATGTTGAATCTCCTCTGAAGGCTTATATTATGAGCACAAGTAAGGAATATATATTTAGGATAAAAGGAAAGAGAAGAAAATATTTTATACTAACTTTCGAACAATTATCAAGCTGGACATTATCATAGCTTCAACTACACATGGGATGTACTCTGTAGCACATCTGTATCCGAAGAAAACTCTAGTTACGTTGCTATTGTCGACGGAGGTAAACACGTAATAACTGGATGAGGTTTTGTGTAAAAAGTAACTTATTATATTTTGTTTTTAGCAACCGTTCTCTTGACACCATTTGCTTATCAGAATGTACCTCCACCAATGTCCTCACTAAAAGTACCTACAAAGGGCAATGTTCTGGGTGTTACCTTTGGACCAGAACCTACAGGGACTAAAATGGCTGTTCTTACAACAGAAAGAATCCAGATTTTCAGTCTTTCTGCTAATGCTCGTGAGAACACCGTTACAGTAGGATCACTACTCCTCCCGTAAGTATATGAGTAGCAGCTTTTATATTCATGTGTGTATCTTAACATGTTGAAATGAATAGAAAAATTGATTCAAAGAGTGCGGCTCACTTCCACAATCCTATCCGACAACTCCAATGGATCAAAGAGACACAATTTGCCTATGTGCAATATGATGACGAGCTTTCTACAGACATGTTGTGTATTGCTACCTTTTCCCCCGAAAAGGAAGACAGTCTTACCGTGAAATCTACCCCAATTGATGCTAACATTGGTCGTATGTACTTTAATGTTACAAACAACGACTTGATTGCAGAAAGCACCAATGGAACTGTATACGAAGGTAATTACCATCTCTGACAAATTATGCTACACTTATAAATACATACTAACTTGTTGGAATATTAGTTGACATTGGTACTGGTGACCATCCTGTCATTTCTGAAGCCATCAAATTTCCTGATTTTTGTCCTTGGATCGCCACAGCTCGTCTTGGTACTCAGGAGAGTGATCTCGAGGTATGTATGAAATTAAGTGCTATATACTTATCGTGCAAATATGTACTCAATACTCGCCCGTCTATAGAAAATCTTTATTGGATTGACTGACCGCAGCAAGCTTTACGTTAATGATCGTTTGATTTCATCCGAATGCACTTCATTTTTCCTTCGTAGTGACTGGATTGTTTTCACTACAACGAGTCATACTGCACGTTTCTTGTCTTTAAGTACAACTCTTGACGGTAATTATTTATATTATATTGCTCCTATAAAAAAGTAAAATATAATATTTGCTTATAAAATTTACTCTAGATTTCAAACTTTCTGATAACATCCCCGATGCCAATGACGAGTCTTCGCGTCGCCTTGAACGTGGTGCAAAGATTGTTATTGCAACACAGCTAAAGCCTAACCTTGTCCTTCAGGTACGCAAAAGTGATTAAGGCATAGCCGAATGTTATATAACACGTATTAAATGGAAGGATAATTGCATAGATGCCTCGTGGAAACTTGGAAACAATTAGTCCTAGAGCTTTTGTTTTGGCTTCAATTTGTGAAGATATCAAAAAGTATGGTGATTATATTAAAACGATGCATTTTACTATATATCGATATTAATGTGTATTCTCTACCTATGTCTCAGTCTTAACTATCGATCTGCCTTTATTGCTTGTCGCCGCAATCGTATAGATCTTAATATTCTATACGATGAAAATCCTCAGCAATTCTTTGAAAATATAGAACGTTTCGTTGAACAGATCTCTGAAGTTGACTATCTCAACTTATTCCTCTCAAACCTTAGGTACTCACTCGTGCGTGTATTATATGGACATCAGTTAACCATTTGATCCATAGAAACGAAGATACAACAACAACTATGTACCGTAGACGTGGTCGCATTGATGCATCCAAGACCGATGTAAAGTAAGGCCTTTTATCAATTATTTTTGAAACTACAAAAATTTCTAATCTACTTTTATAAACTTTAGATTGGATATCAAGGTCAACACAATCTGTGAAGCAGTCAGAAATGTCCTGATAAAGTTGGGTCGTAAACGCTATATCCAGTCTATTTTGTCTACATATGTCAGAAGCTCGCCACCGGATCTTGAATCTGCTTTGAATCTCTTGGCAGAGATCAAAGGTAACTATAATTTTATCTACCATTAATATGTTACAAAACATTGATGTTTCTCTTAACTGATAGAGGCCGACATGAGTGAGGCTGAAGATGCACTTAAGTATACCATTTTCTTGTGTAATGCTGATAGCCTATATGATGTCGCGCTGGGAATGTATAACTTCTCGTTAGTCCTCATGGTTGCTCAACAAGCCCAAAAGGTAAAAACTGTAAACTAGTTGAAGCCGATCTTAATATTAACTTTCTTACCTGATCATATTAGGATCCTAGAGAGTATCTGCCTTTCTTGCAAGAACTTCAAAGCTTAGAGAAATACTATCAACGTTTCCGCATTGATGACCATTTGAAACGACATGATAAGGCTTTAAGAGATCTCAGTCTTGCTGGTATGTAGTATGATGAGATACACAATTGATAAGAAAATAACAATACTCCCCTGCTTTAGGCGACGAACTGTTTGATGAACTTGTCGAATACATGAAGAAGCATTCTCTTTATTTGACTGCACTTAATGTTTATGCAAACAAACCTAAACAGAAACGAGTAAGATGAATACTTCATGATAATATATATATATGTGTGTACTAATATCTTTATAGGTTATACTGGAGGTTTATGGAGAATACTTAACTCATAAAAATGCTTACGATGAAGCAGGAATTGGTACATTAAAATTTTATGTTTATAAATTACAGTATCATTTTACTTGTAGAAAAGAAAAAAAAACAAAAATTAATCACTTTAATAGTATTTACATTGGCAAATAATCTCGAAAAGGCGCTTCAGGCATACCGAATGGCAGGATCATGGCGAGAGTCATTCTCATTGGCTAAACAGATGAGCTACACTGATGAGCATATCCACGCTTTGGCCTATGACTTGATCGGTAAGAACTTGAGAATTTTATAACGAAATTGTAGTAATTAATTTGCCATGTTTAGAGTATATGAAGGAAAAACGTCGTTATCAGGAAGCTGCAACTATCGCAAATGATTATGCCAAGGTAAATGTCCCTAAATAATAGAAGATAGATGAATTGTCATATAACTTACCTCATCGCCTCATATTTATTTATTAAGGATATTGAAGAAGCTGTTGATTGCCTATTGAAGGGCAGCTTATGGCAAGAGGCCATTCGCATGGTAATGTTCATTATTTAGACGATTTAACTGCACTAATGACTAATATCATATCTTTTACTTTTCAGTCACATACTCATAACCGAGCTGATCTTATTGAGACCCATGTGAAGCCTGGACTTATCGAAGGTATACATTGTCGAAGTTATTTTATAGAAAGAAATCAATTTGACTTTAATCTATTTGTGTAGGTTACTCTCAGACTGATGAAGAAATTGATGACATGACAGCGCAATTCAACAAGCAAAAACTTCGATTGAAAGAATTGCGCGAAATTAAACCTGAACCCAGTAAGTCTTGAGACGCATTGTCATTGATATTTTATTCACTAATAACTATTGTAGCCAATGTTTTGCCAAATGATGATACGCTTGACAATATTGATATGTTCTCTGATACAACATCGATGTACAGTCAGTTCACGCGCTATACACAGGCAACTTCTCGTGTATCAACTGTGTCTTCCAAGGGTAGCACGTAAGAATTAATATATATATATATATATATATCGTAAAAAATAGTAATAACTAATGGATATTTGAAAAACTTGCGTGCAGTAAAAGCAAGAAAACATCGAAACTTAGAAAGCGGGAAGAACGCAAGAGAGCTCGTGGAAAGAAGGGTACTGTCTTTGAGGAAGAGTATATTGTCAACTCACTCAAACGTCTATGTGAAAAGGCCAGCACAATGCAAAGTAAGTACTATTTATTTGTTAAAGTAACTTCCCCGTCTAACTCACATAATTATATAGATGATCTTAGTAACCTCCTGAGAGCATTGGCGCCCTTTGGTTTCGTTGAGGAAGCCAGAGCTATACAGGATAAGTTTGATAAATTCCTCAAAGAAATTACAGGCGCTATTCCCACAATATTTGTTCCTTTGCATTTGGCTACAAGTCAGGTAATTATATTTGAATATACATAATTTTATACTTTAAATCTAATCTGACCAATGCACATATAGTTTGCTACCCAGGAAGAAGCCAATGAAGCACCTGCACCAGTACAAGTTGAAAAGCCGGTTATGGCAGATATTCAGTGGAAACTACAGATTCTTTAGGATTAATAGTTTCAATAATAAATGAGCATCAGAATTTCTATAAACTTTAATAAAAAAAAATTCATATCATTAATTTATTATGTTTTATTTTGGCTTTATATAAAATAAAGTTACTGTCTATGTCAGCTTTGTATAACTCGGGGGAGCATATCTACGCTTAATAAACTTAACAATGTACAATGGAAAACTACTAACTGCTGTCATAACAGCAACCTTCCATACAAATCCCCATGTCAAGATAAAGGTCATGTCTAAGAGAGTAAATTATAAGAATGATATTTATGCAGACTTGAAAAAATATAGTGTATTGCTTACCAAAATAAGTAGGTAATAGCCACATTGAACCAATATATATCATAATTGTCACCAGCTCTGATATTACCATAATACGGTGCCTAATAATATTGTGATTATATTAACCTATGATAATCAATAGTGTATGCCATATAATTTAGTTACCAGGTATTGATTTCAAGTGCAACCATCAGGAGTTCGTTAAGAATTAAGGCAGTGAACGAAATTGAAACAATATGAATAAATTCATCTTCAAACAGTAGGATGGATAAAACCATAATTGATCCGCCTTCGTAACATTGAGTAAGCATCAAGAGCATTAAATATATATACGAGATAATATGGTAATATTACCTTGGTAAACGCTAATAAGTAGCCAAGTGAAAAAAGTACGATTGGATAGTGAACGTCCCTTTCAAAAGGTAAAAAAAAAATACGTTAGTAAAAAGTATATCTGATTTACAAAATCTACTAGCTTACCTTTGTTAGCTCTTTGTAAAGCTCAGGGTATAGAAGAGCAATATCTTCGTTGACATCTTGATCTAAAACAAGTGAGAATACAGGCGCCATGGTGTACAGTGTAGCATAACTGTATTTTTTATATGTAATTAACCATGCCAATTAGAAATAAGTTAGAAATATATGTGAATAAACAAGAAGAGTTTACCCAACAATAAGCATGCCCTGATAAAGAGCAATGGGCGCAAAATAAAAAAGAGCAGAGAATACGGCTTGCATAACGGATATAATTAAACCACGATGAATGACAAATTGTGATAACTTTGCAGATCTCTTATAGCTGTTACGACCATGCCATACTAAAATAGTTGATAGTATATAAGTACTTGAGCCTAATATTATCTGGCGATATTAGCCACTTACACAATAATTTTGTCAGATGGCTAAATTGAGTGATGGAAAAGTCTGCAGCAAGGGAGGCTTGCTTTCCTTCTTTACCAACAATACCAATTCCTACAAGCATATAACCATTTGGAGTCAACAAAGCAATTCAGGCCGCTTTTTCTTCTAAGTGACCTTACCAACATCGGCAGCCTGAATCATGCTCACATCGTTGCCACCATCACCAATACATAAGACGCGCTTGCGAGTATATTTTTTAATTAATCTTGTGATATCAGCCTTGAAAAAAAATACATAGTTTGAGTATCATTATATTTTTATCTACTTGTTATATATATACCTTTTGCGTTGGGGAGCATCGGCAACAAACGACTACTGGTAAACGTGTGGCTACTTCAATAAATTCATCCTTACTACTATCAAGGCAAAGTTGGAGTGACTCTCCGTCAATTACAAGACAGCAGTCTGTTTGGTTTCTTAAATGATCCAGCTCTTCCAGAACTTCCACTGGCGACTTCACTAAATCGTATGCGTGTATATAATTTAAAATATTTTTACTTTGATAGCAGCTTTTATTTGGTACATACGTTTGGAGACCTGGTATATCTGCTGGTTACGGGATACGAGTTTAGAAGATACAGCAATACATGTAGCAGTTTCAATTTTATCTCCTATTTATACACATAAATATATTTGTTAAGTATTTACATTTATTGTTTTATGCTCACTTACCTGTCAACATCCATATCTTTAAATTAGCATTACGCATCTGCTCAAGTGTGTTCTTAACACCATCCTGAAGCTTGTCTTCCACTCCAGTCAATCCAAGAAGCTCCAGGTCAGTTTCAAGCAAGTTCTCAACAACAGCTTGTTTACGCCCGTTTCTGTCCAAAAGAGCGACCTCTGCCTCATGATATCTAAAAGTTTATTATAAGTAATTAAATAAACTCGACATTTCTTGCCTACTTTTTTCGGAATTCTTCATAAGCTTCTTCTGAGAGTTTCTTCTTTGCAACTACTAGTGTCCTCAGACCTTCTCTAGCCATATTTCCGCATTCCTCTTCTAGCCTAAGTCCATATATAGTTAATATATTAAGCCAGAAGCGCGATGTATTAATCGTACCAATCATTGTATTGGACAATACTAGTCATAACAGAATCTGCACCCTTTTCATAGAATGTAATCTCGTGAGTGAGCTTGTCCCGAATAACAATACCCATACGCTTTGTTTCACTTGAAAAGGGAAATATATTCAAAATATCAAAATCGAGTAACATATCGTTTGCACGAACATGGAGCTGCATTTTGTTCACATCGCGAGAAACAAGAGCAAGTCCCATCTCTTCTGTCCATTTAACGATGGCTACTTCATCTGGGCTAGAGGCTTGATATGTAACTTCGTTATTTCCTTCCAAAACAGGGGTTACCTATAATATTAAAAAGGAATCAAGAATAAAGAGTGAGAACAAGTCTAAACCAGCAGCAAACATAACATATATTACATTATGGCATAGGGCAAGTGCTTGAACAATATCTTTGACACGGTACGAAATATTTCGTCTTCCTTTCCCTGACATGCCTATATTTTCAGATCGGAGGAAGATCATGCTTTAAGTCAGAAGGAATACAATCGTGTAAATTCGGATTTTATATTAAAGAAAAATATATGTATCAATGTAGTATATATTGTAATGTTCTTTTTTCGAAGGAAAATAACTATGTAAAGTATTTTTATTTACCAGTGTCATGTTTTTCAAAAGCTGCTCCCAAGTGTGTCACGATATCATCCATGGTGTCCAATGTGTAAGACATTGTGCCCATATGAAGCTTTTTTAACTCCATATCTATAGTAATAAAAAAATGTAAGAACTATGCCTCTCCCCCTAAGCAAATTGTCTATATAACCACTACCATTTTTGGTGAGAGTTCCTGTTTTATCGGATAAAAGATATTCGATTCGTCCCAGTTCTTCTGGTAGTGTGCTTGTGCGAACAATTGTGCCTGCAATTTCTTCATCTCCTTCAATTTGGCGTGCGTAAACTGTTTTTCCCATATCTAGATTTACACGCAAACTATGGGAATCAGGCACCAAAAAAATTAATTGGACAGTTCGCACACTCAATATTCTGCTGTATATTAATACAATACCTGATTGGAATAATGGAAGAGAATAAGATTAAAAACCGGAAAACGTAAATATACCAGAGTCCATGAAATCCATTTAGTCCGACCATAATAAATGACATTGCCAGAGTAACTACAAACAGAATCTATTCGATATTATTTTCCGGAATGATGATATCAGCAGTCTACGCATACAAGCTTTTTTTATATGCTCTTCCATATTACCTTTGCAAGTCTATTGACTTCTTTATCTAACAATCCAATTTTTGTTTTTGGGTGACTTGTGTTCATAACGGCACGTGTATCCTTGCCAGTGTAAATCACGAATCCGACAATAGACCCAGACGCCAAAACTGTGTTTGTCCATAAGGAGTTTTCAACACCAAGAGGCTCTAGTTGCTCACTTCCAGTTTCAGGATCCACGTGTGAATAAGTGCCGACAAAGTTGTGAATATCTTTGTGTGGTGAATCGGCTAATTTCATAGTAAAAAATGTTATATATTGGGGCGTGGATTGGTCAAGGTTTACCATAAATTTCGCCTGAACAGTTTAAAAGTTCTTCATTGCATGAAAGTCTCTGGAGAGATGGCACAGCCAGTCTGAGTTTCCAGTCAGTTTCTCCGTCCAATTGGTCTGTTCTGATAAAACTAGCTCCACTTTCTTCGGTTGTTCTTAAAAGAATCATATCGGCAGGAATCTAACAAACCATGTTAAAATATTCACATATTTTCTAGTCACTAAAGCAATTAGATAATGAACGTACACGCTGGTCCTTGTGAACAACAATGAGATCTCCTACTCGTATTTTTGAGCTCGGAATATTTATAAGCCCTGAAGAAGTGAGAGTTTGGTATTGCTGTGAATTGGCTTCTTTATCTCGTTTATGACGCTGGTAATCATCCATTGCTTCTTTACTGATAGTAACCAGAAGTACAAAGCAAAGAGGCCCGAAATAGGTAAGGATGTAACCTGTATAAATTAAAAAAAAATAGTTCTGGTTTTATAACGAATCCAATATTTTCTCCTTGGTATCCAATTGTCTTACCGATCTTTAATGCTGGTACAAATTGAGAAAGGGCTACGAGTAAGAAGTACAGGTTGAAAAATATAACAAACTAGTGCATAATAACAATATATAAACACATAATCGTTCTGGTTAAAAAAACCCTTACCTGCTCATACAACACAATTGGTATAAATGTGAATATATTGTATTTCTGATTGACAATGATATTTGGCGTAAACTTCTTCTTTATCTTATCTGAGTTGGTAAACATAAACGAGTAAAGAAAAATGACATGTAAAAGTCCAGCTATAATTTTGTATATTACCATTGCAATTAAAAGGAATTGTTCTCGGCTGTTGATTGTTTCTCGATTTTAGAAATTTTAACGGAATATCTGGTATTCTTTTACGTGAGGTTTTCCGTTGTTTGGATCGAAATGAGGATTCCTTAAAAGGCAATCAAGTCAACAATAGCTTTTCAATTGTAGCATAATCTACAAGGAAGAGTCATTTACCCCCAATTCTTCATCCATTAAAGGATCCTCATCACTGTGAATTGAATCTGATGTCCGAGACTTTTTTTCCCTTTCTTTCCAGAGAAGGGCATTAGTCTCTGGAGTTCAATTGGCCTAGAATCTCTTCGCATTGCCATATCTCCAAGAACAAAGACAAAGTCTCGGCTTGTCTGACCTTAATCATAAAATGGAATGCTGCTGTTGATTTCATTATCCGACTATAGTACTACGTCACGTGCTGCTTAGCCATTGTACTTCGCCCAGCAATTATTTCAATCTTTGGGAAGTGCCAAGGAAGATTGCTTTACAATGACATTTTTGTTTGTCTACCTTGACAATTTTTCGGTGAATTGAGTAAAATTTATTTATAATGGAATATGACTGATTCTAGCCCTGTCAAGCTTTAATTTTCTCTAACTTTAACTTTCTTTTTTGTTAAACAATTGGAATAAACTAGACTCAGCTGTGAAAAAGTCAAAAGGAAACACTGAGAATATATATATATAATGCCGAACTCCTTATATAAAAACTTTGAATAACTAAACTATCTTATTTGGCTCACTCTAGAGAGGCATGTCTCTTTATAGCGCAGTATTGCTTTAACCGATTCACTTTTTTTAATATATCTATCTATCTATATTCTTACTCACGCACGCTACATTAATTCCCTGATAATTTTAACTTCGTTAATTATGTCTTCTCGACCTTTATTTATATTTAACTCATAATACACCACTCTTAAACCTTCTTCATGTCTATTCTGTCTTATCTCTATGAGTATATTACAATCAAGTCTCTTTCTACGTTATTGGTGACTTCACATTAATGGGAAAGGTATGATAAAACCGCCTAATATTATTGTTTTTATCATTGAACCTGAATAGTCTAAAAAAAACAGTAACTGTCAAGTATGTAAAGCAAGTATCTTACCATTATAGCTCACTTTGAAAGTTTAAATTAAGTACAAAAATAAATCAAGGTTTCCAGATGTTCTTTCTTCGTTTTGTTGTAGTATAGATTATTTACTATTAAAACTAAATTTAATTCTCGGTTTCATATGTAAAAAGCTTGATTTTTCTGTAATGGTTAAGTACTCATTATAATTTTAGAAAGTAACAAAACATCGACTATATATGTATATACAGTAAATATATTCAAGAGTTTAATATATTGTTCTTGGCTGCAAATTCAGCTTTTGCTTTGATATTTTTACAGTATCTTTTGAGCACTCACATCTTAATATAACCCAAAAAAAACCGGCATACAAATTAACTCTGTAAATGAATCAGCTAATAACCGGTAAGTATCAAAATTCCACTCTACTTTATATAATGATAATTGTGCGCCCGATTGAGATAAATAGTAGATAAGTAGCTAAAGTTAGGAATAAAATGGCACACCATATAGGAATTAAATTTACACAAGAGAGCTTCTGGCTATCAAGTTAGTTCTAGAAATTTGAAAGGCTTTCATAAGTTTAGACAAACGGATAGTACGAATAGGTAGTGAATACTTAAATTGATTACTATAAAAAGCACATCAGAAACTTTAGGAAGACATATTATCATAAATGTTACAATATGAGTATACAATGTATGATACAAAGAAAAAAAAAGCTAAACAACAAGCGCAATTATTACTACTTGGTTTGAACCAAGGTTTTCAATTTTTGTATGGGTTCTATTAGTTTTTGTTTTGGTATCAAATATTTATAAGAATAGAATATTTAAATAAACTTAGGCGAACAGTTTTTTCTTTCTTAGAATAGTGTGGACATTGCTTCTTAAAATGTCCCAATGGTAACAGCTAGTCTACCTTGTGTAATTTAGTATTATTGAAGCAAACGATATATACAAGAAATTAAAAGTTTTTTAAAGAAAAAATACAGAACATAAAAATAAAAATTAAAGTGATCATAAGAATTAAAAGGGGATATAGGAGGAGAGGAAGTTGACGCGTGTTTCAAACTCTAAGGTAATGTACAATCTCATACAACAAAGACCTAGTTGAATATGAAAACGTGGCTATTTTTTTTTATTTTTTTTTTGGTTGGGCAAACCCATGAGGAGAAGTGGCTATTTTATGACATCTACATATTGGTACTTTATACTTTATGTCTGTCAAATTATCTTTAAAGCCTGTAATATAAAAAGACTTGTAGGTAATGATGCTTACTTCTTAAATACACCCAAATCGATTTTTTTGTGCACAGTCTGTGTAAATACAATGAGCACGTTTACTTGTGTATACACCTCGCCACGACTTTTCTGTCTTTCTTTCAGACACGCATTTTTTATACCTTTCCATCTCTCTCATTCCAATGCATCTCCTTTACAATCTCCATGCAGATTAGCCAAATTCAGTTATAAGTTTCACGCCATTGCTATTCTCAAAAATTATTTTGAGTTTTCTTAATGAACTTTATAGATAAAAACGACCCATAAAATCAAACACGGTAATCAACACAATGATAAGAATACCCATATTATATTGTATTGTATTATATTTATCTTCAGATTTATTTAACTAGATTAATTTTTCTTATTAATGAGACTTCCTAATTACAACATTAACCTCTTCAATCAAGTAAAAAAAAAGTTTGAACGCGTATTTTTTTATTAGTCAACAACAGTTTAAAAAATATTTTATTTATTTATTAAAGATATACATAAAGAAGCTATTTTATTTTATATGATTTCACTTAATGTTTTTTTACATGAGTAAAAAAATAAAAAGCATGACACCAAGTTCTTTGTCCCCGCATTACGCGGCTCAATCTCCCTCAGGACGTAAACCTGACTTGGTAGCGAAGGAGGTGTGGGAATGGTGTTAATCCGTGGCGTAAGACAACAACCGGGTTCATCCCAACTGCCCTATCTCATCACTGAGAAGGGCCTGCGAACGTACCAGAGAAACCTACCACAAAGTAGCAGGGTCCAGCGTGTTCGACTACCAAGCAACACCGTCAGTTCCAAAGAGCTTCGAACAAGGATTTCATGAAGAGTCGGCAGTAAACTCCACTTCCTCCCCGTCCTCCACTCAATAAACTTTCATGATGCTAACTCGGCGGCAGCTTTTTTTAAACATTGCTCGTCGCCATTGTTTCAGAAATTATACAATTAAATTCACAATTCAGAACAATGTTGATCTGCGCCTCTAAGAATTAACCAAGAAGCTAGAGACGACGCACTTCCGCTTTTTCCTGCACAGAATGGAAAAAGAATGTCTCCCAATCGACCCATAGGTAGCGCGTCAAACTCAACTACAGGCAATCAGGGGGTACCCGTCTCCAGAGTATAAAAAAAGCTAAAGAGAAGAAAACCGTGTCGGTTGAATGGGCTTTATTTTGATATACCCGCAGTCTGCGACTAAAGTTTGGGACTGCGCTTTTTTTTGCCAGGGGTGTTTTTTGCCTCCCACGTCAGAGCAGTGACATAGCTGTATACTCTTTTTTAGTAGGATTGTGTAACTATTCTATGACAGTAGTAGAAGCTTATAAAATTTAACTAAAACATTTGTGCAAAATATCTTTGCAAAGTAAAGTGAAGCAAAGAAGTAAAGAAGTAAAAAGAGACGAATGGTTTAGTTTTGATCGGTGTAGCAATAACTCTTAAAGTGGAGTACAAGTTTCTATAACGGCGATTCGTAGGTTACTCTAAGCTGGTCTGTGCGCTTTTTATTCGAGCGTACAAAGGGATTTGTTTTTTCTTTTGCTTGTACAAGTAGACACAAAAGAGACCCAAAATTATTTCAAAGCGATACGAAGTAATAAATAAAAAAGCAAAAAGTATAAATGTACATTATCTGAATTATCACAGTGCGGTAGGTGGCGGAATTTTGAGTTCAAGGTTGAGTTATATTGAAATGAGGTTATACCAATAGTTGAATGTACCAAGGTGATTTTTAAAGAGAATAAATAAGTATATTGTTTTATTATATTAATTTTAGAATATACAGCTATGTAAAATTTACTGTTTTCTGGTCTCGACATTTTGGACTAGCTGTCTAATCATGCTAGCACTTTTTATGAGTTATTTTTTTTTTCGAGACTACTCCCACAATCTTGGCTTTTACTTTAAGCTAATTAAATATCCAAAATATATCATGGATGTCGTTAAAAATAGCATATACTAGCTTCATAATTTACATAAATATTGACCAAGCTTCATATCATATATTTTCATTTTATATAAAGTAGAGCCGGAAATAATATTTGAAGTGTTCGGGATTGATTTTGGGGTTAGTATCTCAATATATGAAAAAGTGGATACTGTGAGAGTGCTATTTATTAAAAAGACAAAATAATATTGTTTATATCCGTTATTATTAAAATCCCTATAATTCAAATCCCTGTTGTGTAATGGTTGGTTTACACTGTATAAGTGTGTAGTGTACATGTACCTGATATGTAACAGTTCCGGAAATTGTTAACTTGCCAGGTTCATTAGCAAGAAGAAACCAGTGTTTGGTCGTGGAGGCTGCTCTCCACTCAATTGTGCTGTGTATACCACAATATTCATGCCATTAATTTGTATTCAAGATTTTATTCTAAGACTATTTGTATTTAGATATTTTTTTTTAAAGATGTCAGATGTAGTTTTGATTTGATATACATATATGTGCAAACTACTAAAACAACTGTTTCTGTTTCCCGTGCTATTAAATTGCCATGTCTTTGTTTGTTTGCTTTTATATGACAATTAAATATTAACTACTATCTCGTGATCTTGGTTTTGATAATGTATATTGTGAGACTAATATAAGTAATATATATACATATATCTATAATATTTTAATTGTAGCTTATAAGAACATGGCATACGGCACTATAATAAAGCATCTCCTTATACTTCAAAAGGATAGTATATATGTATTGTCAAGGTTCTTTAAACTTGATCTTAGGTATAGGGTGGAGCAACACAATAGTTCTTTTTATAAATTCATTTTTATTTGATTTATCAAGCTTGCTTTAGACTAGAAAATAAAGATCTAAGAATATAAATCTAAATCTAAATCTATCAAACAATATCAACAAGTGCCACATCGGTGTAGTCCATATCATCTCCTGTATCTTTGATGATACCAAATACATATTTTCCAGCTGGCTCGCTCGAATCGAGAGTAATAGAAGCCATTCCAGCATTAAGATCAATTGAATCAGATGCCTGATAAGGAGTTCCAAAGGTATAGTCGCCGTTGGACTCTTCAGTTGCAGGGATTATGAAAGCATAGTATGTACCAGAGCATGTTCCAGTAAGATCCCAGAGAGCTTCGTAAGTTCCGGAGCTGTTCCATACAGTGCCATTGACGGGATATGTGAGAGAGAAGCAGTTGATATTCTCAAATTCGGGATTTCCTGTAGGGGCGGCACAGACCAGACCGAGAACCATGGCAAGTAAAGCAAAAGCAAAAGAAGTCTTCATGATAAAATATTGACTGAAGTGAATGATGATTGAATAGACAGATGATTGGAATAAATTTACGGAAAACAATGTCCAGTATTTATAGTAAATTTAGCTTAGATATTAAGAAATATGGCTCTTTTTTTTTCTTTAAAAAAAAGCTCTTTGGCTTATTGATTCATTTTATTTACTTTTACTAGCTTTTAGAGGTTGTCTTTAATGGAAGTTTCAGCCTAGTATTTTGACATCATTCTCATTTTTCTAGAGACAATGG